GATTTTGATATCATTGATGGCTGTAACCCTTACACGTTTTTGGTATCCATCACGTTGCTTTGCAAGTTTCTTGAGAACACCTGCCTTCCTTGTAAACCAGACCGATTCCCGCCTCGATGTTCGGTTTGACACGAACATCGAGGTCGGAATCGGTATGCCGATTGGAAGCTGCTGTTTCCATGCTACTAACCGATCGTTTCTCTCATGGTGAAGACGATATCTTCGTGTATTTATATTGTCTACAACCTAGTTGTTGCTTACTTCATTTGACATAGTGTCACATGTACATTGTCTCCATGGTGACGTATCAATCAATACATACACTTCCTAATCTCAGGACATTTTACACCTGTCAAGGATGCCAAATGCATACATACCACGGTTACAACGTTGCCGCTAATACTACCGTCCGACAAAAGACCACACAACCACAACTTCTGCTTCGGCCGCAATAAGGACATTGATTAGTACAAATCTGCTGTGACGAAGCACGCGCAGCAGCTGAAACGACGTGCCAAATTTAGCGAGATGGAGCAGACGTTGAAGGAATAGCTGAAGAAAACCCAGTACATGATCACGGAGACATTTAAGCAGTGAGAGGACAGTCCGATTTTTGTGGCCTTGTAGTCAACATTTCAGACGAAGAGGAAAGACCAGAGGTAGCTATTTTGCAGCTGGATGCATGGAGTCGGCCGGATGCAGGTAGTATCCAAGCGCTTGAGTGACATCTTGACGCAATCTCAAGAGCTGCACCGACGATACGGTAAAAACAATGCCTGGATTTCTGCGTCGCGTGGATCTATTTGGTCGCACAAAGGACAAACATCGTTGGGTCGGCTGTGTTGACCAAAAATGTTCTTGGCTTCTCACTGAGGCGTTGCGTAGTTATGAAGTAATGCGCGATGTAGTCAACAACCCGTCGTAGGTGTACTACAGAAGGGCGTCAAAAAGGAGGGTGTTGTTCCTAAAAACAGCAATACCTTCGTCCACGTGATCGTGATTATTTTGGTGGCAAACTGCGAGCGCAAAGTTTTCGTCAATGGCACTTTGAAAGCCCAACCAAGCAGAATGAATTTGATATCATGTGCCGCGACCGCAGGCATCAGCTTCATTTCTTTGTACTGTGAATAAGCTGTCTGACAGCTCCTGTTTGTCCTCGCTATTTCACGTGGGCATGAAGGTACAAGATTGAAGACCGAGATACGGCATGCTCACGATTTGAATCTCAACAGAGAGTTGTCGGGCTTTTAGAGCGTTCAGTAGTTGCTCCTGTTGTTTGCTTCCGCCTGTGTATATGCTGTGCTTGGAATTCACTTTCAAAGCATTTGGTGTGACAAAACTATGCTGATCCAAGCGCTGGTGCTGTAGTGTGTGTACAGAAAGACAAGAGTAGACAATGTATTCATTGAGAATTGGGCAAAGTAAGAAAACATTGACAAAACTGTACAAAAGACTCTTTCAGGAGATATACATATTAGTTCGACAAATCATTTCTTCGTTTACCAAGCTTTTCTTTATGAACCACAGTCGTCACTCCGTAACACTATAATACACGTCTACGAAACGTGACGAGCTGCTAAGCTGGATAAAAACGTTCTAGTCGATATGATTTGACTTTGGAACATGTCACGCGGGACTTGCTGCATCAAGAATTTGATAGATAATGCCCTTGCAAAAGGATGACACTACCACAATCGAGTGTTCATTCAAACGAGCAACAGGACACTCACTACCTTATACTCAACGCTTGATCCTTCACCGTCGTCGTAGATGGATGGTCTTCATCCTCAAGATATTCCATAAGCTTGCTTGTACTGAATGTTCATCCATGTCACTCGTCCTTGTTCATAGTACAGCAATATACACTGCTGCTTATTTATTGTCCACCAGAGGCTCATCCAATGATCTTCTAATGTCAGAAGAGACGACGGTATATATTGAGAGCCGGCAAAACCCAGAATAGCGCAGGGACCATCACTCTGAGAGTGGCGCGTCACACACTGTTTGCGTATATTTTATAAAATAGGCAATCATGTTTCACACGCAATTGCTCAGTAGATGTACCTGCAAAAGTTAATTTCTGATTGGCATTGACTAGTGTGTTTACCTTAGTTAGACTGAATACAAGTGGTTTGTCATAGGGTCGTCCCGAACATGGCACAAGCCATCTAATGTCCAACACAGAACAGCTGGGACGAAACAACTTGAGTTACCAATGCTTACATCTCTCTTCACAACAACATGTGTATCGCTTACTTTGCCCATATTCATAGCAGATGCCAACTCTTGATTCTTAATTGCTCGTTATCACTCAGATTGCGTCCGGTGACGGTAGTGCTCATCATATAGTAGCTTGAATATTAGGTCTGGCAGGTATTGACGAAAAGTCATGATATTAGGTCTGGCAGGTATTGACGAAGAGTCATAATATTAGGTCTGGCAGGTATTGACGAAGAGTCATAATTAAGAATAACAGGCTGTCGTTTCAATACGCAGCAGCTGTTTTCAGCGGATCACTAGATCAACAGGGCATCCAACATGGCCCGTCGTCTCTTTCTTCCATATTAATCGACTACTGTATGTAGACTTAGTAAAGGCTTGAGGCCCAACTTCTGAAAGTGACACACCAAGTCGGTCAATGCATGGCGTTTCGGCTTGTGTTTTAGTGTGCGAAAGTCGTTGTGTCAGTTCGCTTAAGCGGCAGTTACATTGCTCGATGACCAGCGCCTCTTCAAGGACAACAAGCTAGAGTTACAAAACGCGTACTTAGCGCGAGCTTGCGACTCGACTAGCGGACGAAATAGCGGACGCAGAGTGGAGGGAGGGAGTGTCCGGTCCACATTCACGCAAACCCAACGACAGTCGCTTCATTCTGTCATTTTGCCCTGCAGCAGCTCAAGTGTGTCGCTTATTATTTGCAGCAGCAGCAAATCAGCGAGCAATGAGTTTTCCGAACGGCAAGTCACGTACTGGTCGTTATAACCAGCACAACGGTCGCCATACGACAACAGAGGCCATCATGTCAGCATACGATTGCACTGCTGGAGTTTCTACCGACGCAGAACGTGGCTGCCTTGATGATGTTGTTATTGTGGAGCCAGAGCCGCCCTGCATTGAGGAAGAGAATGATAGCAATGATTGTCGTTACAGCGTCAATCAAGCGACAGTCGCAAAGCTTAAGAAAAGCGTGAGGTGGTCAACTATCACCGTTCATGAGTTTGGCGTCGGGTTGGGCGGTAGCGCCGTCTCCAACAAAGGCGGCCCGTCTATTGGTCTTGCAGATACACCCGAGTTCACATGGACGACGAAAGTGGGCGAGATGGCCGAATGTGTTGAGGGCGTGCATCGCTTCTCGCCCAACCAGCGCATCCGCCTGCTTCAGGCCGCTGGCATCCCGGATGGCATCATCACTCGTCACGCACGCGAAGCCAGCATCATCTTGGGCTCTCGTCGTCGGTCGAAGATGAACTGGAACGACAGCGACTTGGAAGAGTCCGAGGAAGAAGAGGAGGGGACGACCAACGAGGTGCTTTGCAAGCGAAGCGCAGATCAGGCAATGCTGGGGCAGCCGTGCTCTGTCTATTTGCGGAGGCCACGCATGATTCCGGTCAACTATGCATAGCTGTGAGCTAACGCAGCTGTATTGCTTATGAGCAGCTCTTGCCACGTTCTGGGTCATCTACGTTCATCCTTTGCTGAGGTAACATACTTTGACGGGCTTAATTTATTCGAGATGAGACTCATACAAACCGAGAGACTGCAGAACGACTTTGTCTGGGGCAGTACTAGGTGAAAGACACTACGAGTAGGGAAAGGAAAGCCAAGTGAACCGAGTATAACGATGGGAAGATGGATAGCAAGGAAGTTAGTGTGGTATGTCTGTGCTTATGTTTGAAATGCACAGATAATTGAAAGACCAATGAAACTGCTGAATTTATTCTGTTACTTGCCAAGCTTGTAGAATGGTAGACTAGAAGCATTTGCAACACCTCGCTTTATGCAGAAGAAAATGAACAATGAGATAGCGAACGAAAAGGCCTCCCAAGCGCAAGTTTAATGGATTGAACACTGGCACGATGTATCAGTTGCAGACGCGCCTGCTCATTCAATGAGGCGATGTGGACCACAGATGAGACTTGTCTGGAGTTCCAGTTCTGCACCATTGATATCGTACTTTTAATTTACCGAGCAAACAAGATTATCACGGAATGTGACAACTTTCTCGAAGATGCAAAGCTTGCCTGGACATCATTTGGTTCTGCTATGGTACTATGAAGCACGGACACTCACATCGTGTGACAACGGATTGACGTGCAAAAATCCATGCTGACCTTTGACCGTGATCCACCTCCTTCCGTACACTTACAAACACTAGTATTGCACACGTCGCATGATATCCCAGGTATGACCCCAAACTTTCGATACTTGTCCTCGAGACCTGAAAAGCTCGACGTTCGACGTTCGATAGAATCCAGAACAAGAACCAGCTATGGATAATGTTATCGCAGAAACAAATGCTTTGACAGAAAAAGGATTCCGTTGATACGCCATGGTAGACAATAATGGTCCGCCAGCCTATGATGGCATCCAAGATTCCGAAAAGTAGGAACGGATCGCGCTTCATTCGATTCATACGATAACACAAACTATAAAACACAGCTTGAAAGCTACAAGATCAGTGGTTTTGATCGAGCTTGTAAACATTTTCTGTACCATTGACCCTGCTTAGCACTCTGTCGTAAAGATACGATACAACCTCTTCGTCGATATACACAGGAATGAAACAAAGTCCTGGCATTACAACCACACTGTGTCATGGCAATCCATGACTTTTGTTTACACGACAACCTCATTCTTTCGAGACAAACGTAGTTTGTTTACACTTGCATTCAACTTCAATCTGAATCTGTCAGACTAAACATTTCAACACCATAATCCCAGCTACACTGGTACAATGTACCAGTCCAGCAACCAGTTAGTATCTAGAAGCTATCAACACTATGGAGATTCCTACTGTCGCTATGAGTAACGTTATCAAGCTTGATACACTAGACCTGATGCTTTGTAGTGGTTACCTATGTTCTGTGCTATTTGTGGGTCTTTTTTTTACTTTTCGAGAGCAACGTGCGCGTGAAAAGCTTCGTCTAATACGTCTGCATCATCAGGCTTTGATGAATGCCGGAGCACGAGACGTCAAGCGTCTTGAGAATACGTCTCAAAGCCTTGAACCAGTCAATAACAATCACATACTAGAGGATTATTACCTTGGTGGACGGTCTATTCCTTGGATTGCATTAGCAGTGGCTGATGTGAGCTCGTACATTGATATTTCGGGTACTATGATTAATACGGCACTGGTCTACGCACTAGGTGTTAAAGGCATGTACATTGAAATCCGTGGTGGTTTATGTTTGTTCTTGGCTTTTCAATTGGCCTACACAGGAAAGCTATCGCGTCGCTGCCCAGTCAAAACGAGAGGAGAATGGTGAGTTTAGTAGATCAAGAGATTGCAATCAAGTGCCAATCTTTGAACTCTTTTCGTTTTTTGGAATGGACCGTTACTTTAGGATTAAATTTCGGTTTGGAAAGCGCCTTGATGCTGTACTGCTTCGAACGACAATTGCCATTACATCCTTGTCAAGTGGCATTTTTGCGACCACGTACTTTGCTGTGGGTGGAGGTAAGAGACCTCTGAATGATGAGTCTTCAAGTAGGAGCTGTTTGTTTGTTGAAGCAGTTTTGTAAATGGTATGAATAACAGGAAAATTCTTCACGGAATTCGTGAAGCTCCCCGAGTGGGGCGGACTACCGTCTGAGTTTTGGGCCGCGTCGATCTTGATGGCTGTGGCAATGTTGTACACCGTCGCGTCTGGATTCTCAACTGTTGTATACACCGATGTGTATCAGAGTATTTTCATCTTCATCTCTTTCATTGTTATTGCGGTAATGGGCTTCATGGTACAGCTACCGGATCAGTTCTCAGTATTCCTTTTGGAGAAAACGGTACGTGCTGAACCAGAGTACATTGAAGTGAGCACCACACGAAGCGCGTGGGTGTCGGCTGTGCCGCCAAATTCTTTGGGATTACCCAACGATGCCTCCTTCTCCATGTACAACTCCTTCAGTCTCATCTTGGCATCATATTCATTGATACAAATGATGCGATCGGCATCCGGACCTGGTGGTTCTGGACTGCAGACCGTTCTCGCTACCAAGTCGGAGCGCGATGTGCAATCGCAAACATTCTTGGCCATGGTGTTCCTGAGTCTACGCTGGGCCTTCAGTGGCGGCATTGCCGTGATGGGTATCCACTATTCAATGCAGCATGCTGGGGTGATGATTGAACCGGAACGTGTGGTGCCGATTGTGATTGACAAGGTGTTGCCTGTTGGTGCAAAAGGGTTTATATTGGCATCACTATTGGCAGCAGCGCTTACTACCTTCGATACAACTATCAACAGCTCGTCATCATACTGGACCGTGGATATCTATCAGGCTCTCATCAATCCGAAAGCGTCTGAGCGACAACTGTTGTGGCATGCTCGACTGTCATCAGTTTTCGTGATGCTGGCTGGTCTCTTGCTGTCGCTGGACGTGAGCACCATCAATCGTATTTGGGGCTTTATGACTATCGCTATGGCGGGTGGCCTCATCTGGCCCTTCTTTTTTTCATGGTACTGGGCTCGCTTTAATGCGCTCAGCTGTCTTCTGGGGGTCGCTTCGGGCTACATCACTGCGATTGCTGTGTTCATGTATGCGTGCATTGGTGTCAAAAACTTTTGTTTGAGGTGCTGGTAACTAACTGCACGTACGTTCGTTGCAGCTTTGCACCATTGCTTGTAGAGTTCAGGGCTTTCATAATTACATCTTCAGTGTCCGGGATCATCTCCGTTGCGGTCTGTTTGTTAACGCGGCCCAAGCCCGATAAGCTGCTTCGGCGGTTCTACCGTTATGCACGACCACCGGGTGCCTGGCACAGAATCAAGCACGTTTGCTTTACGCAAGAGGTGATCTCAGAAATTGACGCGGAAAACCATGCCGACTTGGCATGCACAGGACTGATTGTCGTCGCTCAATTGGCACTGTATGTTTTGGCGGTGAGTGTTGTGGCCAAGGCGTGGATCCAGAGCCTCGTGCTTGCGACTGTCCTCGTCATCACCTTACCGCTCATTTATTCGAAGTGGTATGTGAAGCTGAACGATCATCCTGTTGGTCTCCGCAAAGACGGCTCAAACATGTCACTGCTACGCTCTGCTTAAGATGCAACCGGTTGTACGCGTAGTAGTCGTAAGAGTGTGATTCATGCGACTGCATTTCGTTTGTGTAGGTGTTTCCTAGTGTTATACATGAGCCCATGCGCAACATCTGCTGCTGTTATTCTACAAGTTATTGTGCATTAAACAAGCATGTATACGTGACAACGACTCAGACAATGCTTTATCGCAGCAGAAAGTGAAAGTATCAGCTACAGTTTCGCCTTGCGTTACAACCAACAAGCTTCCACCATGTTATAAACATTGTAATGCACTGTCCAGCTAGCAGACAATAGCAATGTAGTAGACACTTGTGCGTAATCTGCTTGAAAGGCAAGTGTCGTGCGTGGAAAACATTTACCTCGCTCGATCTGACAAGCGATACCTCGCGAAAAAAATAGACAATTCAAAGCACTACAACATTAAGCAAACCAATCAATTTCAATGAACAGATTTGCGTTCATCGAGCTATGCGCCATGTCATTGTCGTCTGCTACTTCGATGCCTGCGCCATTTGCTAGGAGAAAGTCGATCTGTACACACAGAACTGATTTACGAGACTCTCAGCTAGAAATACATGTACTGTTCCGGCTTCATCGTGAAACGACCAGCAAACTTGAACCGACATGCCGTTTGTTGTTGTTGTTGTGAGCATATATCCAAGTATATGAATGTATTATTCTCTCCTACGGTCAATGACTCCTTCGTACTACAATAGCAAGAACACTATTCGAGTCATTATTGTACGTCGGTAGTTCGAGGGGTCAGAGCGTTCGTTTGCTAGAAAGACATGTTTGGTGGCGCTAGAGCGGACGGTGAGTAGGGGAACGGTCCACTGCTGATAAGTGGGTTTGTGAACATTGCAAAGCATGTGCGCAGACAGGCCGTGTCCGCCCGCCGTCCACTCCTCGAGATACACTTAAAAAAAATCAACTATAATCAAAACAGCCAGCAGTAGCACAACTCAAAGCAGACGAAAGCACATTGTAGCAAGCTCTTATCACTATTCAACACGCACCTTCCATTATCCCCTTCCACTTATACATCATGGCACCAAAGGAATCACAAGATGTATATGAAGGTACACAAGTCTCGACGACTGAGCAGCAGTTTCAGACGCGTTCGACAACACCCAAGAGGTCCATTGCCACTGTCTCCTCCATATGCACCGAAGCTGCGTCTGCTTCATGTGTACGACACAAGAAGCGACAGCGTAGCTCATTCATCTTGAACGAGTGTGAGATCTCGTCGAAGAAGGTTAAGAAGCGTCTGCGCTGGTCCACTATCACCATCCACGAGTTTGGTGTCGGACTGGGTGGCAGCACTGTACCTGGCAAGGGTGGTCCGTCCATTGGTCTGAGTGACAAGCCTGAATTTACATGGACTACTAAGGTGGGACAGATGGCGGAGTGTGTTGAGGGCGTACATCGCTTTACATCCGATGAGCGTGTGCAATTGTTGCAGAACGCTGGCGTGAGTGAGGGTATGATCCTGCGGTTCACGCGGGAAGCAAACATCATCAATTGCTCACGTCGTAGAACGCTTGTGGAGGGTATTGCCGAGCGCAAAGAAGCGAAGAAACAGCGTCGCTTGCAGATTGAATCGTCTCGCTCCGTGTTGGAGCGTCCGTGTTCCTCCTCTGTCCTCAATCGCCCGCATGTGATCCCGATCAATTACGTGTAAGAAGACCAATGCAAACTAAAACAAGCCATCACTAAAGAGGATGTATGATACGGGGTGATTTGCACACATACAGCGCATCATTGGAAAAGCGTCAGTCGATTACTTGCACCGATCGTAGAAAGGAGCGAGGGCTAAGCTATTTAATTGTTATTACTAGTACAGATTGGTATCTATTGCTATCAAGAGAAGCTGCATACATGTATGAACTATGATCTTGTCATCAAATGTCTTCATCTACATGTCTAGTGGCTTGTATACTACATTTTGCCATTGTCATGAAGACTGTCTTTGTCTATGACGATCCATCTATTCATGCAGTCAACCCGTTCCGTAATCACCTATATACACGAGTCAGCCAACGACTATGAACAGTTTTTTAAAGGCGGCTGCTTGCTGACGTGTGCTGACGTGAAAAATATCTAGGAGCTGCAGTATCCTTACAACAGTCTCATCTCATGCATTAATAATTCTCTGTCTTCGTCGTAGCTCTATATAAATTTAGCAGCCAAGCAAGGGCAAGCAATTGATAGAATCTGTAGCAGGTGAACGAACGAGAATCGCATTTCGCGTGTCGCTATTTTTAGTGCTCTTCTACGAGGTCATCTGCGACCTTGAACGGGGACGGTAAAAACGTAAGACACGGACAAGCCAGCCAAAAAGAACGAGCCCATCACGTTTGCTTGCACTATACAACAACCCGCAAGTTGTGCGTGAGTGCTAGTCAAAATGCAGTAAAATCTCTTACTCCTTGTTCTGTCTGAGCTTTCTGCTAGAATGAGTGCAAATAAATCTGTAAACAATGGATATGATCATACTATAGCTGATTGGATGTCATTTACATATATAATAGATATTGTTATGAAAGCCAGGAGAGATAGAAATGGTCGCAGATAGACGTCAGTGTATGTAATGAGCACATGGTTTAGTCTCTTTAATGATTTTTTTTCTGTATCATATTACCAAGTCATTCTTGAATACATTATCGTCTGTGTCTGTTTTCTGTTGCTTGATTGCAGCGGTTATGTACGTCTTGGATTACGCGATATGTCCACTAACACATAAGAGAGGGTAGGGTAAGTGGATGATGCACAGCAAATAACAGTGTCTTGTAAACGAGAGCGGATGAGATCCGCCAAACCGCCACGCTACATGTTGATGAAAAAAAACAAGCAGAAGGTGGATGTGATGGTGTATGAGCAAAAGGAATGGCAAGTAATGTGTGAGATGTTACATGCAGTTGAGTCGCACGTGGCAGTATTTGCATCGCTTGAGTTTTTCTATACGTTTGATTCGATCCCACTGCAGCCGAGATGATGGCAATCACGAGCGTACGCTGGTCCACCGTTACCGTGTACGACCTTTGGCGTGAGCATTGACGACAGCGCCGTGCCTTGATGTACCAGCGGGTGTTATCTTGGTTTATTGCACTATGTGTACAGTACGTTGAGTATCATGGCGCTGTGTGGGTGGGAGCCTGTGAGGAGTCACAGCAACGGAATGCAAGATGGCGCACATGTCGCTGCTGTTTGTCAACATCATGAAGATGTGTTTGCTGGCTTACGCTACTGGGACGTGGGGACGGAGTACAGTGAGGATTGTATTTACCGTATGCCCATGGAGTTGTCCAGCATCGTTCAGTTGTAAACGGCTCTTATCAGTCGGTTTGGCGTGAATTTTGGTTTCACACGTGGCAACGACGTCAGGAGCAGGATACCACAGCCAGTAGAGCTACAGTCAGAGATGATGGAGCAATGAAGAAGACTTGAAATGGATCGAGGTAAGAGTCTAGAAGCAAAAGATGAAGGCTGTTATATAACATGATCATCTATGAGGCTTTATTGAACGCGCTATTGCACGATTGGTTGTTGTCTTCCTATGTGGCAAAACTGCCATAATACGAAGTAGTAGTTCAAGCAGTTTCATAAGCTTTTCACCTCAATCAGACAGTGTGAAGAAGAAACGACACAAGTCCATGGACACCTTTCTTTCACTGCTATGTAAGCATAGTTGCCATGGCTGCTTACTCCTCCAACACATTCAACTGACGTGAATACAACACCTTTGTACTCAGTAAATAATCATCATATTTGTCCTCCATACTCGACTCCATTTCATCTATTGAGCATGTTGTAACATGAATGAAACAACACCGTCATCCATTGTAACCAATCATCCAAGCTCTTTATCATCTTGTACACTCTTGTCCACTAACAAATCTATATTGCCCATTTACACTGCCACTTGACGCTGCATGGAGATACACAACCTTCGAGACATGGCAATATCTGAACTCTCCATCATCATACGATAGATTCGCTTCTCACTACATCCAGCCTTTGTCAACATTGTAATACGTTCCAATGGTTTCAACCACCGAACTCTCCGAGCACGTTGTACACGACGTTTACGTCGGTCATTCTTGTAATCTGCAGTATCCTTTTGCTCCATAAAAACGTTGTCATCCTCCCTCACCCTCACCCTCCTCCTCATCATAACAACAACCTACATCATTTTCCTTCCTAAATCTCCACAACGTCGGACCTTTTCAAGTGTTGTACTCCATACATGTTGTGGTTTACGTGCAAGACCAATGGATGGACCACCACGACGAGGAACAGCACTTCCACCTAATGTCACACCAAACTCATAGACAGTTATAGTCGACCACCGGACACATTTAATTGTTGCTGTTTCATTCATAGTACGATCGAGGCACGTGTAACTAAGGATGAGTAAGTGAGTGGGTAAAAATGTATGTGAGTGTGTAGATGTCGTCTCTCGATCGCTTAATAAGAAGAAGAGGGACCGAGAGAGAGAGAGAGACGAAGAAAGAAAGTGTCGGTAGGGAATGAAAGAGGGAGAGGTGACGAAATGAAAATGGTTCGTAGCCTAGAAAAAGGAGAATGAACGACTTTCCAGTCCCTCAGTCCCTCAGTACCTCAGTCAGTCTCTCAGTCACTCCCTCCCTCTCCTTCGTCTTAATCTCTTTCTATTGCTATTCCTTTACTTTAGGCAAATAGTTCTCAACTGCATTCTACCATACATACATATATACATACTTAGTCACCAATACACGATAGAACGTGTTTGACGAGATACGATGCCTGTCCATGCCTGACTGCTTGTGAGGGTTCACATGACGTGGTGGTAGCACCCGTGCCCAAATGCTGGTTTACATAATAGTACGATTATGGTTCAGTCAATGAAATGCGCGGGTTTGGATTGCCATGACGTAATTGTTGCGCCCGTGTCTAAGAGCTTGTGAGGTTTGCATGGTGGTAAGATTATGGTTCAGTTAATGCAAAGATTGCCATGACGTAATTGTTGCGAGCTTGTGAGGTCTACAGTGAGATTATGGATCAGTTGACTGCAGAATGTGGGTTTGAATTGCTGTTTACTCGAGACTAGCGACGTTCGAATCGATGACATTTTGCCACCGTTTTTGCAATGACCATGCACATACTTGGCATCTTTTTCGCAAGCATCTACATGTATCTAGCTATTAGCATGGTCATTGACTTTTGATACCGCGTCTGTTCGTAGCAAGTGGCCGGCCCATCAAAACTTGACCGATTCCAATGACCGTCCAACGCCGTCTTCTCGTGACATGTATGAACGAGAGCACAAGCACATCCCAAGTGTCAAGATGACGAAAGACCAGCAGATCCATCGCTGATGCGACTGTTCTCGCCAACTTGTGCTCAAAGAGTCAACGATGCATTGTTAAGCCTAAAAAATGAGGTAGGAAGGACGTCTTTGTATCTTGATTCTACGTACATCTATCTATCTTTACAGTTTTGAGCCAGTAGCAATCAAATTGTGCTTTCGATCAAAAGTTAGCAAAATGTCTTTGCTCCTGAGCAAACGGAGGATATCAAGTACGAAACGAGACTGTTGGAAGGTCTACGACAAGCTCATAGGAAAAAACACAAACTGGATGATAACACAAAATACCTAATGCTCAAAAATTGGGCATCACAAATGCTGCCGAGGTTCCAATACAAAAGCCTATGTTACGCCCTATTTCACCTATTTCACACAAGTAATTCACCACATTCCTCTCTTCACGTAGTCCACATTAAATTCTTCTTCTTCCACACCACGTAATACACCAAGTCCATTCCTCTCGTAGCGATCCTCAAAACCCTCTCCTTTGAACGTTCTCTTGCTATCATCTCTATCTCTATCGCCTCATGGAACAGCAAGCATTGTCTTCTATTCCCTCATCTGTAGAGAAACCAGTCGATAGTATTCCATACTTGGGTTCTCGTATCTCACTTGTATCAAAGACTGATATTCGTTATGAAGGTTTTCTCTTTAATATTGATACACGTCAAAGTACTGTAGCTCTTCAAAGTGTACGTTCATTTGGTACTGAAGGTCGTCGTACTGAACACGTACCGCCATCACCTCATGTGCTTCAATATGCGACATTTAAAGCGTCTGAAATTAAAGATTTGCATGTGTGTGAAGCTGCACCGGCGTCTGAAATCTTTCCGCCAAAGCTTCACTCATCAGTATCTCCGGCTCTAGGACCAACTCCATCTTCATTGCCATTGGAATCTCTTGCACCACCAGCAGTAACAGTAGCAACAACAGTAGCAGCAGCAACGAAATCCTCAGCAACGTTATTAACACCTGGATCCGTCACGAATGCTCATAGCGAGCAGTCTCAGACCCTAGAGGAGCCAACTTCGATGCTACCAAATCAGAGACAACAGGTTCAACAACAGACACGAGGACAATCTGGAAACAATGCACGAACGATTCCTGGTATGGGTGGTCATTTACTAAAGCGTAAAGAACGTCGTGCTCCTGGTGGCACTGAAACAAGTGGCGTACGACCGGATACAGTCTCTGAAGAATTCAATTTTGCGGAAGGTTTGAGTGATTTTGACAAAGAGCAAGAGTTTTCCAAGCTCGAGGAAGACAAGAGAAAAGAGACAACGGGCTGTTATCAAAAGTCATCGTTCTTTGACACGATCTCGTGCGATGCATTGGATCGACTTGAAGGACAGCGAGCGAGAATGAGTGGTGCAGAAGAGAGAAAACTCAATACGGAGACATTTGGTGCCGTGGGATTGAATAACCGACGCAGTTTTCGTGGACGCGGACGTGGACGAGGACGACGTGGAGGATACCGCAATGGGAACTGGAACAGCGGACGTGGCAATGGCAATGGCGGTGGAGGACGTAACAACAGCAACAATAACGGTGTTTCTTAATCGCAACCCACTGGTCCATGAACGGCTTGTGATGAGTTCAAGGCGCAAAATACGTGGAAGTATTTTGATGAATATGAAGTAGTTTTTGTTAACTCATCAATGGACACTTCTGATGGATCAGCCATTCAAGTTTTGTGTACTGACAAACATGATTGTGATTCATTGTTTAGACTCAATGTCAGTCTTTCCTACGTTGTCGTCTTGCCATGGCGTTGAATACTTTGTGCACGTCATGCAAAACGGCAATGAAACTTCTTTATCCTACATCGTTGCGATCTCAAGACACGAAAAGCTTTCAGGGCTGTATCATTGACATCGGCCGCAATCCACCTCCTGTCACCATGGGATTGGTCTCGCGTTGGCATTGAACATGAGAATAGCATGTAGCTTATCTCTCTTTCAGTGCCAATCCTAGCAGTGATCGGCAACAAAGCTTGCAACGGCACCATTGATTTAGAAAATGCAGTCGCCAAATGTCTCCATCGACCGATGCTGTAAACCTCCGACTAATGATATCGTCCATTAGAGTCCATGATTGCATTGCTTTGAGCGCATATTCTATCGGCACCATTTGACCTACAGTCCTTTGTCATACAAGGTAGGATTGGACGACGAAGACGTTCATGGACACGTAATCCATACGAAGTACAAATTCATTCACAATGTCATTTGAACCGACAAGCGTGCAGCATCAATGTACTTTAGGCAGCAGTTGTCGCTGTAGAATGTAAAACCACTGACAACTCATGTTGCTCTGCTTGTAATATAATGCAGCAATGTACTGCTCACATCCTTTCATGATTGCTGCATGCATCTCGATCGAGCTCTAAATGAAGAATACCAAGCCAATATCATTATTGTGCCATTAACACAAGCTGCTTGTGCTAGCATATACATGCAAGCCGTCTTTGTCATGATAAGCTTGCCCCGTTTGCTCATCAGTAGACGTTGTGCTCATAGAGAGAAGGTGAGGTATATTCAGGTACGCGAGCGACCCGCTATATGACGGCACTCGAAAGCACCGTACAGACATCTGCTTACAATATTATGGAAGTACGAAACCTCGGACAGCTAATCTGCGCCGCGCGAGGTGTTGTTATGATATGGCGCGGCCTGTTGTGGTCATCGCGGGACCAGTAAGATCGGAGTGCTCGTCCAGGGAGGTCTCTAGCCAGTGTTTGACGTCGTTATCAAGGAATGCCGCAATCTCTGTGACGATATTGCGATCCGACGGTGGGTGCACTTGAACTGAAGCGCACGTGTCCATTGCGGTGTTACCCACGCGATCCGCCATTGTGTTGTATTCACGGAAGTGATGACCCAGCTAGGAAAGCACCAAAGAGCTGTCCCCGATCTCATGCTGTGGTGAGTTCTCGCTTGCCTTTGCCTGGTGGAGGCCATGAACCAGACCTCGGTATTCAGCGATGTTGTTGGTAGTAGATGCGTGACCATAGGCCACGCATGCCACCCACGTGACGCAGACTGTGTGCGTCGGGAGGTGAACCTTGACAATGACAGATCCAGAACCTCCCGGTCCAGGATTGCCGTGCTCCACCGTCAAAGAAAAGTATGTATAAAACGTTAGCGCGTTCGTCCCGCCGCAGCCGGTGCAGTTGTTAGGTGCCTCAGAGAGGGGTAGAGTGTCGGCAAGAGCTGGCTGCACATGTGACAGGTTTTGTCCTTCCTCTTCGTCCGCGGGCTGGTATGTTGAGCTGCGGAAGCGTGTTAGCGCCCGTTGAGGATGAGACCGTACCGGCTAGTGTGTGCTTCATTCGGGAGTGTTGAGTTCTCCATGCGACGGAGCCTCTCGATCCAGATAGCATGAAGCGTCGATGCAACTACAAAACGCCACAGCTCGCACGCAGCCAAAAACACTGGGGATCAAGATTTTGCCGGATCTCCGTGTGGCCCAAGAACATCCTTAATCGCGTCTCAAGCAGCGCTTGGAAAGGGTAGACGTTATTCTCAAGCAATAGTACATACATGCCTAAGTGCCCGTTCATGGCGATCACTAGGGCTAAGCAGTAGGGACTTACGGTCCTTTCCAGCTCAATATGTCTTGTTTGAGCAAACCCGCTACAATGTGTCGTAGTAGACCGGTCTTTGCGTCTTATTTGCACCATGAGGCAGTCTTCACAGCCAGCGGACATACACTGATTAAAGTCTACACACCGTACAATGCGCTGGCATTGAAGTTTGTTGTAGTTACTGTGATCACAATCAAGTTCACAAGTCTGGCCGTCTTGATTTTCTCGGTTGCTCGATTTGCATCGTAAGCAGAAGAACAACAAGAAGTCATCGTGAACAGCAATAGCCAAGGCGCATCTCTTCCTCATGAGTTCTCTACAAACTTTACGCTGTACCATGAAGATGCGGACATGCGGGCTTTTCTGGTGAGACTTAGACTTCTTCTTAGTTTTTTCCATAACAGCATTCACTTCCACTCGCGATGTAATTCACTCTCATTGCTTCGACCATATTGGGCTCAGGTACAAGGCTATCGTTTCACTCACGTTCATCACCTGGCAAAGGCCTGATCCGGGTTTGCTGACGATCTTTCGCCCGAAAGCCTTCGGCGGCAGGTTGGAGATACGTCTCCGACATGAAGCAAGCAGTCTCATTTCAGTATCCGGGAAAGAGTTACGACACCGTCAGATCCGAATTCGCTACGGACGGTGGTGCCAGAGCGTAACGCTACGTGCTCCAACCAGCGCCGTCTTTGAGACGTGGTGGGCGGCGCTTGAAAATGCGTTTGCCTTGCCAAACTTTGTGACCGTTCCTATCGTTGACGCGCGTGTACACCAGATGACGATCGCACCAGTTGTGCCTGCAAGACACAACGCAGCACGATCGAAGCAGTTGTTGGCGCTCGAAATTGACGTGGAAGTAGAGCCTGAAACCATCTCGATTGATAATATGCCCATGCTCGAAGCTAAAGGCCCTTCATCTCCTGCTGATATCGATGTCCTCGCAAGCTGGCGGACATGGAATAGTCAGGATTACTTTGCCACACCAACAAGTTCTTCCACGCCCACTCATACGTACCCAGGCACAAATGATGACCATGTATTTAACGACTGCAACAGGAGCGAGCAAAACTCGCTGTACAGTGATATCAGTGAGTTTTGGTCGAGACCGTCAGAGTGGGAATACAAAGAGCTTCACGACAACCCCGTTGTCAGCTATAATACCTATGATTCGTTCATTGCGGAGATTCCTCATGATTCAACAAGCCAAGACGACGATGCGTGGCTTGACGCGATAGCCTTTTATATATTCCGGCAGAAGGCCGTTGCAACGCAATTACTGGATCGACACCCAAGCGATCGTGTTACGCCATGTCGTGACGTCGGATAAGAAGCCTTGTGCTACAGCCAGCTTGCAAGGTTCAAGATAAAGGTCAACTGCAAGTGATATCACTAGAAAACAAAGCATGGCACAAACGTATCGTTCCATCAGTGTCAACACTTTCAGTGAAGGGGTTCTCCATTCAAAGACACTTGCATGGAGATTAGTTGCTTGAGTCGAAGTCCTGCAGAATGTTGGAAGTAGCCACGCATGAAGTCATCCGTAACACGTACGTATCCATCGCGTAGACAACCACATTAAGGTTATAGCCCGTCGGCAGAGCCACTTAAACGTCTTTGCATGCTTGGCTACAATTCTTACTTGACTCGTATCAAAGTCTTTTGCTTCTGACGTAGGGCCACGAGATTATCTACCCGTGTAAGTGGTAACCTTATGGACATTGACATTGTTAGAGGCAAGCAATGGACTTAATCAGACGAGAATCAAATAGTATTAACAAAAAGTTGGTGGGCATAGAAGTACTATGGAGGTACGACGATGCAAGGTGAACTACTATTTTAGAGCTTGAAGGTTCTTACAATTTTGAGCTTGCGCACCAAAGTTCTGACCATGTCATGCAATGCAGAGTAGACTCAACCAGATTTTGGCTACCACATACTGGCACAATGGAACCCCATGGACGCCACTTGCTTCGCCACGTCGGCCATGTGCTGTGCACCATTGCACACTGCATTGCACGGTTCTTGGAAAACTCTGGATGAAGTTGCATAGTTAAATGTGTGCAACCCAGCAAGTATTCGATTGCCAGTCGACTGAGACCAAGAGCCATCGACATCTTGCAGTTTGTTTGATTGCGCCTGCTGCTGCTGGTTGCGGCACGAATTGATCGAGATTTTACGCTTGCGTCCGTCATTTTCATCCAACGTCTCTTCAATCGTCGAAATATACTGCTTTGTGCGAAGTAAATTGCGATGAAGAGTGCGAAAGTGCTCAATATTTGCTGCATCTTCAGTCATTCGAACTAGTGGGAACATTGCGTAGGAATTGTGGCGAGTAAATTACCAAGTGAGCTCAATCATTGACTCACTCTTTCTTCTATACATGCCGAGGTGTAGGATTTGCTGCGTTTGTGGAAACTGAGTTGGGATTCGCTGAAATACGAGTCTTTTTGACAAATCATAATGCTCTGCTAGTAATCGTCACGAAATAGAGCGCCGTAAGCAAATCAATGAGCTTTACAACGCGACGCAAAAGCATTGAAACCCATTCAAGTTGAACCGTAGCAAATCGGGCGTTATTTTCTGACTTGTTGTCATCGCACGTTTTATATCTCAAACCCTCTTAACTTGCAACGGAAACATAGCAAGATTGGATGGAAAAATGCTATGACGATGCCACGTCAGATGTAGCCATACCCTCCAAAAGTGTCGCTGATCAAGATAATAATGATACAGTGCTGTTGCACAGCTACGTCACTATTGCCCATAGCCACCCGATCAGTAGACGCTCTTGATATGTTTGCTGCCTTTTGTTCGATGTAGAGACACCTGCGCCTACCTGGAGCTTGACGATACGAGCTGGTGCTATTCAATTTAAAACGGTATTGCTGTAGATAATACAAGATGCTAGTGCTTCTAGAGCGCTGCTCAGTAACAAAGCTCAAGCGTGATAAGTGACTGTACTCAGATTAATGTTCGGATCGAGGCTGTGGAATTCGTGCGGAAGCCGTCGATGCACTGTCGCCAATAGAGAGCAATGAATGTGGTTTGCGAAGAAATCAGGTCAATGACGATTTGCGCAGAAAACACTCGGTCGGAGTGAAGTAATTCGTGCGCTTTCGGTGGAAATGCAAAGGACAAGGAGGAGTTGCTTTGTCAGCGTTAATGAGGACACAAGATGACAACTCTTTTTCATGTTAACAGAGTCAAAAAGTGACGTCTTTTTCTCTCTTTTGCAGTGAATCACTCGTTCACGGCACCTTTTGCTTTGCATAAGTCTGTCTGCAATAGGCAACGTTCACACATGCAACACCAACACTATCATACTAGCAGTAGACTCAAGGTAGACACTCAAGAAAACAACCGTCGGCTTTGGTTCTCAGACGGCGGAAACTCCATGGGCACGGCAGCGGATACGTTACTCGTTGACACGCAAAAGACCTTGGCCAGCGTGATCCCGTCATTGATGCCTGCGGCATCTGCTGCTGCTCGCATGAACGTGTTGTTCTCAATGTACGCGAACATGCCGCAAAGCTGGCCGAACTGTACGACGCTATTAGGGGCTAGCAACACGCGACCAAACCGCCCGCTCGCTTTTGTGACTAGGAGTGTCATCATGTTATCGACAATGGAGTCAGGTGTGATGCTGCCTTGTGGTTGCGATAGCCAGGTTGGCATGGTCACACTGGTGTCTATATCGTTAGCTGCGTCCACAAACTGCAAAAGTGCGTCGTGGTCCCAGTGCAGCAGCAAGACTGGCTTGTCGTCGCTCACGGATGTCGACAAGAGATACTCATTAACCTGGACATGCAGCATGTGGTTAGAAAATTAAATACGACAATGCAGTAGTGTGGGAGCTCACTTCGGCAACGCAGTCTCGGTACGAAAAGGTCAACGACATGATTGATAGTTCTTGCGTATATCAGTTTTTTGTGTGCTGTTCGTTTGAGCTTACTTGATCTGACTTCGTGAGGCCACAGACAAGAATGAGTGAGAGATAAGCTGACGTCTGCGACTGCCTCGGCTGCCGCGAGAATAAGGTTGAAACATAACTAGATTTGATCTCGCACAGGTTTTTAACCAATGCAGCGCGAGTATCTTGTTGCTACATTACGTGGACACGTCATGAACAACGTGAGTCGACTGCATGAGACGATGAGCATTCTAAGCTCTATTGTGAGTCTTTCCTGGTGCTCTAGGAATGAGTAAAAGCTTGAACGGTAAGTACGTACGTACTAGAAACATCTGATTCGTTCAGCAATTTTCATCCACGCACGACCAACGAAAATATTGTCCCTTCGGTAAAATGATTTCATATCTCCACTTTCCATTCTGTATGTATCATTCATTACGTCGGACTTGTCTGCTGTCACCACATTGAAGTTGATGTTGTGTATGTTCCACCAAAGGTAATGGGTACCACACCATGTTCAAAAAAGAACAACCGAATCTTTTTTTCTTCAGCCCAAAACTGTCACGACATTAAAAAAAAGAAGAAAAAGATTAAGAACAACAACAAGACCTTGGAAATTCTTTCGCGCTATACAAAAATGAACACGAAGCCAAACCCTGCGATGATGATGATGATGATGAATCCAACGCCTCGTTCGACGTTGCATGGTACAAAAACGACACCCAAGTCGCCCTCACGTTTACCTGAGAACGTTCTCAAAAGCCCTAGCGCCTTTGAGCAGAAACCGCTGCGCATGCCAAAGCCAATGTCTATTTAACCCCAACCCAGTGCGACCCATAAAATATACCCTTGTTTGAGCCCAAAAATGAAACCGTTATAATGGATACATGTTATATTTGAGTTGAAGTACAGTTGTCTTTCTGATATGTTGCTTGCGGTACAAGCAAACGATCTGATAAAAGTACCACTAGGGTAAAATCTATTGTTAGAAGCTAATACTTTACTGCTGCTACTACGTTGTTTTCCTTGTCGTAGTGTCATTTGTTGTTGTTTATGACAAAGTAGTGACTATGATGAAGGTGGTAGCAAAAAGATTGAGGTGTACTTGAATGTTACCTGTTTTTTACTGCTTTGTTCTTCTTGTCTCAGTAGCAAAGCGGTATTTAAGTAAAGATATTAGAAGAGGAACGAATGATATCTACCACACCTGGACAGCTGTAAATACTACAGCTGTAGCTGCAAATTGCTTCGTTGGGTTAGCCCGCCTACAGACTAGCAACATGTGCTGCCCATGGCACAAACAAGATTTTGAACAGTAATGCTCGGGTTTAGTATACGATTTACGAATTATCTGAGAAAGTTTGTTCTTAATACCAAGATTGTGGAAGTTGTAACACTCGAGTATCCGACGATCCGTCAGCACAGTTGCTCTAGCAAAGCTGCAGTGTAAAAACAGAACTTGACTTAGCATTGCTGTAGAAGACAAAAGCCTATGAAATGAAGTAGGAGCAGCAGTCTTATGTCTTCTAACAAGAATTTAACGACGGTTGAACACCAATTCACAGCTTCTCGGACGATCCCGTAGATATGCAGATAACATTAAGTTTATGACCATCATTTTGACTCCATTATAAAACGTAGCGATACTAAAGGTATAAGAAATTCAATTTGTTAGCAACCTAACAGCACGCTTCAGATTTTGTGAAGGTTGATCCATGAACTGTTGGCTATTGCTGGTGTCGTAAGGGTTGCCATCAGCATCACAATAGTGTGGTTCTTAGTCGCAAAGAACAGGGTCCTAAGCATCGAAAGAGAAATCGTGCAACGTCTACGTACGAAAAAGGTGTTGCTGTTTTATTATTAATAGATTATCATTTAAGAAGTTAGAGCTACAAAGCTACAGTTGTGCGTTGTGCTTTACGAGACCAATGTAGTCTTCATCCTGTCTCTCTTTGTCTCCTTCAGATAGTACAAAGCAAAGCGATTACAGAGACTATATGTGCACAGTTACAGCTTTTGCAGTACTTTAGCCAAATGAGTATCCAAACATCGTCTGCTCGACATGTTCCATGCTTCTTGCAGTCACTCATTCAACTAGATTCCTTCTGTGTTCACTCAAGCAAGGTGTGTCAGAGGTGTCACCTCGGTGAGTGAATACCTGCAAACATTATTAACTGAAGATTGAGCTGATGTTGGTTCAGTTTTACACAATACGTGCTTTTTAAGAAAAGCAATCTTTTCTCGGCAGTTTCGCATACCGATGAAAGAAAGCAAATTTTATTTATAATGCAATACAAAAAATCTACTTTTACTTTTTACAATGCACTACTACCATCTCGCCTGTTCCTAGCCAATAGCATATTTTGCACTGCAGCACTCAGTTGTGAAAATTTACGAGCAAGCTGAATATGATGGTGAAAAACCAGACAAGGAATGGGCACCACAAGCACATATGCGCAGTCCTAGTTCAAAAATAGCGTCGGTCTTGTCAGGGTTTGACGGGATCTCGTCAAGTGATTCTAACAAAACCTTGGCTTCCCAGCTGGCGCGCTTCGCCGTCAATCGTCTGCGAATCTCACGGTGTCAAGAGAAGTGTGTGCGACGATGCTGGCGATTAATTTGCCACGAAGCATTGATCACAAGTGCTTTGCTTTTGTTCGTCATGTATATATATGTCCATCCAGAACCTGCACCCACTAAAAAAAGACGCAAACAAGACTGATTCATATCATTGCAACTCATATGATCGAATGACATGGGCATTTTGATAATGGTGTCCAGAGGCATGAAGTGCACATGGATGCATGAAGTAGATATTTAATCACATTCTTGGCGACTGTATGCCGAGAAAGCAGGCATTTTTTCATATAAAGCTTGTATGTCGACTTTGAAGGTTGCAAAGTGTACCACATTAAGTAAGGCTCTATAGCATTCATTCTCGAGAGCTTAAGATCCTGAGACGTACAAGAAAATCCGTTTTTAAACCAATCCTGGTCATTATTCCCGTCATAAACGATAGTGTTACACACTATCATGTTTTGTTTGTACCAATCAAAACTCGATAGAATGGTCCGTCCACACAAATACACACACCATATCATTTTCTAATTTGCTGACTTGAACACAGGACCATCATTCTCTAGGATCATCACTTTGTAGTGCTATAATGATATCGTTTAGAGCACAATGTTCGCTGCTTTTACCTTTGTTGTCTCTATATTTGTCCTTTTCTATGGCTCAAACTGATTCGTCTCTTCGAAGCTCTTCTTCATCTTCTTCTACTGATGGTGTCGTCGGTCACATTTCGGACAGTATCCAAGTCGGTCCGAGTATTGCTGCCGTGGTTGCCATTATTGGTGGTCTTGCCGTGAACACATGCGGTTATCGACTACTACGTCCTACTATGTTTGGCTGTGGTTTTCTTGTAGGTGGTTATCTCTTATCGGCCATTGTAGAGTACATTGTGGATGATCAATCATACGAACGTACTGCGTTTTGGATTTCTTACCTTATTGGTGGCCTCATTCTCGGCTCCATTGTCGTCTCCATTTACAATGCCGGTATTTTCCTTATTGGTGCAGCTGCTGGTGTCTTCTTGGCAACTATTATCAATACTTCGTTCGGTTACAGACTCTATCCGAACGATCCAACCACGGGTCTGTTCATTATGGCGATTGTGTTGGGTTTAATCTGTGGACTCTTGGTGTTTAAGATTGAGAGACTCGCTATTATTGCGTCTACAGCTCTCGTCGGTTCCGTGCTCTTTGTCAACGGTGTTGGCTACTTTATTGGAGCCTTTCCCAAGCTCACAGATATCAAGGATTACCGCTACAAGAATGAAGATGGAGATTACGTGTACGACATTCCAGGTGAATGGTGGGGATACTTCGTGGGCATACTGGTTGTGTTTATTTTTGGCATTGCCGTCCAGATCAAGATGACTGCAACGAAGTAGAAGGTATTAGTGTGCTTAATTAAGACCATTAAACTAATCTACTATGTTGATTGTTTTTCATATGTAACGGATTAAAGAGCTGTCCAGCCTTATTGGATGCATGTGCACAGCCAACTTTATAAATGATGTAGTGTGTGCAGCTTGTACACCAAGAGATGCTGAAGGCGTTTGTGTTGTGTCATTTGTAAACGATGTTTTCTATCTGTGGATCAGAGTCAGTCGAGCAAAGCGCTACTGATATGTACATGCTGCTGGCATAATTCATGATGGACATCTAAATACAAGGCCTGCACAGCTGAGATATACCCCATTCAAGCCCATATGTCAGCATGTAGCGAGCAGGAGAGAATAGCAACGGGGTAGGTAAACTACTTAGAGGCGTCACGCCGCAGTGCAAATCTGCCCAACTCTACTTCGCAGATAAACACGCCCTGGTTCTACGGTGGTGCGATTCTCGCTTTGCACTGTTCTGGTGTGTTGATATAGCAGATCACAACCTAAATCTGGTGCTCTATGTACGTGAAGCTTATAAAAATCTACTTAACGCAGTCTAAAAGATGCATGCGTGTCGGGCAACACCCTGGTGATCAACAATACTCAGCACTGTCTGGTGCCCGACATGTAGGTCAGCAAGTGCGTTCTGGTTGCAAGTCGTGATTTGCAACGCTGCACAAGCGCAATCATTGATTACATTACACAAAAATGGTATCGTTATGCGATGTAGTGTCAATGCTGTACAACTTTACTTATGTAACAGAGCGTCGCAGGCAAACGCCCAACAGCCAATGCCCTCGCTTTTACGGCGTTATCGACTACGGCTCACCTTTGGATCAATGAATTGCACGGAGAATGCATCAGAAAGCAAGAAACAACATGGCAAAAGCGTTCAAATCGACTCGCCCATTTTTCAGTCGATACGTCTATTCTCGTTTGTTTCGGTGAGTGCTCGACGGTATCGACTTGTGAGAGATCAACTGCCTTTCATTTGATACGCTCGGATGTCGGCGAGACGGGATTGAAAGGTGTGATCGACGTTCATCTTTCCGATTTACAGACCAATTCCCGTGTACGCGACCTCATAGCGATTGTTGAAACAAAACTCCAAGCATTGCCCCAGCAACGAGATTGTATTCGCACCGTGAAAGTTATTTATCTGCATGGATCTCGTATCAGTAATAACCAGTTCGTCGTGTCGCTGATTCCTGATCTGGAAAGTAGCGCCCCACGCCTGCTTGTGGCAGTGCAAGCTAGATCTAATTGCACGAAAGACAAAGCTTTAATGGTGCACGTCAAGTCTTGTGAAACAGGCGAACTTGTTTCAATTGTTTGCACACCTGAAGATACAGTGGACGACGTCAAGACCCGGATCCAAGCAGAATGGCAAATTCCAGCTTGTAAGCAGCGTATCATATTTGCAGGCAAAACAGCTTGAGGATCAATACATGCTTTTGCATTACAACATTCAAACGGATAGCACGCTGCATATGCTGCTTCGACTTTGAGGCGGGTGTTCATCTTTTGCTGATGTCTCCAACGCGTCAAAATTGACTGAGCTTGGATTTTCCGACACCGCTCCAGATTGGCGTACATGTAAAGATGGTCTCAACGTAGAAGGCCTGTGTGACAATTTCAGATGCAGAGCATACAGAGAGACTATCATCTATCCTATGGAGTTCAAGTCTTTTAACCTCATGACGGAAAATGACGTCCGATGTCCAGTATGTCACAAGAAGGTGAAGCCGGTTACATGAATTTTACTTCTGTGCTTGGAAGTTTGAGGGTATCAAGGCAAGTGATTCTTTCTCCATTTCATCGCGGTGGGAGTTGGCTGAAGGAAGAGAATATTATCGGTTTGACGAACGATATAATTCCGTCGACTGGTCAAGTCTCCTGATCATGGCTAAATCATTGCCTGAGGCAACGAAAGCCAAGCTCATAGTCTCAACATCTTCTACAGTGAACAAGGTGAAGAAAGAGAATGTGTGTACTGTTTGCTGCTGGAGTTACCACAAGTTGCTGTGGGCACAGTTTTCATCGAACGTGTGTGAACGTGTGGTCAGAATGGTGTATGAAGGAAAATAAAGTACCATCTTGTCCTGTTTGCTGCCAAACGCCAATCTACTAAGGATAGAGATTTGGCTGGAAGACCATGACAAGGAATCTATGAATTGCCACTGAGAAAAACTCAATGCTCGAAACCGATTGCATCGTTTTCATTTCAGTGCTATGGAAAATGTGCTTTGTTTGAATGTTCCAGTCGACTCTTTGCTTTGTTTAAAAAGCAAATACTGTATCTCCGTCACTCGGAATTAGTAGTGTCTTATGTTTTTGGTAGTATACACTACTAAAATTACGTCAGATGAAGCATTTAAAAATGTTATTGTGGACGTATAATAGCTGTAGTATTATCCGGAAACACTCGCATATTGTTTGATAATGTAAAAAGTAAGTTTCATGTTACTTTTTGTGTCTGAAGTAATATTATTATACCAATTATTGTACCTAAATGGATCTACTGGACGCCATCGAACAGTTTGAGCAACAAACAGATGCTTGTCAAACCACTCGACGAGAATTTGATTTTGTTGAGCGTCAAGTGTTGTTTGTACAGCAAAAAGTACGCGAATCATGGCAGAGAAAGCGTGGAAGTAGTGTCGAATTACCATGTATTCCCTTTTATTGGGTCTTTTCAAAATTATTGCGCCTGATTGAGGAATATCCGGATGGTCTGACAGAAGCTATTGTACTTACTGAAGTAAATATCTTCTTAAATCAAAAAGAAGAAGCAAACGATACGAACTATAAGGTTATAAAGGTATACAAGAAACGAAAATATCACGATCTATCAGAGACGGAAGAATTCTTAACTGACAACATACAACAACAAAAAGGGTTCACCGCTACAATTATTAATTATGAGAATCATCAATTCGTATTAGAAATGAAAAAGGTCCCACATGTGACGGTACACATGTACGTTTCTAAATCCTTTGAATTAACAAAGAGGTGGGCATTGTACTGATAAAATGGACGTATAGGTACTTGCATCAGAGATTTCGTTCCTGTATGGACTTTTGGCATGATACATTGCAAGATGAATCAAATGGGTACATTTTCTTAACTACTAGGTCGTAATACTATTTGTTTGTGCTGGGTAAATGAGCGAATGACTTTGTGTTTGTATGATGTTTTGTTAACGATCGTGGCAGTGGTGATACTGCCTTTTTCCCTTTTCAGATTGATGGTGAAGTTGTGTTTACCAATGCTAAACTACTAGAGAGGAAGGAAATTGATATGAAACAATCAATGGTAAATGGAGAAAAGAATCGAGCCAAGTTTACATTCTTACCAACTGCCTTTTTGATTCCACGACTGAATGAAGAGAAAGTGTTGGATCACAAGTTGGTTGCGGATGCCATTAGTTTAAGTCAAGTGGATCGATTGGTTGGAGAAATACAAGATACGAGTGCGATCCAAGTGTTGACGATAAAGGTCCAAGTGCTGGATATTGGAGCTGTTCGACCATGCCAAACGCCACTGTATGTCCACCGACAAGTTATATTGTTGGGAGAAGTTGAGCAGACTAACACTAGTGCGACGACAAATTCACAGCAATTGACCCAAGGTTTGCATTTAATGGTTCTCTGGGATGACCAAGTTGCGCTCAGTCGTCTATTTCGTGTTGGTGATACTCTCACAATCTTCCACCCATTCGTGCACGTATGTGGCCAACACGACACGGAGATTCTACACATTTTGAACGAGCATTCGTTCCAGCAACGCATTTCATACTATTTTGAGTATGGCAGTGCTACAGTGCTGTTTAGCAAGTCATCTCGAGTCTCCACCATGGATAATTCACCCACAACATTAGCCAATCCTCAAGAACACAGCGAGATGGAACAACCCTTATCTCACTTGGATGATATCAAACCAGGATGGCATAACTTCTCGCTATATGCTCATGTGCGTAGCATCACTGTTTCACACGGCATCCCGCTACTGGCAGCTTTCTTTTACGCGTACTACGATTCAAAGACAAATCAACCGGGGACGATGAATACAAAAATGCTGCCTCCGCCACCTCTGGACTGCACAATAGTGTCAAGGTACTATCTGGTCGTGATGCTGCAAGTCTACATTGCATCGTCGGAACGTTTACTGACGATTGAGGTCACAGGAGAGAATGCATTGACAGCATTACGCCTTCTTCCAGGACAAAGTGTCTTCTTTGATGGTCTTGTGGCCATTGATATACAGTCAAAGTCGGTACGTCGATATCGGGAACGAGGATGCATGCCACTTGCTTCAGCTTCAACAACAAAAGCTGAATTTGCTCTTCCAACGAAAGCCTACAGCACGTCTCCATCTTCTAGTGTTGTAGTGCTGTGCTCGGATTGGGAAAGTATCTTTGGAAAACAATCTCTCTTCCACAACAGCTCCAAGCTCACGGTTATCAATACGACTCCAGGTCTTTTAAACACTGTACTCGATCGTTCTACAACACTTGACAACGTCGCAGCACATGCACTTACCATGACCGAAATGACACTCTCAGGAGCTGGTTGGTTAATTCCAATTGACACTCTCGGAGCACAAAGTTTTACAATGGATCCAACCTGTGAGAAGGGCCACGCAACGACCTATGCACACAAGGCGTGTTTCCGTCCATTAGAGCTCATGACAAGAAAAGGAGAGCAAGTGCCTAATCCACCCAAGTGGAAGTGTCTCTTTTGCCACGAGATACTTTGTGGATTACAAGACACGGTGCAAACATACAACGAATTAGCCGTGATGCTTCAGAATGGTCGATCAAGAACTTGTCCATTGGTCGTGCTTTGTCAAGGTGAGACAGTGGAAACTCTACTTGGTCTATCTGCTGACCGCTATGTTCAATTACCATTCACACAAAAGCGCAAGAGACTCGAATGTGTCATGGGGACATCTTTTCAACTGGTCCTATCTCGATGTGCACCTCGTCACGTTTTCATTCCATCGACATCATTCTCACCCCTCGTACGTCACGATACTGACGATACAAGGACATTGGTGATTCATTCACGTATGGATCTTGTACAATCCATTGATCCTTTTGCTAGAGCTCATGACATACTTTCAAGGTTAAAATCCTAAATGTATCCATTTGGTAAATCCTAAATGTATCCATTTGGTAAATCCTAAATGTATCCATTTGGTAAATCCGACTCCTACTGAGCTCTAGCCGTTTCAGACGTCATGAATAACTAGGACAACTGGGTTTTTTTAGGACGTGTTTCACAGTTTACTTGGATTAAGTATACTTCATATACTAATCAAGTCACTCTAATCAATTAAGTCTACTACAAGCCCCTTCTCTCTCTCTCCCTCCCTCCTTCGTTCATAACAAACCGTTCCAATTCCAATATCTCCCTCCTTGTCACCATGACGTCTCTCTCCGCGGCAGTTACGTCATCCCCTCGATCCAAGACATGCAGCATTCAACAGTATACAATAGACAAGATCTTTACACGTCGTTTCATGCGTATTTGGTGTTCGAAGTCCTCCCAGGAGCGTCGGAATCTAGCAGACAAGGTCCTGCAATTATTCTCTACTGGATCATCTTCCATTAGTGTCTCGACGAGTCTAAATTATGGTTCAAGGCCTATTACACGTCGTCCAGGTGTTGAGGAGATTAAGAACTGTATACTCACAAGTGTCTACCCGTGTTTACCACCTCAGTGTGATCCATTACGTGGTGAAATCTGGCAAGTCTTATTGCATGTCTATAAGCGGAATCAACATGGTTCTGCTGCTCAGGAGTTTGATCGGATGTTACAACGACTTGGAAAATTGCCACGAGATGCTGTTTTATGTCAAGAATGTCATGAGGTGGCAGAAATGCTGGCACCCATGGAGATTAAGACGAGAGAGCGGATTCAACAGGAAGTGGAAGTTTTACTCATGTGGTTCTTAACAACAAAGAGTGTTGCCTACTCCACAGGCATGGCACGTGTTGTCGCGTGTTTTTTTATCCTGAAAATGCCACTGGCGACGATTTATGACTGTTTTTATCAATATTGTGCACAGTTTTTACCACATTTTGTCGTCGCTGATAGTTTGTTTGCAGATGTGTCCTCGGCATTGAATGCTGCTGGTGGTAGTACTGCTGGTGGTAGTAGTACTGCTGGTGGACAAGTTGGAAGCAATCGAGGAAGTAGTAGTAGTATGGATGAAACTTATTCTGGACATAGAGGAACGTTAGAACGATCAAGTTCGATGGACTCGACGTCGTCGTTAGGAGAGGAAACAAAACGACGTGCGGACGATGAAGAAGCACAGACATTAAAACGTGAACGACAACAATTGGTGGAACAGTTGCTGAGTTATCATGCACCACAACTTGCATATTGTTTGAATCAATGGTGTGGCAATGAATGGAGTGTAGCAGGCAAATTGTTTGCTGCTGACTTTTTGATGGGACATTTGTACCAGGTTATACCACCAGCTGCATTTGTATACGTGATGGACCAGTATTTGTTGACAGGTGACTCGCTCTTTGGACTGTTTTTCGTGATTGCCGCGCTGATTCAGCGAGAGGACGTGCTGTTGGACTGTGGATCGACGCAGGAGGTGCAAGAACAGATTTGTGCGGCCTTTGACGCAAAGGCGTTTGCTGATGAAGAAAATGTCCGCTTCTTATGTCTATTGGCGTCTCGTCTGCGTGGCAAGACACCTAAGACGTACAAGTGTTCACAGCGTGAGGCCACAACTGACATCCGATGCTCTTCGCGTCAAGCAATTGAGATTGCTTATGGCTCGGGTGCTAGTACAGTTGCTAGGAAGGTGCGGGCTTTATCTAGTAACGAAAGCATGAGTGGGCCACCTTCAGGTGGTCTTAGTGCACCATCATCCTCGGATCGAAAGTCGACTGCTGAAGCTGCGGTGGATATGTCGCAGTGGGTAATGAAAGAGTCTCGCTCGATTGCAGGCAAAATATTCTGGTACCACACGCAGACAGGAAAAACACAGTGGGAGCACCCCGCTGAAAAACACGATCCGCCATCAGCTTATTTCGCACTACCTATTAGCGTCGAGGAAGTGGGTGCACAGCTCATGGGTGGTGGTGAGAAAGGTGGTGGTGAGAAATTAAGCGATCAGCAGCAAGCTCCAGGCAGTTTGAGTCCTCGTTTTTTTGTTGTTGATTGCCGGGGTTTACGTAGCTCGGATGATCTAAAGAGTGGTCGCATTCCGGTGGCGTATACTTTAGACCCTTCAGTGTTTGATTCACCTGAACTATTAGCAAAGAGTATGGAAGCTTTCAACCCAATGAAGTCTCAAGTCCATGTTGTTTTAGTCGGCCATGGTGTTGGTGTTCCTCCTGAGCTAGCTACGTCCGAAGACGTGAAAATGAGTATTCGTGACGCTGTTCATTTGGACACGGACTGCCTCAACCAGGCTGCGATGTTTTTCCAGAAGCGCGGGTTTCGTTTTGTGAGCATTCTGGATGGAGGCTATTCGTCATGGCATGCATTTATGCGTGATCGCCCCGGTTCGTCACCACAGGAACTATTGAACCACGTTGCTGATCAGTGCGTTTACTGCCGGTACGACACAATCCTACGCACAGGTCGGGATCCACTGAAGAAAAAGTCAAAGCTGAAGAAGCCGCGCCGCAAAAAGTCAATGCCCACTACAACATCAATGCCTGTGAACGGTGGGACTGGCGACGCAAGTATCTTCTCGACAAGCGGTTTCAGTCATAGAAAAAGTGGTAGCATCGGTAGTAGCGGTACGCCTAGCGTTAGACGCCAGCTATCTCTTTCTCGTAGCTCAATTACGTCGATGAGAAGTAAGCTCTCAGAGGTGTCCATTCCAATGAAGTGGGGGTGGAAGCGGAGGTCGTCGGCCAGCGCAAGCATCCAGAACGACAGTGGCTCATCATCCGAGACGGCGACAGCAGAAGATGGCGGCAGCGATCACGGTTCGTCCGTGGACGACCAGGAAGAAAAATATGACGAGGCGACGCATGAAATGCTTCGTTCTGCACTTGAAGAACCTGAGGACCCAGACGTGGATGCTGGCGTAGATATAGATGTCAAGGATTCCAAGTTTGTCGGCGTCTTTACTATAGACTACAGCGATGACGAAATTGAAATTGAAGACGAAGGAAACACTAAAGAAGACATGACCGAGCTTGGTGGCTCCACATCAATGGCAATGGACGTATCGAAGGACGTTAAGCACGAGACGGTTGCTGGACTTGGTGCTGTTTTAGGAAGTGAGGCTGAGCCAACGACATTGGTATGAAGACAAAGCTGGTCAACCACGGTTCATGAATTCATTAGCTACGTGCAGTAGGAGGCGTTGCAGGTGTGTGTGTTTAAATTGATTCGTTGAGTTGGGTTTCTAAGTGCTTTTGCGTTTGTACAGCAGCGGTTGGTTGTTTCTTGAATGAAATACGCTCACAACCAGCACTTGGTCTTAGTAATGTTGCCATGCTTCCTTAAACAGGAGGTCTTACTTAGCATTTAGCCTCATGAATGCATGGACAAGGACTAACGTGTTGTACAATCATAGCCATGTAGATTTTGAACCTGAACCAACGACTGCAGGCACACGCCGATGAACTAACACTAACACGTCCATGTCACTCGCTCCTCATGACAAGATGCTTCATTATTAGGTAACTCGACAAACAACTACGAAGTAGAAACAGCATTGACAGTGGTCTGTGGTCACGACAGTCTTCATACTCACCTCCGTCATTTTTATTAAAGGAGTCGTCAGTTTGTTTGACGACAGACTGGACAGCTTGGTCGTGTTTTGTTTGCCTTGCACCACTTGGACCACTCATTGAAGCATTGACGATGAAAATTGTGACCACAACATGCCGTGAAACACTTTGTCGGTAAGTTGAATGGAGACCAACAGATTGTACACATATCTTGACTCTCGATCGGAGAGGATACCGTTGCAAGGAGTAGTTTTGCATTCTTCGCATCTCGCGGTTTCACCATCATCAATAGACTCTTCCATTCAACAGTCCCATGTTTCGCAGTAGAGTCAAACCGATGGTAAACATATCCCTTTGCATCTCGCCACGGAGAACAGATCGAGAGGTTGTCACTTACAACCACACCTTCAAAGCGCCAGACACAATCATACAGTCCGCAAGTAAGAGGCTTCACTTTCGAAAAACACATTGGACATTGGATATCGTCATCTAGCATGAGATTAAATGGCATAAACTTCTTTTGGATAATGACCATGTGACGAAACGCATGGCATTCAGAATTCTTACAACGCCCTTCAATGTTGACCCCTTTGCTCACAATGCGCCATTCAGGAGCGTCACGGGAGAATTCAACCGCAGTAATGAGTGAACGATTTGAAACATCTGCAAACGTTTGAAATGCAGGACGGTGGCTAACCTGTCCACCACGCATTGTCATTGACAAGTGAAGTGTACTTCCCTCTTGAACGTAGTAATCCGATAGCACATGATGATCTTGCAAATATTTGCCAGCATACATGAGACGCTGTGCTTTCGGTGCAATCTTCTCCTTGTCTTGAATTTTCCTCTTGAGATAGTCCACAGTATCTGACGACAAGCAGTTCACAGTTATGGTCTTGCCATTCAAAGTCGCGACAAATAGTGTCATGGCAATGGCATGTTGACTCCCATTCCATCGTGTTTGTGCTATCGCAACAAGACGTGGACTACTTCCTGCTAGATCCGGAATAATAGACTTGAAACAGTAGTCGTTGTTGATCGGCATGCCGTGCAACATCAAATGCGTCACTTCTCGTAAGACATTCCCGTTTTCAAGCGAATAGTTTTGAACTTTCTTGTTCACGATAGCGACCACATCTCGCACAAAAAGATCACTTGTTCTCTTCTTCTGGTTATGAAAGTCCGTCTCATGAATCTCAATGACGCCATGTAATCCAGGCTTCTTCGCATCTTTCCATGGGATAGGAATTGGAGCTGCTAACATGAGACTTGAAACTCTTACGCGAGGTAGTGTTGACGATGGTATCGTGTCAATTGTAGAATGACTGATCTACTTTGCGTTCAAGAACAACATGAAAATCTCTTGGAAACACGCATGACAGTTAGCTCTTTATCAAGCAACCAAGACGTGAACGTTTCGAAGAAATTGCTGCATGGTGCGTGCTTGACAGTTAGAAGTACCATCGGGGATGCGTCTATCCGAGTCTATGACATCTGTCTATGTAAAGTCAGTCTAAGGAAGCGTCGAACCAGGCACCAAAGGCGTCCAGTACGGCGTCAAATACAGCAAGTCTCTCACAGATTCAATCCCATCTTGTGTTGGTGGATGCTGGTCCGTACTGTTAAGCATTTCAAGCGCTCGTAATAGCAGAGGATGCGTGACATTGTCGTTGCTGAGAATATCATATGCTTCCTGAGCAAGCTGACGAATTTGAAGCGCTAGAGACTGGAGATCATCAGTGAGCAGACACGACGTCGAAGTTACGATGGCAACACCCGCCGTAAAAAGTCCAAGCAGAGGAGCAAACACGTCCGGGTAGTAAGGGATACCTCCCAACCATCGTCCACCTTCCTCGTCTGAACACTGTGCCTCCTGGTTCAGAATTTGTAGCGCGACGGTAACCAGTATCAAGACCTGCTTGCGCAAAAGGCAAATCGGCTCTGCATCTTCCGTTGCACGAGCCAATAGGGAGTATATGATGTTTTGTGCAAGCACGTCGCGCTCAGCAAAATAGTTGCTACTTTCAAACTCGAAAATTCGGCGGTACAAGTTATCCCAGTCTTGAGCCTTTGCGCCAGCAGCACCAGCGTATGCTGAAAGTACGCTAGGAGCATCGATTAGCTGGAGCAACGCCTTCGACAATGACGTTGCGCCATGTCCAGTGCAAACAAATGAGGCAGAGATATACTCTACTGCAAGAGGCAGCATCGTTGCATCAGACAACGAGCCTTTTGCAGAGGCAATACCAACAGCATCAAAGGCCTTCTGTATAGCGTGTCGTGCGACAGCTCTTACACTGCCTTTATCATCTTGAAGCAGTCGCAGTGCGCTCATCCAGCCAGTCAGTGCTAGGTCAGCAATTATAGTGCTACCGTACTGCTTCGTGTGCAGAAGAAGGAGACCACTGTGATGAAGCGCAGAAGCAGCAGCTTGTCGAAGAATCAAAGGCTGGCTTTCGTCAGACCGCAACTCGATTTCCTGGCACAGAGTTTGATACAACGGGTTCTCTGTGTGGTGTTCACAAAGCTGATTGTACGCCATAAGAGCGAGCAGCTCTAACGCTGGCGCTAAAACTTGCGCGTCTGCTGAGATGCTCATTGTACGCATCAGCCGGATTTGTAAATCCAATCGTTGAGCCTGCGTTTCTCTAATGGCTTGCTGAAGCTGGCAACGAATTAGTAACTGCAATTGTCGCGCGCGCACCTTCGGGTGTGTCTCCACTAGGAACTGGCCGATCAAAATGGTCTGCAGCTCAGCAACAGAAGTCAGGCTCAAATCCGCAATATTCAGCTTGTTCCCAAACTGCTTTATAGCTTTCTTGCGAATTTGGAGCACGTTAGAGATTAACATTTTCTTCACAATCGAGTTTAATGATTGACTACTCGCAGGCAACGCCCACAAGCTAAACCAAATTGACACCAATACACGATCCAATGCATACATGCCCGGCTGAGTAGACAGAACAACTGCAGCAGCCCAATCGGCATCGCACCGCTGCTGCAACTGGCGATCAACTTCAGCTTGCGTCTGCTGAACAAATTGAATAAATGCTTCCGTGATCGGGCCCGACTTCAACGTCGAAAATACATCAGAAGCGTTTTCAGCGTAGTATTGCAAAACAATGTCAATTGTCGCCACCATCTCTGCACGAATGATAGCGTTGATTGATTCCGCGTTCTTTCCCATCCATAGCCAATTTGTTGATGGAAGCAATTCGGTCACAACAACCTCAAAGAAGAAAGCTTGTGCGTCATTTGCGATGGGTATGCATTTCTCTCGCGCACCTCTCACAGCCAAAAATTTGGTTGCAAGGTGCCGAATTTGAGCGAGTATACCGTGGACCTCATTGTGCGATATCGCTTTCGTATCAGTGGGGTGGCTCTTCACGGTTCGGACACCTTGAGGAAGCTTAGCGCAGAGAATCGACAAAACCGGCGCAGCATCAGCATCGGTAATGATAGAAGCCAAAACCTTCGCAGCCATATGCCGGATCGCCATCGTCCGCTGGGAAGCGCATTTTAAAACGAGCGGAACAAAGCTCGCCAATCCACTTTCATTGTCGCAAGGTAAAGTTGATGCAGGTGCGACGCACTGATCAGCTTCGTCGCCAGGGCGAAGGCGACTCAAAAACAGAAGCAATGGATAAAGACCAGGCGGAGCTGCTCCCCCTAATGCGCCACAATACTCACTATCACTTTCAAGCAATCTGGTCAAGTAACGAGCCAAGAGCCCACGGAGTTGCTGAAAGCGCGAGAACACGTCGTCACTGGTAACTTTTTGATGGGCTCCACCATCAGCAATGCGCTTGTCTCCAATGGCACGCTGAGTGGCCGCAGCAAAGAGCATCATCGAAGAGTTGCGTACAGCCCATGACCCGCAATCAAATCCGCGCACAGCAAGCTCAAACATATCCACAACGTAACGAGCAACATCCTCTGTCAGTACTCCATCCTGGCAAATGAGCTTTAAAATGTTCAGTGCATGCACACGAGCACGCCAAAGCGAATGGTGCTCCTCATGCGGCTCACGCTTTTCTGCTGCGTCGGTATCCTCGCCTGCAAGACGTAGTAATGTCGACATCACCTTTGGCAAAATAACAGCTGCAGAATTGCGCGGCTCAGCACGAAGGATCGCCACGAAGCTGAAAGCAAAGCCTGAGCTACGACGCAAAATAAAGTGCTGTTCCGATCGCTCCAAGCGTTCCAACAAGCGATCAGCCCATCGCGATGGCAAGGCACCAAGAGCTGCATTCTCTTCACCGTGAGCAAGAAAGGCGCAACAAACACCTTCAAATGCCATGTATGCTGTAGCGACCGCGCCCTTATGCTTAAGCTCAAACAACGAGTTTAGCAATGTCTCTCCTGCACGTTGTGCCATTTCAACAGTGAAGAAAGGGACACTATCGGAGGTAGTGTTGGAACTTGGAAGTGGAACGCGACGCATGAGTAACTCGAAAATTGCGCCACATTCGCGAGCCGCCAGCCAGCTACCCACGACGGCACGTTGCTCGGCGTTTCCATTGTCTTCCTCTCCTTCGAGAGCACTATCACCATTTTCAATGATCAAATGGCCGCGGCAGTCAACTCGCAATGCTGAGCTCGATGTATTGCCCACAGCATTCACCTCACCGACAACGCCAGCAGACGAAGCTGACAGCTCTTCGTCACCAGCGCCAAACGTCGCATCACCGACCACAGCAAGAGAGGCAGACATGGAGCAATGAATTGCCGCAAATACTTGTTTCATAGCCCGCGACCAGTCTGCGGCTTCACTGCTGGAACACTTATCGAAGGCCACGTTTTCCAATACGTAATGCAATGACAGCAGAAAACCATGCACGAGAGGAGACTTTCCCAATCGGATTTCTGCTGGGCTCAGAGCTTCAACACGCGTCAAAATTACTTGCGTCAACTGCAATACAAAAGCCACATCCGAATTGCTGCTGCTAGCTTCAATAACACCACTTTGAAGTCCCGATGCACGTTGAAAAGTCAACCCATATCGTTGTATAGCTGTGCTACATTTTCGAAAGAGCAGCCGGATGAACATTGCTCCAGCGTCGCTCTCACGCTGCCGGGGACTACCGCTGAGCCCAACAGCCCATTCTATAAGAATGCGGAGTTTTTCTCGCGTGAAATAACCCGGCAGCTCGTTCGGATACAAGTCCAAGATTGTGAACGACAAAGACCGAATTGAGTCCCATGAACTAACGAGTATGTTAAGAAGGCTTGTCACCATCTGCCCAGTGAACAAAAGGCTTCGTGAGGACCCTTCAGCCTCGTCATTTCCAAAGCCAAAGAGCTGAACATACAGAAGAAAAACCTCCAAACCCAGCGTCAAGCGTTGAGGAAGCGCACCAGGGTAAACGGAAACGACAATAAAAAGCTCTATCCAGCGCTTAAACGATACTGCAGCGGCATATTCATCACGCCTAGGTGCGTTATCGCAAATAGACCTTGGTTTAGCCAAATCTTTACTGGCGAGACGCAGCGTCTCCTTAATGCGAATTAGCACTGTCTTAAGGCCAATCAGCGTGTTCATGCAACTAGCGGGGCCAATTTCCTTTCCATTTACCACCAAATAACACTTCACCAGTCGTAACTCATCATCTGTGGGCATACTAGTCGATTTTAACGATGCACACAGCGCATCAAACGCTGTACAACGCGTTTCTCCCTTGGCGTGGCGAAGGCCGCGTTCAATCTCGTCCATCGATACACCAATAAGCTTCTCAGGTGCCATTTTCTTTCGTGCAAATTTCAGCACTTCGAGTTCAGCCCACAACGCAGCATCTGCAGCTTCTCTATTGGCCTCCTCCTTTGTAGCTTCTTTTTGTAAACGCTCAATCAGGACAGACACACAGTCAGGGTCTTTCTTCAGCAACAGCGGGATCACATAGATAGCAATCCGTGAGCGAAAATTTGCGTCGCGTGATAAAAGCATGCAAACTACATCCGGAAGCCAGAGTTGTCGCCACGCAACCACAGTCTCGCAATCGTGCTTTGACTTTCGTGTCTTACCGTTTCCCACACTAAGATCATCAAGAATCCGAGCAAACAAGTTTGCAGCTGCCGGAGCAGCATAGTCCTTTTGACCAACTGCTAAAAGCAGTGACGACAACAACGGTGGACTTGCCTGTAAAACAGGCTTTGCACCAACTTCTCCAACTAATAGCGTCAATGATCCGTACTTTGCACGGCTAGTGGGCGGTAGCTCTACCAATCGCTTCAAAATCGCTTCACTCCATTTTTGAAATCCGCCAGAAAGCACAAAGTAGTGTACAATATGAGCAAACACCGTGGCCATAAACTGGTTCACTTTCTTTGATGGATGCTCCCAGTTTAACAATACGGCAGTAGTTAGGTTAGTAAGCGTATCGTCCGCCAATACAACACAAGAACTACCAGATGCAACGGACACTTGTTTCTTTTGTTTTTGCATGATCAGCACTGCACGGCGGAGAAACGCCTCTAACACCTGAAACGCATACAAACGTGTGTTGTACGACTCGTGATCATAAAACTGCTGAACACCGGTAAAGATGGTGTTTAGCACGCTCTGTTCTGCATTCGTGTCAGCCTCTTCCAGCCCAAACTTTGTAAGATCATCGTCCGCAAGACTATTCAGTAAGCCACGACAAACCGCAAGTCTCGACAAATCACCAAAGCTCTCTACATCCTTTTCAATATGTGTTCGTAACTTTGTATTAGCACACGAGTCCAAACCAATGATATTCCGCTTCGGATAAGCTGTCTGGAGCAATAATTTTGTAGCCATTTCGTAAGAATCTTCCAACGGAATCAACTGTAGTCGTAGCAATGCCCGAAGCACGAGACAATAGGCTAGTCCTGCTTGTGTCAATAGATCCTTGTGTATCACACTCGTCTGTAGTAACAACACACAGTGTTCCATAATACGAAAAAACGCGTCCGTCAAAGTCTCCAAACTCGTCGTTACTTCATGGCATTGCACCAAACGATTGTCGAGTATTTTCTTCATTGTTGTCAATATAATTACACTCTTAAGAGCATGACCACAGCGTTCTGATGCTAGTAACACGACGTTTGTAGATGCCACTTGACTTGTCTTGATCTCTTCTTGTATCTGATGCTTCGAATTCTTCAGATTCTGATTCACGTCATGATACATCACAATAGACGCTCCTAGAGCCTCGAATTGATCCGCACAAAACGTTAGAAACTGCACCAAATGCTTGAGATTACCATTTTCCACTTCATTAATGGGATTTTCAACTAAAAGACGTGCTACAAATGGTAATTCAATCACATGTAACATCCGATCCAGTAGCATCACACGATGGTCGGGTGTCTGATTCGGCAGTCTTTCTGATTCCATCCATAATGTATCAAGAAACAATTGTAATTCCATGGTGGCAAGGTTGCGCAACATTCGTGCAACATTTTCATCCCTTGTCAACACAACTAGAATCAATTTCAGATTTTTATGTAAAGGTTGTGTACCGACAGTTACACTGAGTCGAAAAATCAGTTGCCAAATGGCAGAAACTAGGTTAAGGTCTACATTGGATTCCAGCAACTTACACTTGGCACGAAAGAATTGAAGCAGCTTCAGTTGCTCGTAGAGATTCTCCTTTGCCATACATAAGGTCTTATACCATTGGGCAAGAGTGATGGGATCACCATTAAAACATACTGATAGATTGATATCAAAAGTTTCAATTATATTATGTAGATCAATTCCACTTGGATAGTCTAGATGACCTTCCATGCACGTCTCTTTCAGTACACTTTTCTTTTTCTTCCGCATACTTCTAGTTGTTTTTTTTTTAATTAATATGGACCAATGGGTCCTAGACTCACGTGGTCCACACAAAAAAACACCATACACCCAAAATATCCCGGATTTTATCCTTTGTCTCATTTATGGTGTTTTGTACCTAAGAAATTAGTCACCGACTAGGTCCCTCATCCCATCCTCATCCAAGGAAGTCCGAAGGCTACGGACGTTCTTTTATTCGCTTGTAATGGCGGTATCAGAGGCTCCCACGACGCTACGTCGACTGAGAGGACAAGAGTCGATTGAAGAGGATCAACTTTCACTGGATAAGACGGAGAAAACACAACCAATGGCCGTGCCAAACATGAATAAACGACGTTGTGTCGTGTCGACAAAGCCGTTGAAAGGAGTGGACGTTCTTACGTCTAGAACGTGTACAGCAGTGACTTGTGGTATGACTTGGAAGAAGGAGGAGTGTATTGTATTGATATGATTGTATCGTTTTAACGACATGGCGCTGTTGTTGTGGTTGTTTGAATGTAGATCGTGATGAGAAGGAAGAAAAGAGACAATTTCCAAGTGATAATGTAATGCATAAGGTCGAAGATGAAGGGGGAGGTGATGTGTTGGTACCACATGATGTCACTATCGCAACGGAGATTGCCGTAATTGCCGCAAAGAATGAAGAATTACATCGGAGTGTCGCTTTCTTGAAGCAAAAGTTTGCACTACAAGAAGATCATACACGTCAATTGTTGGTAGGATTAGGAGCATTGAATACAGTGAGTAATGAATTGGCAACATTACAGAAAGAGTATCAAGCACGGACGGAGAAAAATACAGCACTGATTCAGGAATTACTTGTACGGATTTCAAATTGCTCGGCGCAAGTTGACACACTAAAGCACAGTCGTGGACTCAAGACGGAACAAGTACATAAATTTAAACAAGAATGTGCGCAGGAAATGAACCGATTAATTTCTCGCCTTGGAGATCTGGCAGGGGATGCATGTCAAGAACAAGTACTTTCAGACGAGAGGAAAACCACGACGACGACGACGTGTTGTGTACGACAGGACGCATGAGGGAAAAATTGCAACAGGTTGAGCAGCTAAAAGAAAAAGTGTGTGAGCAAAGAGCACAGGTTGTTGATGATAGATCCGTGCAAAGTGTAGGAGGACCTACGTTGCAGCAAGAGACGACAGACCGGATAAATCTAGCATTAGAGCAGCTGGACAATCTCCATGCTGATATGTTCCAGTTGAAGCATACTCTTGTGCAAGAGAACCAATCCTTCCGGCGGCATCTCGAGGATCATTTAACGCGTCAAATTGCACACACCCGTGAAATGCAGGATAATGAAAAAGAGCGCATTCATGAGGAAATGGACGAGATCCGATCCGGCATGTGCGGCATTCTTAAGGACATACATCGACTAAAGGAACGAACGAAATACTTGGTGCCGAGTATGGCAAAATCATCGTCGCTGCCATTAGAGGTTATTGACAAAAGTAGTGATGATCATTGGATGGGTATACAGGCACCGAGTTCCAATGCACCAATGCCTTACGAGCATAACTATGATTGGGTGATACCGCGTCAATTGGAAGCTCATCACGCACGTTTTAATGATATTTACCACACCAAGTCAGGCAACGCTAGTCCAGGAAAATCAGGTGACAAGACATGTCAAGTGTTTACTCCGGAAGATGCTCCTGCCATTGTTCAACATGCTACACAGCTTTGCAAAAGCCCCCACTATTCATCTTGCTCCTCGAGCCTATCACGCCGCCTCAGTGTTTATGGAGGTACGAGTTCATGTGTACAGACGACCGGGCGTCCTATGTGCCCAGAGCAGCTGGCACGAGGACGGTCGGCGAACTTTTTTTGAGACAACGTGGCGACATATATGTATATTAACATTGTAGACTGTCTCCGCTTCGTAGAAAAGAATGGCAAGCCCACTGCAGAACAGTTTGACCGACAGCTTCAGGAACAACATCGACTTTTCTGGATTGGAGAAGGTGCAGGATAAAGCGAGTGAGTTGCTCTATCCTCAGTTCGACGTCAAGTGATTGAAAAAACAACAACACAAACCCTTCCAACACGTGAAGCTAAGAGAGAAAGTACGCTTAGTGACATAAGAAAGAAAGAAACGAGAGAGTTGTTAATGTGCTACGACGGATGGTATTCATTCCATGGTCACGAAGAGCTCAGGTCATTATTCTTTTGCTTCAAGGTGGTTACACACGTCACATATTTCATGTACACCACATGAACAAAATCCCAACTCCTACCATCACTCTTGTCAATCATTCCCATTGAGTCATTAGTACCAAATGGCGACAGTACGGACGACATCCTTAGATGAGCATTCAAGGGCCGATAAGAAGCGTAAACGGAAACAAAATGGTAAGTCAAAAGATTTATCAATATCTCCATCTTGTGCTGTATCGTCTACGTCGTGTTCTTGTCTCAATCCACAGCTGGAAACCCTTGAAAATTGGCATCGGGCGTTGACAATTGATTTGCGTGAAGTACGACGTGAGGGCTTTCGTGTACGTCTTGAACTGGAGAAAATGAATGAAACAGTGGAAGAGGCAGTAGAGAAAGCACAAGATTGTGCTCTACGAGCTCAGAGCATTGAGGAATACGTCAAGAGAGAGAGTCGTAAAGCGATAGAGAAGAGAGTGGAAGAGGCGGTGGATCATCAAGTACAAGCAGTCAAAGCTCATGCAAGTGGTGAAATGAGGAAATTGCACAAGAGTTTGATGAGTCTGGACAAGAAAGTGGAGACATATAATGCAAATAGTATCAATGAAGAGCTCTTGATGACACAGTTGACGCAACTGCAAGAAGAGAATGAGAAGGAATGGATTAAAGTACAAAAGGAGTATGATGTGGTCATGACGACACAGCAGAAACGATTGAAAAAGATGGAGAAAATGATAATGCAAGTGAACCAGAAGGAACAGCATCAAATGCATCGGATGGAAGAGTTGGAAAAGTTGGTGCATACGTTGAAAAAAGAGAACAAACGATTGAGTCAGAAAATGACTCAAATGGCGACACGACAGGAGGTTGAGATATTGCAGCAACAAGTTGAAATAATCAAGAGAGAGAATGAACATGGACGTGGACGAATGAGAGTTGGCTTGAATGTGTGTAACGATCGATTGGATGAAGTTGAAAAGAAAGTGGTCGAGACGGAGAATAAAGTACTGGATGTGAAGACATTAATGGAGAATGTTGGCCCAGGTGTGGCAGGCTCAACCCCAGCTCAACTCATGCACTCATTTCCATCACGGGGTTTTCTGCGTCAAGCAGATCTTGTTGGGATTTATGATGAATTACAACGCATTAACCGAGATTTCCAAGCTGTTGCGGTAGATTTGACATCCCTGGCGAAGCGGACAGACACTCTTGGAAGCGAGCGAGAGAAGCACGCGGAAGCGAAATTGCAGGAGCTTAGTACACAACTGTTTAACGCGTTGAATCACGATTCGCGTCTGCATGCTGCTGAAATTCGTCGATTGAAGGACGCTATGCTTGACGTGCAAAACAATTACTACGACCTGGGCCAGAGGATGAGGCGACTAGAAGACGACGTTCAGCAAGCAACAGCTTTTCGTGTGCAAGCGAGATCTCCTCGAGATCGTGGTAGAGGGCCCGGGCGGCGCTATGAGCAAAATCCGCCCTCATTACTGCCAACACAGCCGCAACCACCATCATCAGCAACCTTTCGGAATCATCGAGATAGACCCTCGCGCTATGAACCAGCTCCTGCTACTCGCAAGAGCTTGGCGCCGGCAATCGAGCCGTCACCATTAGATCGCATCACATGGGCACCGCGGGAGACAAATCGCAGCCGTAGTCGGAGTCCACCCCGCCGTATGTCGTGGAATGCTTCTAGAGGCTTGTACAGCGATTCTGAACCAGCTGTACCAGCTCCAAATAGTAGCTGCTATCGGCATGACGACCAACGGTATGATCATCAAAGTAACAACGGAGTGAATGTTGCAATGAATCTACCGTCGCAACCGATAGATTCCTCGCCAGGTGCTTGCAGGGACACCAGAAGAGATACAGCTGAGCACAACCAAGAAAAGAAGACGACTGCACCTTTTCGCCGCAACCGACAGCCTCGTAAGATTCCAGAGGTTATTGTCATTGAGGAGGACAATGATCATGAAGACGACGATGAAGAAGAGGTGGTCACAGTGCAGAGTAGGGCTCCACCGGATGTAATTATGGATGAAGGAGTGTCGCAGCCTGTCGATGTTGTTATGACGCCGCCGCAAGGTATGACAAATACCAAACATGCAGATACAATCGATTTCTTGCAGAAAGAAGAGGACCTCCAAATGGGCTTTTGGCTGTATTTTTGCTTGGGTGGCGCTCCTGATCTTGATGTCCAGTGGACCACTTATTTTACGCAGCTAAAGGCCGATGATTGCGTGGAGATGCCTCGGGTTCTCCGCTTTCAGCGCCTATATGTTTCTTTCCAAAGCTTTCCGGTGTACTTGACGCAATGTATTCTCCAAGCTGTGATTGTAAATGGACAAAGCGTGCGAGAAGAGATTGGCGCTGAGGTTGCCGGAATAACTAGCGCACAGAGCGCTCAAAACCTACATGCTAAGTTCAACGAGGTCGTGAAAGAAGTTCATCTGTTATGGGCGAAGACACTCGCTAAGCACTTGACGAAACGAGCTAGCGCACTTGGTGATTTGGCTCCGGAGAAACTAGAGCTGTCAGTTAATCCTGCAGGGCTATCGAGCCCTGTAGACAAGGACGATGTCATTTACGGGTGGAGTCGCCGTCAAGAATCCGTGATGTGGCTACTAGCACGACAGCTTCACTATGGATCGTTCTTACCAGCAATGATCTGCAACGTAGACACGTCTCCATCCGTGTACTTATTTACTCTCATGTTTGATGTGCTTACCGTGACAAGCGAATGTCCTCAATTTGGCAGCTTTCGTTTGAATAGCTTTGGAAGCACATTGATGACACACCTTTGGGATCAGACGCTAACAAAGCTGCCGTACGTGTTTTTTGTGGACTGGGCATGGCTTGAAGATCAGTCGACAACAAAAGTAATGCCCGCGTTGGCCTTCTGCCACATACTGGCTAGTATTCTGCTGTGGAACAGCGCGATTGATCATAATAGCCTGACAAATCGGAACATTTATGCGGCAACAGTGAAGCATATTTTCCCAAAACTCTATGTAGGCGGCCAATCCGTCCATGACTCGACTGCCAATATCAGCTCTCTCCAGCTCGCCGAGTGGGAATTCAATCGTATTGAGCTCCATGATCTTGACAGCACATTCGCATCAATGCTTGGACTGGATGGCTTTTTCGAAGTTACGGAAGCTATCCAGAACAACATGCGCGCCGCAACAGCAGCGGTGAAAGGTTAAGCCACTATTATCTAACTCGATGGATATGCATTGATGGATAACTCGATACCATTTCACGCACTATTCGCAAAGGGCTCCAGCGATGATTTGCGCATGGTTTATTGTATCGCGAGATCTAGAGCTAATTGTAATGGCACGCAGCTTCATCAAACTTTCTTCCTCTTTTTATTTGATCGCGCGGCGTCGACATACTTAAGCCGCCAATCTAAAGGTTGATCACCGTCAATTTCCTCATATGTGCCAAGCAGCAGTTGAATAAGAAGGACGTTTTACAAAACCAGCTTCTTCCTCAATTGCAAGCTACCACAAGATGTGCGATGTGCAAGTGCACTCGAACATTTCAGGGAGGCTCAGATCCCTCTACCGTGACGTCAGCTTCTTTCGGTCTCTGGTTCTCACCGATGATCGGCGTTGCTACGGAATTGCACGCTTTCTTGTGCTGCTTGTCGGTCTTTGCCTTGAACGAGCACATGATAATCAACAATTTATCGAGCGTCAGTACAGCGTCCTCCGTCAGCTTGTCGTCATGTTCCTGAATGTGCTTTGTCATGACTGCATGAGTCGCTTGCACTATTAGTCACGGTAGACAATATGCTGCATTTATCGTCCATCAAAGCTTCGCTGAGGGTCATAGATACGTTCATTCCTGCCATGATCAATCCACTGGGATGTCACTATGCAGTGTCAGAGCTCGTAAATACGTTATGAAACCTCTTTGGGATCTTTTCATGGAAATATATTGTCAAGTTGGTTCTTGAAATAATGGCTGATTGTTGTCTTCAAATGCTGCACAAAGACGACCACATGAGCACAAGAAGAGAGATAGAATACAATACAACACGAGTTTGCATTGGTATAAGCTGCAATGGATGCACGTGTGTGTGTTTATATGTAGATATTACCAAGACGTACGTATCATACCCAGTAAGTAGCCCATGATGTTCAAGACTCCATGTCTTTTCACCATTTCATTCAAACAGCTGCATGATCAGATGTCTTGATAATACCACCATGACTCTCTCGCTGCCCTCGATGATCATATCCACGTGCTGTTTTCGTGATTTGTACACTCATTCCCGCTATAAAGAGCACAATCATTGCAGCTATATAACCCCATCGTGCAGCTGGAATATGATACACCCAGTCGCCATTTTCATTCTCGACTCGAAATTGTTGTAAATGAGCACCATTTGTATACTTTCCAGCAAAAGATCCAATCCCCCAAATACAAACAGCTGCACCAACAAGTGCTGTCGTTGTAATCAGAACGGGTTTTTCAAGCTTTAGTGCCAAGATACCAGCTAGAATACCGAGTAGAATGGCCAGAATAACAAGCACCACGTCTGGATTTGTTGGATAAATTGTCGCACCTAGTGATACATTGAATGTAAATGCAAGCATGATCCCACCTGCTGCACCTGCTAGAAAAATACTCGCACTATAGAGCATTAAGACCATAATTCCACCAATGAGACCACCAATCGCAAATCCAATTAATGAAGCTGTAGGCATCCAGCTCATACTAGCAAATGCTGTTTCAAGAATGCCTGCTAGAAAGAGACCACCGACTGTAAAGCCACAGCAAAAGACTGTTGGACGAAAGAGACGATAGCCTGCCATACATACGATCATCCCACCTAGAATAGCAATCACAGCCAAGATAGCTGGTCCGACTTTCAAGTCGTTATCAGAGCTCAAGAATTCGACAATTCCTTCTAAAGAACTAGAACTAGTGTCCGACATGATTCAAAGAGTGTTTTATATTTTAAGAGAGAACGTATTAAAGGTATTTAAGGTGCTAGTTCTGCAAGAAGAGAGAGAGAGATAGAGGTGTTTGAGAGGTGTGCTGCAAGATCTGGAATGACTGACCAGAAAACCCGTCTAATCCGTCATTATCTCAATAAAAAAGTGACTCTTTATGATTGTACCGCCTTTTAATAAAGACGGACCATCTTTTGTGACATTTTCATGTGAAGAAACTGTCAGACACATTCTGATTGAGTAATAATATGTCGCATGTCAGAAGTCTATATAAATCAGTGTCATTCCAGTCGAAATATCAACCAATCAAAATCATTGTAGATATTCTCAGATAACCTGCCATTCATTCCAGCTCGACGCTCTGACTGCCATGTGCGAAGGCCTCGTGGCCAAGTTAAATGAACTCATGGATTTCTTACGCTTTTCCAAGTCATCGACTGCTGATTTTTACGGTGTTGTACGTATTTTCAACCATATTGTGCTATAAATTTCGTCCGTGTAACGTATTTTGTGCTTTGTATTAGGTGACTTTCATGTTTCGTGCCTCATCAACGGATAAAGACAATTTTACTTGCATACGAACCATTGATATGCGTCAAGGTAGCTTGATTATGTTGATATAACTATTGCTGGATATACAATACCTTATTGGTAGTATGAAACAGGTTTTTTGACCTTGTATTGTTCATGCCCCAATGTCCATCACCAGGTTTAGAGATAGACAATACGACATTGCATCCTCAGGATCCTTTTTTGCCAGAGGTAGCAGTAGTGTACGTAAGTCTAGCAGACTTTTTGTACATGTACTCGGGAGAAGCAACGGCAACGGAGATTGCTGGAATGGTCATGTCTGGTCGCGTGTCGGTGCCGTGGAATTCGTACGGCAAGTTGAAAGCATTTGCAGAGTGTTTTGACTTTTCAACGGAAAAGTGGGATGCATATTATGCGGATTTGAAAGCTCGCGGTGTTGTGGTGAAGATTTCAGAATGTACGCAAACGTGTTGCAAACAGAGCACGAAGGAGGACATTGAGGCAAATTGGCTACTGGTGTCAGATGCAACGACGTCGACTGGAAAGGGAGACTGGGAAGTGGTTTCGGACCTGCAATGTCTGAATGTGTCAAAAGAGAAACGTGAACAGGTGGAAAAGGCTTTTGACCTTACGTCGTTGGAGCAGTGGCTAGCCAAATTGTGGAATGGCAATAGGGATCGACCTGAAAACACGCGGTCAGCTCGATCGCTTCAGTCTAACGTGAAGAATTCGCTCAGTGATCTCAAGTTAATGGCAGGAAAGTTCTTTGTGTCGCTGGAGGCCTAGTTTGCAGTTGAAGAACAAAGATACAGAGCAGTGTTAAGCAGCTTTGCACGTCTAGAAGCTGCAAAAGCTTGCTGGAAATGCAAATGTTGAAGCACTTTGTCGAACTTGCGTAAAACTGTAAGTACAATACCAATTGTACTTGTCACCGTGGTGGACGCTAAGCTTCTTCTATTGCTGCGATGAATCCATGACATAGATTTGTTCTGTTTCGAACATGGACGTTTTGGTCATAAACAGCGTCTTGTGCTTTGTATGCGGAATTCGAGCTCTTAGTAAGCGTGACATTTACATGGACAAAACAAAAGCCGTAATCAGGGAAAGGGTCTTATTTACATAAACATTATTCGTAAACAGCTTAACACGGAGTAAGGATTAATTGCGACAAGTCATGTTTACGATTTTGTGAAAGATTCATGGCCCCATCGCCTATGCCTAATTGATCTATCCTCCAATCATTCTTTAGCATAGGGTTGATCTCAGCTATCTTGATTATGCTTGCCACGAAACCGATCGCTCTAAGCCATTATAATGCAGTATATACTACGTAATCAACTCTCATTGGCCTCTACTATACACATCAGAATAGCCTAGTATCGCGTGTAATGCGGCGTAATCAATTTGCCTATCCTATGCACCTGGGAAAATGCTTACGGGCGTGTCGCTTCCCATGTGCTGTTGTAAACAATAATGGCTTTAGCATTTCGTACTCTCGTCGAGCTCATTCCGCAATCTACCCCGTCTCGTACAAATGATGCAATCATTAAATACAATAAGCATGCGTCATCTCTTCCACCGACGTGACAAGGGACAGTCTCTTAGTAGCAACGACAATGGTCCTATTAAAGAACACCGCAGTAGCTTCTTTCGACGGCATAAGCGATGTGCCGACGAAAATGGTCCGATGAAGGATTGCCACAGGAGACTCTTTTCATGGCATGGACAATGTAGTGACAATAATGGTCCGATGAAGGAACGCCATAGTAGCCTCTTTTCATGGCACGGGCGATGCAGTGACGAGGGAGACCTGGTGGAGATTATGCGACCACGCGATACGATTGTGACACGTGTCAGTGTGAACTCGGAGAAGGCTGCGAAAAACCGACGTCGACGCCGTCGACGCTTGCTCTAAAGTGTCAGCTAAATTCCTCATGGAGATAACGACGAAAGTACTCATCAAATGACATGAATGCAGGCGCTGCATTGAATATTGTATCCACTCAATGGTCTGCATCGGTATGCAGTATTAGCTAGAGTAGCAGTGTCGAATCTAATTTACCACCAGTTAAAATATGATGTTGAAATGTTGATACGAAGTGTCGTTGCCATGAGGCACTGCCAGTCAAGTGGGCGTCTATCAGAATTGAAATGCCTCCAAGAGTATTCTATGGATGATTACTACATACAACTCACTGTCTGCAATGAATCTGCTATTGTTGTTGTAGAGATCAAATTGCCATGGACGTTGTAAGGGATGATAACAACTCAACCTCGTTGACGTGTTTGAATCCTTCTGATTATCGGTACCCTTAGACAACAGATTTGGAGCCAAGTCCGTTTACAAGGCATGCATTTTTCAGGTTGTCAAAGGATTACATCCGATTGTTTTCTTGAATGGGAAGGTGAAATTCTCGCTTCATTAAGCCGATGACGCAATGCAAATGTGAGTAAAGGCAATGCACGTAGTACACGCAAATATACTTACGGTAAGCGGTTGAGTCGAAGTATTGGACACTTCTCTGCTTAGCATGGCCATATTTGAACGCATTGATCGAGATGTATGGTCGATATGGATGTATGGTTTGCCAACATGCTAGGATATTTCTATCAAGCTAAACTGTTCTACAGTTGAGAGACGTGTCCATCGTATCGTGTTTGTCGTAACCATCAGTCTACCACCAAATTTGAAACAATGAATCAATGACCAAGCTGCTGCAAAGCGTTACGATCGGTAAGACATACCTGACCAGCTAGATAAGATACATCTGCAGCACTTTATAGTAGTCACGTGCAAAATATAGTAGAAAGCATTAATAGTGTAGGCTCATAAATTTGGAATACATGATACCGATTCATGTTTCTCGAAATTCTATGCGTAGATCAAAGGAAGGTTGCGTCATTCATAGCACTTCTTGTTTTGAGACACATGTATATATATATGATCAGCATCTCACGATAGATGACCAGAACGCAAGTCATGCGATGCAATAGTGTATCGCTCTATAGTGTCATAGATCTTCACCGTCTGTGCAACAACATTGAAAAGCGAAAGAGGGTGCGGTCGGACAACCAATGAAAGCCGTACGTTGGCCTTAACACATGAAAGGACCAGAGATCAGACCTCGCTACCACTTTGTAGCATGACAACGTCAGTGCTAAACCATCCGATAAAGCAAAACAGCATCGTAGTTCAGAGCCATTCATTCGACTACCACTTTGGATTTGAGATTGCAATATCACCGAAACAGGCTTAACTTCAGTGAATTGCGTGTGTGCTGAACCTCGACATGTTGCTTTTAGTATGTCTCGGTCTATAACCACTTGATGCGCATTGGTAATGCCATCCGTCGTCTCAACGAGATGCTCAATTCGTATGTCCCCTCATTCTGAGACTCTAGCAGCAGTGACCTATTTCACCAAAGCCCTCATTAATAATCAGGACTTGAACGACACATATTTGTGAGAATTCACTGTCTTGATACCAAAAAGTTGCTGCACGAGGACAGAGAGAGAAGTTGCAAGCAGCAAGAATGAATACTGCTTTGGACAGATACGTAAACGCGAGCACAACGCGTAACATTGACGGGAATGTACACTCCTTGATCGCTACTTACGACGAAGAAGATGATATGGAATCGTTCAAGTCCAAATTCCAGCGCCATAAAAAGCCAATTTACATGTTGCTGATCTTCCTAGTTGTGGTGATTGTCGGTGTCTGTATTGGTGTGAGCTTAAGCTCAAGCTCAAGCTCTACCGCCAGTACGGAATCAGCACTGGTACGTGAGCTATTGGATACTTACATGGCCATTTTATACTGACTAATCTGCTTGATACCGATTTCAGAAGGACACGCCAGCGTCGTCTTTGGAGAACCCAGCGACCACTGCAGCGAATAGTCCATCGACCACTGCAGCAGATAGTACATCGACCATTGCAGCGAATACTCCATCGACCATGTTAACGAATTGTTCAACTCCGGTCCTGAAGAATGTTTTAGCACCCGTCTCGAAGGATGCTTTAGCATCCGTTTCGACAAATGGATTAGCACCTGTCTCGAAGAACGCTTCAGCGTACACGTTGGAGGACACAACGCAAACGAGTATGTTGGACTCAGACGCTGATGCTGTTGAGTCTACCAAAGATTCAGCCCAGGAAGTCAATAGTGCTGGAGAGGACTTGAGTGTTGGTGATCAAAACTTGTTGCATCGTGAGTCTCGTATCAATGAATGAGCTGTTGCCTGCTGCCTTTTCTAGTATTCTGACAATTTCTTGTTGATTCTGATGTTGCAGACTTGACAAACGATTCGTCTCCGAACACGGTCAATCAAGCTTCTCCGCAGAGTGTTTCAGGTCCAACTCTCGCCTATATTCTCGTGAGCTTTGACTGGACTGATGCGTCCAAGTGGGAGTACACCAGCGGAGCAAATGTGTCGTCGGATACGGTCACGAAAAACGGTATCACTTTGACCCCTAAGAATAGCGGGGAGCCTATCCGTACTATCGAGGGGTGGAGTGGTGAAAAAGTCGTGTACATTGAGTGGGAACGCACGAGCACAAGTGACACCAACATCTGGATGCTGAATACCAAGCTACAGTCCCAGTTCGGCAAGGGCAATGGCTGGCCGTACTGGGGTGAGCTCGACCTGTTTGAGATGTTCACACAGGACGCCATTTCTATCCCCGCGTACGACTACAGCGGTTTTGGTGGTTTCTCGGACGTGTCGAGCTACGGCCAATTGACGATGCACATGGGTCCTGCTGTTGAAAACGGCAGCCCTTGCTTTTGCCCTTCCAGTCCTTCCAAGAACCTGTGGTACGACAATGCGCAGCCCATGACATCTAGCTGTACGGCTCAATTTTCAAACGACGAATCCAACTCGATTGCGGCGGTATGGGGCTCTGATAGTAAGGGACAGTACATTCAACTCATCCAGAAGCCGATCCTCACCAAGGGTGGCAAACTTAACGGAGTGGACACGTACGATGTCGCCATTGGCAGCGGCGGCGTGACGTCCAAGATTTACAACAATGCTGAGCTCTTCTGGGGCGTGGACGCCACGGAACCGTGCGCCCAGGCTGGTGGCCACGACGCCGCGTCGGGCTTTCCCTTCTTTGAGAATTTCCGCCTCGTTCTCGAAGAGCAAACAAAGAACGACCCGAGCGCCTCCTTCACCGTCAAGAACATTCAGATCTTTACCAAGAACTAGGTAGGTGTATTGCATTCCGCATGGACTCGTAGCGGAAACGTTGTTGTGCTTTTGTCATGCTTGTTTTGATAATGAAGACAGCGTTGAACACTATACTTTTGCTCCATAATCATAGCCACGCAATAATTGAAAGAGTTTGAACAAGTTCATACTTCTTTACGTGTACATTTACTCAACTCCTGTGAGTCACACGTGGCTTTCTCGGATACGCAGTGATTGAAATTGCCAAGCATGCTCTAGCCGATGGACAGACAATTGTCTAGCGCTGCACTCAGCAGTATCCATGCTTCTGAGGGATGGCTACTGTGTGATATACTCCTGTAGCATCTTCAAACATAACATCTGCTATCGACGACGTAGTAGTAGTTTTGTTCATGCATGCACATTAATCAAAGAGCGTGCCACATGCAATCTGAGAGAATCTTTGATTCAATCTACGACCCGATTTTCTTGACGCACATAGCTATACGTAAAGAAATCGCCTCGTCACTCAGTTCTACATGATGACACTCCTGCACGATCGCTGCAATCCTGTAGCTCTTCATCCCACTCACGTTAGACGGCAGGTCTTGGCTGGATCTCACCATTTCCAAGATGTTCACTAAACCTAGTAGAAAAAAACATACCGACTCTTTCGTGTCAAAGCTAACGTGTACTCATGGCCGCAAGCCACAGCTACATTGTCTTTCGAATCCACTTACTCGAGAAGGGTACAAACTGGTACTAGTGTTGACTGCACCAAGACGGACGGCTTCACCACATCCAAAGCCGAACATGTATCAACCGGCTGTTCTCAAATATTTTTCAGTGAGCTATCACTAATAATCAATGCAGGAATGCAGGCCTTTAGCAAGCTCAATCCAGCCACAACCGAGTGTTTTGCAGTATTGGAAACCTCAATAGCCCATTGTGCAGATCCCCGTCCAGTAGCTCTAAGTACTCGTCTTCATTAGTTTTTGCAATAGTGACAGCCAAAAAAGTTGACCTTCACAACGTTTGGTCAGACCCGTTGCTTGTGATCAGGTCAGGATTTGACCTTCCTATGTGTTGTCAACAGTTTGAAACACACGTGCTGAAAATTTCAAAAACGGAATCTCAAAGAGGTAGGAAAACGATCCTCTTGCATTCGGTTGTTTCGTGTAAATGAAAGATCTGCAGCTGTTCTTGATTCGAAACTATGAAGACGGCGACAGGCGCGAGTGATTGTGTCAGATGCTTAACATGTCGACATTGTGCTTCCATATTTTTGTGCTGCTCCGTCGTGGAAGCGTCGCGTCTTGTCATGTTAGACGAGTAAAAAGAGAAGTCGCATAATGTTCTTGGTGAAACGTCATCTAGGTACGTACTTGTCTCGTGTAACCTTTGCACTACAGTATCCATTATCAGGTAAGCACCATGGGTTTGAAGAACGTCCGTTGGTTATCGTCGACTGGTCTCCTAAGAGATGATGCCGCATACTTGGGAGAGCTACTAAGATTAGTATGAATCCCATATCATCTTCTAAGGAAGAATCTCATACACCTCTAGGGTGCAAATAAAAAAAAGATTCCAAAGCAGCCACTCTATCGCTTCGTGGCAATCTTCATATCCTTGATCTTGTTTCAATTCAATCCCATTTCTCATCTTACTATCTACCCCACAAGTATTCATTCAGATGCTATCTCGCACAGCTCCCGAATTTGACCGTGCTACCAAGCGTCAATGTCTAAAAGACCGCAATGTGCTTGCTATTAAACCATTGATGCCACCCGCTTGTGTCCTGGATGAACTACCCGTCTCCCCACAAGTGTTTGATCTCGTAAACGCCACTCGCATTGCTGTGTCTCGAATTCTGCATGGTCAGGATGACCGTCTCGTGGCAGTTGTTGGCCCTTGCTCGATTCATGACATTGATGCAGCTCTGGACTATGCGAAACGTCTTAAAACACTGGCCGACGAGCTCAAAGGTGAGCTAGTAGTCGTCATGCGCACGTACTTTGAAAAGCCGCGCACCATTGTTGGCTGGAAAGGGCTCATTAATGACCCTGACTTGGACGAATCGTATAAAATCAATAAGGGTCTGCGTATTGCCCGTAAGCTCTTGCTGGATGTCAATGCACTGGGCCTTCCGGTAGGTCTAGAGTTTCTGGATACGATTTCGCCACAGTTTACGGCCGACTTGGTGTCGTGGGGAGCTATTGGAGCCCGTACCACAGAGTCACAGTTGCATCGGGAACTGACGAGTGGATTATCCATGCCTGTCGGTTTTAAGAATGGCACAGGAGGCGACTCAAAGGTGGCGGTTGACGCGACAATGTCTTCATCGCAGTCCCATAATTTTCTTGGCCTGGATGAACACGGCATTGCATCCATTGTTTGCACAAAAGGGAACAAAGATTGTCACGTTATTCTACGTGGTGGATCGAGTGGACCGAATTACCAAGAGGAATTTATTGAAGAAGCGGTGGAGATGCTGGTCAAAGCCAAGCAACCGTCCAAGATCATGGTGGACTGCTCGCATGGTAACTCGCGCAAACAACATGCTGATCAAGCTAAGGTGTCGAGCTACTTGGCAGGCATTGTCGCGAAGGGAAATACAAACCTGCTGGGTATCATGATCGAGTCGAACATTGTTGAAGGTAACCAGTCGATCGGCGATGATCCGACCAAGCTCGTGTACGGCAAGAGCATTACGGACGCATGCATCAACTGGGAAGACACGGTTGAAGTTCTAAAGGAGCTTGCGGATGCTGTCATCAAGCGGCGCGAGAAGCGCTGCCATTAAATATCAAGTAGCTGTGATGTCCAGAATGCATCCGCGATAAACTTGTAATTATACTGCAACTAATACATTGTCGCTTGCGACTGAAAGGCAAACAAAACGATTTCAGTCTAATAGTGCAGCTCAGCGCATCTAAAGAACAACTAACTACCATCAAAGACTCATTTGACTGCCCTTGTTACGTCGGCGTGATGGCACACGTCTACCAGTATCATCATCAGTTTCTTCCTGTGACCTAGAGGCGGCGTAAAAATTCCGACTTCGATTAACTCCACCCCGCCGGTACTTTAGTGATGATGACGAAGCCCATTCCCACACAACCATGTTTTCACCTCGCACTCTGCATGCCCGAGCAAAAACACAACATCAGGCTTTAAACAAGTAAACTATGCGTGCATCACTGAACGTACCTCATCACCCGCATGCCTATACGAGAATCATCCTTCAAAACGGCAGCAACTTTCGGCCAAACGGACTTGCAAAGCCATTTTCGGTCTTGGAGAGATTGTTTCTCAAACAAGTCGTCGCGGAGATGGTTCGCCGGGTACAACCGATCTGGCCGGCGCGTCCGGTCCAAGAGAAAAAAACGCGCCTCTTTAACAAACCGATCCACGAGCTGGCGTTCCGTACGGTATAAGAGAAATTGTCTGTACGCAAAGACTAGCACTGTCCCTAGTGTGACAGCTAATCCAATGAGCTTAATGTAAGCGTATAGTTGATGTTTGGCGCGGCATGACCAGGGCACAACATTTCCACCCACAACGAGCTGACTCTGGTCCTCGGTCACAAAAACATCCTTAAGGTCGCGCAGTGCCATGTCTAACGCACGATTGAACACGTAATCACGGGGCAAATTGGACACAGCCTTCCCAAACAAAAGTGTTTCTGTCACCAATATTTGCACATCCGAAAGCTGCACTTCGATCGATGCCGTGACGTCACTCATGGGCCCCAATCCATTACCTGAGTTCAGGTAGCGCCACAATGACACATTGCCACACGCGCTTTTCGAAGCCTTTTCAACTACAAATTTCTGTATACTACGCGCAAGCTGGTCAACATTCGCCTGCACTTCTGGGCTCTCCTTACACAATCCATTCTGCAGTTCATACGGTGAAGCGCACGAAATTACAAAGCCGTTGAGGCAGTTACCATACACGGGACATGGTTGACACACGGGTTCAGAGGTGCGTGTAGCTACCGAAGAAGGGCTGATAAATGGCTGAAGCGCCTTTGATCGATCAAAATTGCTCACTGGATCAACCACGACGTAGGACCCTTCAGCAACCTCGGTCCATTCGCTATCACAATATGGCAGTAGTGGCTTCATCAATTTCTTCACAAATGGTGCAGCCACAACTATCGCACAGAGCAAAATTGCACCTGACACAAGCCACACAAAAAGTTGCCGCCACTTCATGTGCACTATCTTGCTCAGACGGTTGATCTTGCTCTCAGTAGTTTCCTCGTCGGTCTCATCTTCATCCTCAATCACCTCCTTCGCCTCCACCCCTTCCATTGTTTCGTCTTCAATTTTCACACTTTCTGTCTGTTCACACTCCTCAGGTTGTAAACGACTGTTTTCTTCCACTGGATTCAGCCGCACAACTCCAAAGTCAACATGTCTGATCTGTCGATCGTCACATGGCTGCTTATCTTTCATTGCTGAATATTGACTCCGTAGCTTAAGTCGTCGTCGACGTAAGATCTCTCGATCTCGCTGTTCACTATCGGTCAAAGCCTTTTCCGACGAGAATCTGCGCTTCACTCGTGGTGTGCTTACTCTCATAAGCGTCTGCAAAATATCATCTCCCTCCACCATCTCTAACCTCGCTACATGCTCTACAAGTGTCAAGTCCACAACCCCGTCTCCCACTTCTCGATTTGTCGTCCATGGTACATTAAAGTCCTCTATCTGTTGTCGATCTTGACATGTAGATGGTCTCTTTTCTACCAAAGTAGCACCAATAGAAGTATATTCAGACACGGACGTTACTCTTGACTGTGGACTTTGCACCGTCGGGTCTGCGTGTCGACTAAAGAGTGCCAAGTGATCCACTGCATGAACCTTCATCTTCTTCTTCTCCTGTGATTGCAGCTTTAAACCTGTTAAACTGGAGCTTGTACGAGCAATTGAAGACGAAACGATAGATCCATTAGACGGTATAGAATGACAACTTTCTTGCTTCGAGTGAGGATCATATGAAGCACACGATGCTGTAGAGGCAGTAGGAGATTGATAACGTCGACGTTTCGTAGTAGAGGCGTTAGAAGCGGCAGTACTGGAAGGTTTACGCTTCATACGGACAGAGAGAGAGAGGTCGTCGTCATCTATTGCCATTGTCAATTCCGGCAAGTGACTTGTTTTCGGATAATATACCCAAATCGTATTACGTTTTTTACCCAAAAGTAGTTTTTTTTCTCTTTTTTACTGTAAATGTAGTATACTATATTCGAGTACTACAATAGTAATCGTATAATATAGTATTTTCGAAGCTCTTGATAATATTACACTTGAAAATACAAAAGTAATATAGTCTAGTGTACTGCTATTTACTATCCAGACAAAGCAACTTTTGAACCAATCTGCGTGCTTTCTTTCAAACTGCGATTAGCAAAATTCAGTTTTGTATACTTTACTAAAATACCATCTCAATAAAGATGACGATGCATGTACAGTCTGTGTAACTCACGTCCATGTTGCACACCAACAGTATACATGCGGTACTGCTGTCCGAACGAATTGCAGCGTGTCGACAGTTGCGATTATCAATTGCTTGTAGCAGGTAAACTCCATTCTCAAGGTTTTAACGCCCGCCTCAACCAGCTGGAACTCTGTCGACCGTTGCGGTCTATAATAAGCATTGCATCACTTCACAATCAAACCAAAGCGCTGAGCCTGATTTTAGGTTAAGCTCTTCCATGTCAAATGGAACGTCCATTTCTTTCTTTTTTCTTTCACCCTACGTCCACCGGTACGATCACAACACAGCAACGTTGTCAGCAGCAGCAATAGAAGTGACGACTCGGAAGTCTACAGCTAACTGGTCGCGTGTTATTGTAATACTTTTGCGCAACCCCAACAAAAATGAGAAGATTTGATTGGCTGAGAACATGTGACGGCTGGCGACGGAACGCAGACTAGGTATGATTTGTGCGACAGTGGTAAGAACTGACACCGTACGATTGATTGGCTCTAAATGTGAAACGAAAAGCATTCAGCACGCATAGAGTACGAAATGCTTCATTTTTTTCTTCAGAATGTATACTTTATTTTCAGCAGTGGCGCCTTAGTGACACTGAACGGAGGTCTATGATATTGTCCTCTACCATGGGTTTTGTTCTTCCTACCAGTTGGAGTCGGTTTCTTTGTGTTAAAGTTAGTGAAACTAGGTTTTAAACGCTTTATTGTAAAACGAACGCGTCTGCTTGCCTTTTCTTCCAAGACTGTGAAATACAAAACTTAAATGAAAAGAAACCAGCGACAAGTTGAATGGGACAGAGAACCGTCAACCGAGTCCCGAATTTTATGTGACGGAGCAGATGAGAAGGAATGACCTATAGAATCGCATCGTGTGCTCTATTTGTTTAAGCATATAAAAACAATCGGGTGCTTGAATTTTTTTTTCTGTCCTTATGGTATCCCTTTATCAGAAGTATCTATCTCTATCTATCTGTACTGTCGATACCTTTTCTTTCACCTCTGCCATTTGTTTCATTCACTTTCAGTTTGGAGCACAAGCGTTGATTGAGTTTCAAATTGCCTATTTCTGAAAAAAAACACACACACACATACAAACAAACTGTATCGTAACACTACCCTACGTTCTACCACGTTAGTTAGTCACATTTTTTTTCCATTATGACCCACGCGCCTCTCGTTATCGAGACATTAGCGGACTCTACCTCTGCAGTCTCAACGTCAACTGCGGACGTATTGGACCGTTACACTTACTGTAAGAAACTGCGTGACACGCTTTATGGTGAAACAGCGTTATACTTTGACAAAGATTGGAAGAAAATGGTAGTACTCAAGCGAATAAGCATCCCCCCTTTTGCAGCAGGAAGACAATAGCACGGACATTGTCATCGAAAATCCGCTTAGTGAACGTGCTGTGATTCAATTGCTAGAAGACCCACTGACAGGCCATGCCCCAGGCCGTGAATACATTGTAGAGTACGAACGCGAGGGCTTTTTCGCCGCTGGAGACAGTGTCTTTGTTGCCATGGAATTCTGTGCAGGGGGGAGATCTTTACGACTATGTCACTGCTATGCCCGGTCGACGTCTCCCGGAGACCGAAGCGCTGTTGTATTTTGCTCAAATTGTCAAAGGACTGTGCTTCCTCCACGCTATTGGCGTCGCCCATCGGGATCTCTCTCTCGAGAATGTGCTGTTAAAAGACGGACATGTGAAGATCTGTGACTTTGGTCTGAGTGCCGATGCTGATCATTTTTCTGCCGATGTCGTGGGCAAATTTTACTACATGGCGCCGGAAGTGACACAGCATGCTGTGTATGATCCTAAATGCGCCGACATGTGGTCGCTTGGAGTGATACTGTTTATCATGTTAACGGGATCACCGTTGTTTGTTGATGAAAACGCCCGCGCACCGACCCTTCGTGTATTAAAAAAGTACGGTGTAGGTAAGATCCTAGAGCTTTGGGGCTTGAAGCAGCACTTGTCCAAGCCTACAATCAATCTATTGGCGAGCATGCTGCAATTGGAGCCTTCACGTCGTCTTAGTGCAGAAGATGTGGCACATCACCCACTTAAGCGAGCCATGACCAGGTGCAAGACGTCAGACGTGATTATTTCGTCTGCTTAATATGTAAAATCATACGTTCTAAGGTGACCTGCTAGCAACTGAAAAAACATTGTGCTAGGCAGAGATTAAATTATCTATTTATTTACCTACAACATGTGGATGTTGCGGGAATAATGTCAACATTTGCGCTACAATTTTGTTTTTTTGTCGTTTCCAAATATTTGAAAACTGAAATTTCTTGAAAAACAACCGAAACTTGATATTTCAAGTTTCCCTTTAGGACAGGCTTCGTCATCCGCGCTACTGACGTCTTCTTCTCCACGCTCTCTCGGGGTATTAGAAGCGTCTGCTCAACTTGCGTTATCCCATATGTATTTGCTAAATGATGACGTTTCGAATGATACCGCTCACAATGTCTGTACTAGTCTTGACTCTCTTCAATCTCGTCTTGAAGTTGTCGACCGGGACACGATACGCCGTAAATTTGCGCGCTACAGTCGTCAACACGCACATGTCGATGATCTTTCCGGCATAAATCGATACAATTCCGTATTACTACAGAGCTCCATGTTATTACAAGAGGACGGAGCACTAGCAGCGAGACTAGACGACGTTATATACCTACTGGACGGTCTATTAGGCCACGTCAAGACACGAAAAGGACACTTGGCTCCGACATGTAGTGTCTTGGAATTAATACAATTACTACAAGATCCAAGGATCTTGCAGGCTGTGGAATTGTCGTGTCAGAGACGTCAGATTCAGTCCAAGATGAAGGAATTACTACTTACGAAGCTAATACAAAGTACAGAAGCAGGAGACGAAATGTTTCGCATCTCACTGGCAGTATTGGTCTATATTTTATCAAGAAGTTCAAATGCAGATGAGTATTTTGATTATAACGTATTGGATGCAGTGGTTTGTGCAATAAAACAAGAAGTGACACGAGATGAGACGAAAGGAACTCAGGAGCAAGCGGAAAATGTTGTAGAGACAAAACCAGCGAGTGTGACTGAATCTACACAGCAAAGTCGTTTACTAGGAAAAAAGCGCCTGAAACGGAAGCAGAGTTCGTGGCAACAGACTTTGAAGCCAAAGAATACTGTGGATGTATTTTCTCGTGCTGAAAAAGTGTCATTGGTGGGTCCAACATTGGTAAAGGTACATATTCTGGATGAATCTTGTTGGGCTAAACTGGATGAGCAATTGCGCGACCATGAATCGTTTTATGTTGAAGATAAGCTGCATGTTTCTGTGATAAGTGCATTAAGCGCTGCTTTACACATCCTGCTGCAAGTTGGTGGATGTTCGTTGAGCTTTTCTTCAAATAGAGCTCAGCAGTATCAGCGAGAAGTAAATGCTCAATTAGATGGTGCTGTAAAAGATGCCGCAGAAGATGCCTTTCAACTGATTCGAGCACGGAAATGTCAGCTTGTACGGAACGGCGCAATCGACGTGTTAGTGTGTAGTCTTGCTCAGCTGCTAAATGGCGTTGAAGCATTGTTGCCATCGACTTCCGTTAGAGAGATTACGCTTGAGTGCGCTTATTTGTTCAATAGCGTCAGTATGCTGCTAGGTGTCTTTGATCAAGTAACGTATTTAGCCTTGGATGTGCAGCGATATATTTCAAAAAGAAAAGACCTTTTTGCGTTGTTGCTGAAGCTGATCCAGTTACTTAGTGAGCTCAGCTGGGGTATGCATGCGCGAAAGCGGTGGGAGATTGAATTCACGCGGATGTCGTTGGCTGTTGAAGTGTTGCTGGCGGCTTTGCGCGTGTTAACTAATTTGACTCATCACAACCTGAAGGCAGCAAGCCACGTTTTTGCCTTAGGTGGCATGCAGCTGCTTCCATCCTCTTTTTTCCAGCTACGAAGTCTTGTGGCGACCGCAAAAAAACCTCCCATGTCATCGTCGGTGACGAGCAAATGGGAGTTTGATGCGTGTTTACTGCTACTAAGTGTGATGTTGAACAGTATTGAGTTCAGTGAGGAGAACCGTGACGCTCTAGCAAGCGCATCAATATGCCAAGTTGAGTCGGTTTGTGATGCTTTCGATCTATTTACGCGATTTTTCCTCGCAAAACTGCAGTCATATAAACATTTGATTGATTTGACTGAGACTCAAGGCGCGAGTGGGGCAATTTTGATGGAAGACAAAGGTGACGACTGGAACCCGGAGGATGTGATTCTCGGGGGGTTGCGCGTCAATGCTGCTCGGATATTTGATGAAGGGCTCCCCGGACAATTGTACAACCGTTTTGAAATTTATGCCGGATTGCTCGCCTCGGTTGCTGCTGCGTGCTTTGAGTGTGTTTGCTGCTTTCCACTCGCAGATCGATGCACTGACCCCTGATGTTGCACAATCCATCCTTCATGTTGAAGACGTGCTGAAGTCATGTGAGGGGAATGGGTTTGAAACGTACAAACGTTGTCTGACGCCAGGTGTTGATGCAAAAGCGTATCCTGGTGTTTTTGCGTGGCAATATGATTTCTCAATGTCATCGGATTCGATTCTAGCAGCAAGAAGTGAAGAGGCTGGCATCAATTTCAATTCTGTGCTGACCGAGAAATTCGTTCAGTGCGAAAGCAGTGGTATTTTACCATCATCTCTACAAGTTCGCACGCTGAAAAACGTTTGCTTTGATTTGGATGATTCTGATGAGGATCATGAGCCACAAGGGCAGATTCGAGACAATGTGCTGGCCACGAAGGCGGCTCGAGCAAGCTCTCAGAACCTCCAGGCTATTGAAATTCTTGTCCCAGCTCATACTCTGCCGAGAACCCCGTGTAGGAAACAGGCTCAATTGGAGTTTTCCGTGGAAGCATCTCCAGCTTTGCAAACACGTACAATGAGTCCTTCGCACGCCAGTAGATCCACGCCCACCGCAGTTCGTCCGGACGGCTCGTTATCATCACCAGTCGTTGCGCGACTTCTGAAACGAACTCGTGAACTAGTTGAAGAATTCGACGTTGAGTTTGCAACATTGAATTGCTCAATTCGTGAGACGAAAGTCGAAAATAACACCACAAAAAGAGTTGACAGTGCACGGTCGCCAGATATGACGCTTACGATGACTGTGTCTTGCGATGATTGTGGGAGTGAAAGGTTGGATCTTTCTCAAAATGTGCGTGCCGAAAACTGCAATGTCATTGAGACCACCAACAAGATTGCTGAGGAGCTCGACGACCGTGTTGGGATGTCATTCAAGCGAAAAACAAAGAGCGCGCGGAATTCCGACGGAATGGCGAAAAGTTCTATCGGGCACGAGAGCTCATCGTTTGAATACACGCCCGCAGAAGCGTTATCATCTACCCCTCTGCGTACGCAACAAAGTAAAGCACTGCTGCGAACGCCAACCAGAGATAGATGCTCTCCCGGGTTCTATCGATCATCACCATCACTCAATCTGACGCCTACGAAGACGACTCCATCAACGCCGTTATGGCTAAGAAAGTCTGCGGGGCTGCTGCAGGCGTCAATGAAGAGCGATCACTCTTACAAACCTAGTCAGTCGCGCCTGTTGGTAAGTCCGCGTCACCGAAAGGCAAGAAAAGCTCGTGTTCCTGCATCGGCTCGATCTAGCTCTATATTTGACTTCACGGCTTAGCTGCATGTGTACCAGTTGGCGATGAGATTAAGATTGAAGTGCGATGGAGAAAACTAGTAATCGTCGATACCAGCAATTGTCATTGGCATGACAATTGCTGGTATCGACGATTACAAGTGTATCTTGCTAGTTATATGTGCGCGTACTAAACAGCGCGCAGTATTCGTTCAAGTATTTTAAACATGACTTGGTTCCTGCTCGAACTATGTACCTGTTCGTTGTCATTTCTCTCCCTCGTCCTAGACTTTCTTTCGTATGCTACGTGATCATGTGGATTGCAAACAAGCATGGAAATCTCCCGCGTCGCCTGCATTTTGTTGCTACCTTTCTTATGCAAGAAAACATCATTTGGGGAGAAGACCAGGACAGCATCGTACCACGCATTTCTCTTTGCTAGTAGATGACTAAAATCTAAACAAACTCTACCAAGCTGAAAGTGTGATTAACAACAAACCTGAGTGGTCTACCATCTCGTTGCTAAGCGTAACCGACGCTAGTCGTTTGCTATGCTTCGATCGTTGAAGCTCGTGGTCAATACTGACGCCGCAAAGACAAAGTGTGAGTATAATCGTCAAAGGGCGACACCAAGCACTTGTCAGTAAAAGTAGGTAGCATCGCTCATTGTAACAGGCCAAAACCTCGTTAGCAGTACACGTTTGTCCAACAGTTGCAGAGTGTTGTACCTGTCTATTTCCGGGTGCTAGAGAAAATCTGCTATAGTCTTAAAAGGAATGGCTTTGTCAAAGCGTAAGACGCACGACAAGAAACGGAAATGAAAAAAAAGAGAACGGTATAGCAACTGCGGTGGCTCTATATATTCTACTGTAGTCAAGCATGTAGGCGCTCTTTTTGGCTGCAATGACAACCGGTTTGAGAAAAGCAGCTTGATAGCGGATCAAAGTGAGGTGACGATGTGTCGGCATCTTTCCTTTCGGCATACTGTGCGGAAACAAAGACTCTTGTCTGAACTCTGTGTGACTTCTTGACGGCTCCTGTCTTAGAGCTCCAAACATCAGTAACCGTGAGGGAGGACCAAAGCGTAGATAAAATCCAGACCACATCGTAGATAGAATCCAGAGTATAGCAGGAAGCCATAGTAAGTAGAAGTAGCGTTGCAATTGTATAGATAGTAATAACCATGCTAATCGAACAACTCGAACACTTTTATCCACAAATATCTTGAAGTTATGTTTCATAACGAGGTAATGTAGATTGGCTAGAGATCGCATAGCATGTAGAGCGTAGAACCCAAGCATTAGCAATCTAAAATTATAGGAACAGTAGAAAGAGAGGACGTATCCATAGAAAAAGTAGATAAAATATCTAAAACAAGGCGCAAGAGGCCTTGCCAATTTTTTCCGTTCCGCGTAGGACCTCAAAGTGCGTAAGTGTAGATCCACATAGGCAAAACAGTGATGACGGACGAAGGCGGCATTTATACTAGTCCCAGGTTTGTAGAGTCTTTTGTTGCGATGAAGCCAAAGATACCGGAATACACAGCAGCAAACAACATGGAAGGCGATCAGAATCGCGCGATTTCCGAAAACCATGGTGCAGACGGAAGCATACGCAGCAAAGTCGGAAACAAAATATGCACCCACGAGACGTCGCCATCGAAACAGTCTCGAAAAGGCTGCAAGAAAAAAATTCCATTGATACTTGGCGGCAGGGCAAAGCCAAAAGAGATGGATAGCGGTTTCCATGGCGCCGCAATCATGAATGCAAGACGAGGATGTGGTAACCTCTGTACGCCAGCGAAACTTGTACTGAAGTCCCAGCGCGTTGTGTTGAAGACGGAATTTGACATCGGTGGCGACTGAAAGAACATGACGATCAAGCCCATACTCCAAGATCCACAATCCAGACGAAGGTAAAAACTTGGGAACACCAAGTTGTTGTAGCGAAAGCGAAGGGATCGACGAACCTGTGCGTAAGGAGAGGAGAAGGCGGACAAAGTCTCGATTGGTCATGTCTGCCACCATCGTGCCATCAATACTCCAATCATGCCGCGCTGATTCGATCAAGCGCGGAAATACAGGACCAAAAGAAGGCGAATCGTGGTTAACCAGCAAGTTGAGACGCGGTATCACTTCGGTAATGAACCGAGGCTTGGAGGCGGGGCGCGGAAAGTCTTCGACGCGCAAAATAGACTCCAAGTACGCGGAAGAGGCGAGAGTAGAGGAGACATTAACAAAGTCTTGCTGCCGGCAGCGTCCAAGAATTTGTAGCAAGCCACTATACTTGGAATGCTTGGCCAAAGAGCGGCGAGTCGTGCCAAAGAGAAGATGAAAATTATTACAACAAGGCGCCGTCTGTGCAAAACGTTTCCAATCCGAAGTTCCTGGTGACGACTGTATATCAGTCCACAGGCGAAGAATAGAATACCAGAATGGGGGAAGAAGCTGCCAAGTACCCTTGACCACAGCATACAAGATATCAAACCCGGAACCGTGACTACCCAACGCTAGAGAGAAAAGACAGAGCGCAGGAGTCATCCATCGTGGTGGGGCGCAACGACGGCAAGTCGCGGCAATGGCGTCCCCAACGACTTCAGATGCATGGCCTGAATAGACTCTTTCACCGGTGTCAGACCAAGGCCACCTTGCTGAATGAATACTGGTGTAAATCCAATAGTGGGCGAGCTTGCCTGGATACGTCGAGTCACTAGTTTTGCCGTGGATAAAGTTACGTATGATAACAGCAACGGCCTTCAACAGTGCCGCAGTAAAACAGATTACGCTCGCCGTGTACCAAAGAAGTGGTAAGATGACACTCCGAAAAAGAACCACTTTACCGAGAAGAGGTACGTGCCCGATTCGTCCAAATAGCACATCGCGCTCGAAGCTTCACCAGGACCCGACTGAAGCGCATATCAGGGGTGATTAGTTGCGCCTTGAGGAATACCGAGCAGTGTCACCGTGTCCGTCGCTAAGAACCTTGAAGGGTGAAGTATCCCGAAGACCGTCCAATTTGGAACGCGAAATGTGGTAAGACATCGGCATCACACACGTTTTAATAACGTGAAGTCGGAGGCCAGTCACGCTAGAATAGTCGTCGACTAACCGAAGGAAACCGTCAGCATCATCCACATTCTCCAGTAATCCGGTGCAATTGTCCGCAAAAGCCAAAAGTACGTGCGGTTCCGAAGAAGGATCTACTGAAATGCCGCGACACAAAAAACGGCTGCGTAAAAAATTCATCATGGGGCTCGACGAAAAGCACAGATAACCCAGGGAATAGTGGATCACCTTGACGAACGCCAGATCCCAAGACGAAGGGGTCACCAGGCGATCCATTGAGCAGAATACTGACAGAAGTTTGAGTGTAAAATGTCTTGATCCAGGCGCGAAAAGTTGGCCCAAAACTAAAGTGATCGAGAACAAAGTCCAGCGCAGGCCATAAGACGCTGTCGAAAGCCTTGGTAAAATCCAACAGTATGGCGCAGGCATCGGGATGGTGTAACTTACAGAAATCTTGGAGGTACTGAAAGCGAAGCAGTCGAGTGTCGGATGGAACGACCGGGAATAAATCTGCTTTGATCTTCATGGATGAGAGTCGGCAACACTGTCCGTATGCGATAAGCAAGAACTTTTGGTCCAAGCTTAGCATCGTGATTCAGTAGCGTTAGCGGCCGATATTTAGTAGGCAGTGTGCGATCACCGGACTTGTACAGCAACGATAGATGAGCACGGCGTTGGAACTTGGTCCTCTTACCGCAAAGCAACTGATTATCGTGAACGAATCCAAAGATCCGAGCCCAGGTCGGAGGTTTCTACCTTGTAGTATTCAATGGGAAGACCTTCAGGACCAGGCGCCTTTCCATTCTTAGAAGAGAAGATTGCTCAGTAAAAGTCATTAGCCGTGAGAGGTGCATCCATCATAGGAGTCTGTCGCAACGTGAGACGAGTCGTCGTGGCGCCAAGATACTCGACAAGACGAAGAGGGTCGTACGTGGCAGTGCGCAAACTATAAAGGTCCGGTGAAGGTGATTGGAAAAGCTGACCCCAAAACTGACGATGACCGCCGCGATCCGAATCGGATCGTCCGTAAATAAAGCCGTCGGATGCCTGATAGCCTGGAATCAGAGATCGTAGCAGTCTTTCCGGGGCGGACAAAACAAGTGGCTGGTGGCACGTTCACTAACGTTTAATTCCGCAGCAAATTTCTTGAACTGGTTCCGAGACTTGACTGCTCCAAGGTTGGTCTGAAGTAACAGCTTTGCTTGTTCTACTGCCGCGAGTCTCTGGTCAGTCAAAGCCACGTTGTGAAGGTTGTGTGAGTTGTTGACCGCTGTGACTAGTGTTGACGCTCGTCAAGAATCGAGGTCGCGGAGATTCAACCACCGCCTCTTGAGGTATATGCTGTCCGCGCTTTTGTGCTCTTCGATAAGACACTTCGGGTTAGCACCCGAAAGAATCTTGATGCGACGGCACTCAGAAACGGAGGCAGTCAGATAGGCCCGAACTGTAGGGATCTTTGAGTAGCCACGGTGGGCAACGCCACGAAGGTTGACGTCCCAGAGGTAGCGGCTACGCATGGAGTCTAAATTCAATCGGGATATGATCTTCAGTATGCCACCGTCGATATTACACGTGGCAGACGCCAACTAAATGATCCTGCACGAAGTCAGCGGTAAGAAGATAATAGCCGAGGCGGTTCTTGCGGGTAGGACTCGTAAAATCACGGGTTTTCGAATGCATATAGCGCTACTAATCCATCAAACCAAGCGCGTCCATACAATCACAGAGATCATCATGCCCGGATCCAGGATGATGCAAATTGGGTACCTTCTGATCCAAATAGCTATGCACCTTGTGGTCGAGGATTTTAACGTGGCTTAGTCACGTTAAAATCCCCGACCACAAGGTGCCGGACAGCGTGATCAGGAACCGAATCCAAAACCTCAGTCGGAAGCGTACAAAAATATTTGCTTCGTTTCGAAGGCTCATCTGGAGTGTAAACCACGTGAATATATACTGGAATATCGCCCAGCCGAGCTTGAAAGAGTAAGTACCGGTTGGTGAGCGGGAAGGAGCAGGCATCAGCCGTGAGGTCGCGGATGTCTTAAATAGGCGTAGTGGAAGAGAATACAATGCCAACACCATGGCGTCCCGTGAATGCAGGCAAAGAGGAGTCCGACCAAAAGCATTGTGCCCCAGAGTCTGCTGCAAAAAATGAAATGTTCATTTGTCTGGAGAGCATCAGGGCTGACAAACTTGGTCTCTTGAACCGCGACCAGCTGATACGTGGAGAGAATATGATCTTAAAGCGTCGATGGGGATGATTTAATCCATTTATGCTAAGTGATAAGCCAGTAACGTCACACGCCTCATTAGAGATGAGCGGGGACCACCTAGCTGGACGCAGTCATAACTGCAGGAAGAGAAGTACCTTGAGCGCTTGGAGAAGCGCGGCAAACATCGTCTGGGGTTCGCGATCGTTTAAAAAGACAGCCACCACATCCGACCGAGTGACACACTGTAAATTGAGATCACTCCGAAGCAGAAAGGGCGTGGGGTGGAGCCGTTTACTGGCGAGGTGGTACGGTAACAACATTCCAAACTTCACAGGATCGAAATAAACTCCAGGAGAAATATTCATGAGGAACAAGTCAAACGTGGCCCAGTAAAAGGCAACACGGCGGAGCTCGTCATCGGAAAAAACGTAGTCGAAAAGTTAAGCCAGAGTAGCCCCTGTACTACGAATTTGACTTGAAGAAAGGAAACCATGTCTGCCCGGTCATCAAGAAGTTGGATACCGCGCGTAGCACGATAGACCGCATGAGTACGATACGTACGATCTAACCATTCCACCGGTAACGAGAATAAGTGTCGTAGGTAAGCAGGCTGAACCTGGATAGCCGCCAGAAGACGATCATGCGCCGAGTAATTCATTACATCGTTGGCCACAAATCCAGCAATGAGCGCATCCAATTCCTGGGGTGAGAGTTGCTGACGCTTGGGCTTTAGCTGTCGAGTGCCCATGAGGGCACGTGCCGCACGACGCGGGACGAGGGGAGTATCTTTCGTGAGTCCAGCAATAGCGTTTCCGTGCTCATCGTAGGCAGCAATTTCGACGTCCGGAGGCTGAGTATCATCGTGCGCAGTATCCGTGAAAACTTCGTACGAGCTGTACACGTCTATCATCGTGGAGTACGTTAACGCCGATGGATCAGCAAGGTCTTCAGCAAGAGAGCACGGGAGCAACCGTCCGGGGCACGTACGGACCCGCCGCGGTCGTAACACCCCTGCGAGAAGCCTGAACCAGTGTCCACGTGGGCGCTGTCGCGTCGACAGAAGCCTAGACAGTATTGTATCCAAATTACATGAGGTAATGTCTGTACGCTCTATAACCTAATGCTACATGGAGAGAAATTTCGATGCCTGCCGCACTAGGGTCTCTGCATGGCGCAAGCAGCGCACGCGAGTTAACTCCCACAGTCCGGCTGCAGGCGTTTCATTATTTCGGGCATCTCTACTTATTAAAAAAGTTTCGTCCAAGATGAAGAGATTTTTCGCCGAACGGGCTGAGTAGAACAAGAAGCGCGGACGACTGCAGAAATCGAGGGGACTGGAACTGGGCCTTCAACAGATAGCGGGAGCAGGCAAAATGGGGCCATCGTCAATGAGAGACCCTGCGTCGCTGGCTCCCATGCTAGTGTCGCCATCGTCAACAGCACCAGAAGAAAAAGAAGGAGGAGAAGCCTGTCGGCGGAGTGAGGGGGGCTTGACACGGTTGAACTTACGAAGCCGATGCTGTACAAAACACGGCTTGTCCTTAGGATCAAAGAAAATTTCTCGAAGCGGCTCGCCATTCTCGAGAAAAAGTCCTGGCGGGCACTGAACGGCGTGGAAATACACCGTTTGGTCCCAAGACTTAAGCTCCCCGGCATCTTAAGTCGGCGTAATGAGTACCGGACGAGCCCCACGGTCCATGAACCAATTATAGATGGCGCGATCAGGCACGTCACCGAGGAGCCGAGTCAGATCCACGAAGTACAGTTTGTCGTACTTGGAATACTTACGGATGTAGACCGTTGAATCACACACCTGCAACGCAAGACCACCCAATGAGTGGATTGCCGCGTCAGAGGTGCAGAGAAATTATATCCACTGGTGGGAAATCCGGACGAAGTCGCGCAAAGAAGCGCGATGAGCCTGCCAAATGGCTGGCTGAGAGTCCCCTGCCAATAATTGAAGAATCTCGTCGGTGCTATGCTCGGAAGACAAGCGTGCCGCGGGAATCTACATGCGTGTGCACTGAACAGCTTCAACTGGCGTAGGTAGTTGCGTACTGGACTTGAAGTAGCGATCGTCGTCAGTCGACGTGTCATCACCAATCAGCGAATAGCTAGCCGTGAACAGACTGTCGTCAGGGACGAAGCGACGGGCGGGGGGGGGATGACGTGGCAAAGCGGTGGCCGAACGATTCGAAGGACGAAAGGGCTGCGATGAGCGCGGGGATGGCGAAGAACGCGGGGGCGTGGTCATGATCGGTGAGAACGTAAGCCAAAAAGCGCGAGCGGGAACAACAACACTTCGGGGAAGAAGTGAGTCGATCGAAGCGGGGGGCGGGGCGAAGGCGAGCAGACGCAAAGGACTGGACGACAAAGGCGGCGGGAGAGGCTGTGTGCGACGGTGGAGTTCAAGAACGATGTGTGCTCGAGAGGAAAAAATCTGGAATCATGCTTTTCCTTGGCGCGCCAAGGCGACAAATTATTGGGTGATGGCGCCAAGACAAGAGGAATGGCATTGATAGTCCCGACTATAATGTGCAAGCAAATTTGACTTACAACATATACAATATAATATGATCAATCAACGAAAGTTTGGGATTGGGCAGATATGAAGACGGAAATACAAAAACTGAGACAAAGGTGGGGTGTCGCCACTTAACATGTCTTGTCGTATTTCTTGTACATGTATCGGTTTATTGATTTGTCAAAAACACACACCCCTTTCAACGAAGTGACACAAGACAGCAAAGCCACAAAAGCAATCAGCGATAGGCTGCTTTGTAACTATGAGGTATAGCAAACGCACAGAGTTCAGACAAGAGTCTTTGTTTCCGCACAGTATGCCGAAAGGAAAGATGCCGACACATCGTCACCTCACTTTGATCCGCTATCAAGCTGCTTTTCTCAAACCGGTTGTCATTGCAGCCAAAAAGAGCGCCTACATGCTCGACTACAGTAGAATATATAGAGCCACCGCAGTTGCTATACCGTTCTCTTTTTTTCATTTCCGTTTCTTGTCATGCGTCTTACGCTTTGACAAAGCTTTTGCTTTGAAAAGTATAACAGACTTTTCAACTCCGATATCAACACAATATAATGTAGAACGAACCCCATGCTTGTCAAAACCAAGTGTGCTAAACTACCTCTTCACTAGCTCACTTGTCACTAAATCATCTTCAAACCCGAATGAACAATACGATGGCACGAGTCCAATGGCTCAAGAATTCTGCATGCAGTCGTACGCCAACATGGCCAAATTTCGACGCTCGTCCAAATCTACGAACGTTACAAGGTCGTTTTGTCCGTCGTTTTCATCTCACGATCCTTTATGGTCTTTGGGTACTCGGTCTCTTGTGGTTTCTTATGATGTGGATCTTTTCACTCTTTTATTTGGTGCAATGGGTGTGGGGACGAGTTACTGGTGGCAAAGCCTTGTCAATGCCACTAAGCGTGCAAATCTACTTGATCTCTATCATATTACACAAGAGTTATCACTACTTGACGAGACTGTCCCTGCACCAGTGGCCATTCATACGACGGTTCTTACGCCAATTATTCCTGCAGTATCCGTACTTCCGGCTTAATGTTTTGATCTTTGATGAGCGTGAAAAGTCAAAGCAGACAAAAAACTCGAGCGAAGCCATGTTTGGCAACAAACTCAACAAGGAAATTGCTAGCAAGACAATCGAGGAGAACAACCTGGTGCCATTCGTGAAACCAGACGATCGCGCTCTGTTTGCTTTTCATCCACATGGTGTGCTGCCAAATGGATTCGCTTTCAATGGCGCACACCACATGGGTTTTGTGCATTCACATTGCCGCTGGCTCGTGTCTGAAAACCTTTTCTGGTTTCCCGTGATCAAAGACCTGCTCAATTGGATGGACTTCAGCTGCGTTGCCAAATCTACCTTTCATCGCTTCATGTCTACAGGACAGAACGTCTGCTTTCTTCCTGGTGGCTTCGAGGAGGCCACGCTTTATGAACGAGGCAAACACCGAGTTTACATTAAAAAGCGCTTTGGATTCATCAAGTTGGCGCTACAGCACGGATACAAGGTGCACCCAGTGTACACATTTGGCGAAGAGTACACTTACCACACGTTTCCATACTTGCTTCAACTTCGTCTCAAATTCAACGAGTTCAAGATACCCGTCGTGCTCTTTTACGGCCTCCTGCGATGCTTCTTCCTGCCATGTTCCGACGTCGATCTCATCACCGTCGTTGGAGAGGGTTTGGTTATGCCACGCATCGAGCAACCGACTAAAGAACATGTCCGAAAGTACCATGCACAGTACGTGGACGCTCTTCAGAAGCTATTTGACAAGTACAAGTGCGCGTACGCTGATAGCGCGGTCGATGCTTGAAATCGCTTTGTATCTTGCTGTATTCATCTAGCTCTGTTACGACTTGATATACTATGAATCCAGACTTTCAGAAATGGAGTGGTTTTATTTTTATGTAATTTACATCAGTACCGACAAGACTAGATGTGTACCATAAAGACGGTACATGGAGAAATCCAGCTATAAGTAACTCAAAATACCAGCCATACCTCATTATGGAGCACTCTAATAATGCATGCATGACAGAATTAAGTGCACTAGTGACAAGCCGTCGCTACCTGCTGCTCACGATGGCAGCCACTGGTATTGCTGCAACGAGTGCAGTACAGCGTCTGTACGATATGTCTCCCTCGGATCCGCTCGTATCAACGTTAACGCTCTTTGCAGCGGAGCTCATGAGCACGCGTATTAGTGCGGTGGTGCGTCATGACCATCATTCTTGAAATTGACTTGATCTAATTATAGTGTTTTTATTTAAATTGACATTATCAGATTGTGCTGCACTTCTTCCTTGTTGTTATGTATCATGTCTTCTTACTGCTCGCACACACGGCGCTAGGCGCGTTACGGCCGGTGGAACTGCAGCAGACCAAAGAGACACTTATCCCCTTTGTCCTGCTACGCTGTCAGCTGCTCGTGAGCATATCTGGACCTACTAAGATCTCAGGACAGATTGTTGAATTGGCACTGCTTGTGGTGTGGCTTGCAACCTTGGTGGTGCTACGTGCTCTACTGGCTCTCACCCATGCTAGGTTCCAGCAATTGCTGACGAGACCAATGACTAAGTTGGAAGACTTGCAACGTGTAGGAGCGGTGCTGGGCATCATTGTTGTGCTGGTTTTTGGGCTGGCTACTGTGAGCTCGTGGCTCGGTCTCTTTTCGGAGAGAATTATGCATGTGCCGTGGTTTGAGACATTGCTGATGCTGCTCAAGACGCTGGAGCTTGGCGTCCAAGTTGGGTTTCACGGCTTGGATGTTAGTGCAGCTAGCATTACAGAAGATAAGGAGCTGGGAGCAGGGTGCTGGGAAAATAGCGAGTTTCATTTGTTGCTGTTGCAGACTGTGTTATGTGGCTGTTACTTGGTGCAACTTGTGCTGTACTATTTGTATGTCGTCAGCTTGGATCAGTTTCGTGTAAGCGTCTTTGACCTTATTTTAATTTTGAATGTGAAAAATGCTACTGTACGGCTGCTTGAAAAAGTAAAGTACGTGAAATTATACCACCAAGTGGTGATGGATCTGGACCATCTGTTTCCCGATGCCTCGTCAGATGAGCTCAAAAGTGTGGCTGATGATGTGTGCGCTATCTGTTTGAAATCGATGCCCACACAAGCGAAGAAGCTACACTGCGGCCATCTTTTTCACCGACTATGTCTTCGCCAGTGCCTTCAAAAGACATCCATGAGTGATTCTCTCTCAGGCCTGGACCCGTTGGTGCGTATTGCCAACGGAATGAGACGGGAAGGCTTACCGCTACGGATTACTGGAAGTGTTTCTAAATGCTTCACTTCGATGCGCTGTCCAATTTGTCGAAAACAAGTGTGTGGTGGAAAAGACGACGAGATGACCTTGGTCCAGCCGGAACGTCTCCGCCAGCCCGAGATAGAAGCAGTATGGTTTCGAGAAGCAGGGCAATCGCAGCACCTTGCTACTGCTAACAACGTGCAAGGTGGAGCGCAGGAACAGACAACTATAGGTGTAAATGAAGCCGTCCCTGAAGAAGTGCTTCGCTTTAGCAGTACGTTTTTACGGCTACCATATGCGCACTCTCTTTGGCTAATGTTACTTTGTTTGGCGATGTAGCGGCGTTTTTGTCTCGTTGGGTCCCATTTCCTAATTTCTCGCTTGAGATTGTCCGTCATCCAGCCCAGCGCAACTTCGTGGTGACGCAGGAAATGTTGCAGCAGATTTGGGAGATTTTTCCTCAGTATACTCTGGAGGAAATTCGCGCAGACCTAATCCAAAGTCAGTCGGTAGAGCGCACTATGGAGCGTATTTTAATTGGGCGTTTGGATGAACAACGAAATATTGATGGTGCGAATGTCGATGCAAATGGGACGCTTGATGATGCCGTTATTGATTTGAGTCAGAACTCTTGGTAGAGTTTTTCATCTCTGGTATTGGCATTGTGGGGTTCTAATATTCGGACATTAGCACCTGCTCCTGCTTCAGTGGAAGAAGTTACAGCGGTAACTTTCCAACAACATGACGCGGGCCATCCAAATGTTCCTGTTGCCGACGGAATTTATTCTGGTGGGACGGAAGCGGAACCGGTCTTGCGTCAGCTTCAGCAAAGGCGCGGCCGACACTACGAATAACTATATCGCCTATATCGCTTTCGACATTCTGTATGTATGTATATATATACGCCTACGTCGTGATTCATCCATTTTTGATCACGGTTGTGTTATTGCTGTTTTTTTGTTTTGTGTTAGGTCTACTAGGTATATCTCATAGAGAACTAACCTCAATACATTTCTAGCTTGGCATCTGGGTCAACAGCGTACGCGCACTTGTACTTGTCAAACAGCTTCTGAAGAGCGTCCACGTACTGTGCATGGTACTTTCGGACATGTTCTTTAGTCGGTTGCTCGATGCGTGGCATAACCAAACCCTCTCCAACGACGGTGATGAGATCGACGTCGGAACATGGCAGGAAGAAGCATCGCAGGAGGCCGTAAAAGAGCACGACGGGTATCTTGAACTCGTTGAATTTGAGACGAAGTTGAAGCAAGTATGGAAACGTGTGGTAAGTGTACTCTTCGCCAAATGTGTACACTGGGTGCACCTTGTATCCGTGCTGTAGCGCCAACTTGATGAATCCAAAGCGCTTTTTAATGTAAACTCGGTGTTTGCCTCGTTCATAAAGCGTGGCCTCCTCGAAGCCACCAGGAAGAAAGCAGACGTTCTGTCCTGTAGACATGAAGCGATGAAAGGTAGATTTGGCAACGCAGCTGAAGTCCATCCAATTGAGCAGGTCTTTGATCACGGGAAACCAGAAAAGGTTTTCAGACACGAGCCAGCGGCAATGTGAATGCACAAAACCCATGTGGTGTGCGCCATTGAAAGCGAATCCATTTGGCAGCACACCATGTGGATGAAAAGCAAACAGAGCGCGATCGTCTGGTTTCACGAATGGCACCAGGTTGTTCTCCTCGATTGTCTTGCCAGCAATTTCCTTGTTGAGTTTGTTGCCAAACATGGCTTCGCTCGAGTTTTTTGTCTGCTTTGACTTTTCACGCTCATCAAAGACCAAAACATTAAGACGGAAGTACGGATACTGCAGGAATAATTGGCGTAAGAACCGTCGTATGAATGGCCACTGGTGCAGGGACAGTCTCGTCAAGTAGTGATAACTCTTGTGTAATATGATAGAGATCAAGTAGATTTGCACGCTTAGTGGCATTGACAAGGCTTTGCCACCAGTAACTCGTCCCCACACCCATTGCACCAAATAAAAGAGTGAAAAGATCCACATCATAAGAAACCACAAGAGACCGAGTACCCAAAGACCATAAAGGATCGTGAGATGAAAACGACGGACAAAACGACCTTGTAACGTTCGTAGATTTGGACGAGCGTCGAAATTTGGCCATGTTGGCGTACGACTGCATGCAGAATTCTTGAGCCATTGGATTTGTGACATTGAATTCTTTACTTACACTGGAGAAGGAAGAAGTGAGAATAAAAGGTTATAGTAAGGATGACACATTTGAGTACAAGAAATCAATTTTCGTGAAAAAAAAAGCGCAAATTATTAGCAATATTAAAGATAGTTAGTTTAGTAGGTTACAGTTACTAACTCTAAGCTACATACTGCATGCTAACATTTCGACAAATACGCGCGTTTGGCAGTGATATCGAACGAAAGGAAGTTTCGGGCAGTGGTACATTAGAAAAAAAATAGACCTTAAAGATTGAAAACGCTGTAATGTGGTATTTGTAAATCTCGTCAGACATGACGAGCATCGAGATACATCAATTCGTATTCAGACCTGCGTTCAAAGATCTTGGTACACATTGCGTGCAGCGGCCATGAATGCGATCTCCTTGTACGTGCAGAGCCTAACGTTAGCTTCTACATACATGACATTCCTCGTACCATATTTCTCAGAACTAACACCTTCATGCGTAAGTTTAGCTTTAGTATTGAGGACGCTTCCATCAGATTCTGGCAATCGCACATGCCGCGATGCTGGGCAAATCGAGCGCATACGCTTTTACGCGAGTTAGTACGCGGTAAGCTTGCAAGTAGAAAGTATCTTCGGATAGTTAATGGTGCTCATTGACAAGGTGACAGCTTGGATGACGTTGACATTAGCGTTGCATGCGCATATTAGAACAAGTATCATATACTTGTTCTAACTATATTTGAGATACAAACTAGAATACAGCCTGTGATTTCCAAGCATTATGTCTCATCCGTATGCCTTCAGCCACGCAGCTCAACGGTGCTACTTTCTTGCTTTCTCGCCCATTTCTTCAACAAGACGATCGCGTGCATTGCATGGGTTTTGCACAAACAAGTGCGTGGTAACTGGACTAATACGCAATCACTGAGCACCGCTCGAAATACGACAAAGGTAGTTCATCCTGAAACGGCCGGCTGTGCAATCCCATACTTCTAGAATAATAGCTACAATAGCCTTCATTTCCATATTGTGCACAAACGATCGAGACAGTAGCTCTTCTGCCAGGAAATTTTTCATGCGTCCTAAAACTTTTTACGTGTCGATCAACAAGTAATGAAGGCGGCTGCACAATGTAGCTACCACCACACTACGTCTCGTTATGTTCACATGGCTATCCGTTGGGCCACCAATCCAGCAGCAACCATGCGTGTGCATCACTTGCATTGTTTGTGCAGTATCGTAATGAATACTTTAACGGTCGCTGGGGAATGCGCCTGCAACAAAGTCTCTGCCGGCTCGTTAGGAAGTCATGCTTATGAATTCAAAGCCTCTTTCACCTCATGGCCTGTCTTACAGCATTTGAAGCGTGCCTTTACCAATGAGTCCATATTTACTAGACCTATTTGGTAAGCGCGTTTCCACCACTTTTAACCTTTTTTTTTTTTTCTTTTTTTTTTTTTTTTTTTTTTTTCCCACCCCCTTTTTTTTTTCTCTTTTTTTTTTTTTTTTCCCCCCCCCTTTTTTTTTTTTTTTTTTTTTTTTTTTTTTTTTTTTTTTTTTTTTTTTTTTTTTTTTTTTTTTTTCCACAATCGATGCACCATCAATGCAGCATTCTTAAGAGCGTAGTATAACAAGATTAGACGATCGGAACTGTGCAGTGTCGGATGATGCGGTAATTTGAACGTTCAAGTACCAACTACTGTCGTTGTTTGTGGTTTTATAATCGGTGGTCAAATGCTTCAATGTTTAAACGTTATAACAAGATATTTTTATATTTTTACCACTATTTTTTCGGTTTTTCTTACGTGGCAGTCGTCCCTCTTTTTTAATTCCTATAGCTCCCGATTCTATAGCAAACATTGTCCAAATCCTTCTATCGGTAAGATATCTCGTCTACGAAAGAAAAAAATCATGACTGAACCCGATGATCTCTTTACGCTTAAAAATCAGCTTTGGGTAGGTAACTATCCGAATGTATTAAGTGAAGGTTTGACACTCAATCATTTAAGTGAAGCACTACGTAATGAACGTGATGTGTACGTGTATCGTGCACACTTGGCATTGGGTCATGTTTCTCTCGTGTTACAGAGTATTTCCGACACAGGAAATACGTCTATTGCTCTTAGCGCTATAAAACTCTGGGCCACTTTTCTTAGTGGTCAAAGTGATAAGGAAATGATTGATCTCACGCTCAAGGAATGGCTGGCAGACCCCGTAAGCGGTGAGAACGCGCATTTACTACTGGTTGCTGGTCAGATTTACACTCGTAATGGAAAACTCTCAGATGCGTTATCAGCTTTTACTCGTGGTGGTTCACTTGAGCACATGCTGTACATTGTTCACTTGTATTTGCAAATGGATCGTCTAGATTTGGCTCAAAAGACGGCGCAGGAGATGAAGCGAATTGAAGAGGACTCGACCTTGACGCAACTGGCGCACGCTTGGTGTCTGACACTGCAGGGTGGCGATAAGGCTGATGAAGCCACACTGCATTTTCAGGAACTTGCGGACAGATTTGGTTCCACGCCGTTGCTGCTGAATGGCGCGGCGGTTGCCTTTATGGCACTTCAGAATTACGGGGAAGCAGAGCGGCTGCTACTTGAAGCTATTCAGAAGGACCCTGGCAACGAGGATACGCTTATCAACTTGATTGCAGTCAATGCGCACCTGAACAAACCCACGCAGCAGTACATTATGCAGCTCCAGCAGGTGGCGCCATCAAGCTCGTGGCTGGACAATTACGTGTTGCTGGACCAGGGTTTCTCCGAGATGGCTGCCACCTTTGCGTGAACAATGGAGAAAGAACATGACGCAAGACATCAGATGCATGCATATATGACGTGGTAACATGTACTTGAGAGAGTCAACAGAATGTCTGTGAACGTGCATTTGGTTCCAAATGTCTTGGCTTCGGCTGAAACTTAGTCAAATGACAAGACAAAAGTTTCGTTGCTCACCGGTGACTGCTTTTCACTATTGAATTTACACCAAGTATCGAAACCTCCAGTGCAATATTACTGTTTCTGTAGTAGTGTCAATGCTCCAAGTTGTAGAAAGACTCAGGGGGTCTTAGCGCGACAGCTCCTTGTTCATGAATTTTCGCTTGGCAAACAGCATCCACCACTTGCTCTTTTCTCCGTTACGAAACACCTCGTCTACTAGACGAAAGGCAATTGCTTCACGAAGTTGTTTAAAGAATCCACGAATTGTTTCTGTCATCTCAACACAAAGAGCAGAGCAATAATCCAGGTATATTACAACATAAAAACACCACTTAACAACACCCGACATATCACTACATAAATACCTGCTTCGTTTGCGCCTGACGGTGCGCGTACGAGTCCACCAAGTGGAAAACTGGAGTCACCAGGAATTGCAAAGGTATCTACTGCCGTCTGCTGCAAAATGCGCGTCGCTAAAGGGTTAGCAGAATTGACACACACATGCACATTTGTCACACTCCCTTCAATAACGATGTATGACTGCTACTATCTTATCTATATTGTCATACCTTCAATCTTGGTAGTACATCGGTCTAGTTTCTTCAGACATAAATGTACGAATAGCGTTCCGTAAATGAGCACACGGTCGGCATTGCCCTTAATTTCAAAATTCGTGAACAAGACGTTTGCACGAAAAAGCGAGAGGATTTCATCCACAATGTCTTCTTTATCTTCAGGCGCAGGTGGTGCTGGTCCACGTGCACGTGTTTTAATGGGAAGAATAGCACAGCCACAGGCTTCCTGTGTCTGTAGTTCATTTAGTGTCGAGTGATACGCTGGCATTCTCAACTATGTCGATCGTACAAAATTCAAGAGGAAGGGAGAATCATGTACGCACACAAGAATAGTGTGTGGACACAAAAAAGCGTCGACATTTCTATTTTATAGGTTTGGACTGAATCTTTTTTTTCTCAAAAGGTTCAAATCACTCACTTTCGATGATTCTCAATAGTCAGGCTAAGCTACAAATGGGAACGAATTTCAATGTATACAGCATACTTATTATTATCACAACTACCATCCTTTTCTTCCACCCACCTTCTTTAAGTTTACAATCAGGCAATGCCATGCATTTAAATAAATACTGAAAGACATCATATGTGAAGGATTTGTTACGGGACGGCAAAATATGCATAAAAACGACAGGTACTAACTATTGTGACTGTTTGAAGCAAATAGTACATGATCGTGTTGAAACGACCACACGTGGTGCAACATAACCCAGAGGATACATTTGATTGCCAGCTATGATATTCCAGGAAACCGAGTTCATCAAAATGTCGATCTGTATAGTGTACTCTCCAATAATATCGTTGTAACAGCGACTTTGACAGTCCCACGCGGTTCGAATCAATAGATCATGGATTTGTCACTTGCCTGCAAACCCTCGCAAACGAGGTTACAAAAATACAAGTCACTTTCTCCTTGTAAGGTAAACGCCTATAGTCCAACGTTAAACTGGTATCGTGAGCAATTTACATGTGAGGGCACATATTTCATGGTCACTCTATTTCATTCACATACTATCGGTTTGTTTGTTTGTTTTTTCACTCGAATCTTCCAGCAACATTAATCAGCCTTTCAATATACGAAACAATTCAGCTCGATCTCCTTTTCCATACGCCAGGATTTTGATGTTTCAAATCTAGACTGAACCACTTTCTGTGCACTCGAGTCAGCCCATCCACAATCAGTCATTCATTCAATCGCACTATTATCCATCATTACCAGGACATTCTCAAACGTCCATTCCTTTCCATTCAATTGCTTTTCATTCATTGCGTATACGTACATTAATTTTTATCCAAGGGAGTGATGGGTGGTGTATATACACGTGTAGTAAACGTGGCATCACTGCGACCTGGTGACCATGTGTGTATCTGGGACTACAGTCGCTGGCCCATTTCTTATCAACATCATGGTATTGTATGGGCTTCGGGTAGAACGGCTGTTGATATTCGCGTATGTCACGTCTGGAGTCCACTTGAAGGTTTTCAGGAAGCACAGGCAGATTCGTGTTCTCGCATTTCAACACTGGAGGAATTTCTGGATAATCGCAAGCAGAAACATTTACGTCTTGTTGAGTACCATACGTCAGGACTGCGAGAGATATTGTCAAGGTGGGGTGAAGTACATTTAAGTAAAGCAGATCTACCGGAAGTTGTCCTAGCACGATGCAAATTCCTATTGGGATTGGGAAAAGGAGATTTCAACCTTTTCACACAGAATTGTGAGCATGCGGCGCATTGGTGCATGACAGGCGAGCAATGGTGTAAACAGACACTTACTAAAGCCAAGGGACGTGTGCCATTTGAAAAGCGATTGACAAAGGAAGATGTGGACGCGCTCGAGAAGGACGTGGAGGAGATTAAAGCTAGCTCGCGCTCTGTTGTCAGTAACGTGCTGAAACTTTCAGGCTCCAAGGTGTTCCTACGTATCAAGGACAGCTACTTTTTACGGGTACATGTGGACGGAACCGTCGGCATTGTGCCGCAAGGATATGATCCAGTGACATGTGGCCGAACGGCTTTTCGTCTCGAGTGTTACGCTCGAGGTTATAATAGCATTCGTTTGCGCTTTTTCCATGAAGAATCTGGTTGCTATATGTTCAGTCGCTCCACAATTAGCTGCTTTCGCGATTTGCGGATGAAGAAGGCAAGGACTGTGCGTGGCAAGTCAGGCTTTACCTGGGAGTATTCGACACTTGGATACCTTAGGAGCATGAACCAGCACAGACGGTATGTGGGTGCACGGGACGACGGCTTGTTGCTGGATGTAAGCATGCGCGGTGACGCAGTACGCGTGGAGCTCGTTACATGTAAAGGAGACGCCGAGGCGTACGCTCGGCCAGATATCCACCAGGTCACGCGCACGTACAACCAAGAAAAACCCGTGACGCGTACAGATTGGGACTACAAAGCGATCATGCTCATCAAGTCGTCACCCACATCATCTACCACGACCCCCATGTCGGAACGAGCAGCAACTGTAGCAGCGTTGCCGCTACTCTTGGAGACTGTATGAATGACAGTGTTCCCGGACTCTTCGCGTATTTAACGCACTAAATCGCCGTAGTGCAGACAAATCGGCGTGTGATTTACTCCAGATATTGGCGTGCACACTTCTTTACCAGCCCACAACATCATGAATAGAATGGTGAGAAGAAAAGCCGAAAAATTCCAAGACACCAAGCTTCTTTCGTACAGGTTTGGATGTTGAGGAAATTACGTCACATAGGTTGGCATGACACACAGCGCGGCTGAAACGGCCTGTAAGTTTAATGTTTTGGTTGCAATGTTGCATCGAGCGTATGTACTAGGTTGTAGTTGACTGGTCATTTTGTATCTCAAGCCCAGAGCTAATGTCCCGTACGAGGTGATTTATTGACACAGTCATAAAGTTTGATGCTGTACTATAATGCAAAGCACATTGCACCAAGAGGTGCAAAGGTACATAAAGACCTACATGCTGAACAGGTCTCAACGAAAACCTATCCCAAATCTCTGATCACTGTAGCAGCTTGTTGTATTTGTAGTGACGCCTGTCGATCATATCCTCCAATGCGATGCAACTCGTTGACTCAATTGCAACATGAGTACGATACTGTTATGAAGACAGTGTCGGTAGCAGATTCTTCGTTGTCAACGGTGCTGGTGTTACAATGAGCATCGTAAACTTTCACTTACATGCTATTTTTGTACTAGTACCACGATATCGTCCGGCAGGATTGAAACGTCAGGTTGCCACATGTAGACACCATCGAGGGATTTCGATGGCACAAACAGGTTTAATCGTAGACAGGTCCTTTATCAGACCGTAGAATATGGTGCTTACCATACCACGCTGTTTGACGCAAGGTTGATTGACCACAGATGGTGCTGCCACATTGTAATGCTGGCCAGCTGTGGGCGTGGTAACCACAAGTGATCATGCTGAATTCTAAGAAGTACATATTTGTCACTATGCCGTAGGTGCAAAAATGACAAGCCGTGGAGTTCTTTTGACAGCGAGAATCTACTGAGCTTGTAACCTCCGCTCCAAAGGAGCCTAGTCAGATACCACAGCAATGATTCTTTACATGCACGTTTCACGACGTAAGCTTGTCGATCGATGTGCAAAAAATATCATTCAAGAATTACTCACTTGTATAGTAACGGACGCTCTGTGCTACGTCTGCAGATGATCTTTGCACAATCTGTCTATTGTCGATCGATCGGGGTTGTTCAGTTGTTGTCAGTTCGCCACAATAGTCAGTCAGTTGTGATGCCCTATTCTAGACCAAGTTTCAGTGCACGTCATGCGTCCGTCGTACCATCGGTTTGAGACATCGTTTAATGTTTACTTTCACTTGTGTCATTTACTTTTGAACTTTCATCACGGGTTGAGAAACAACGGGCTTGATCATTATTCTTTGAAAAGCTTCAAAGCTCCGGATAGGTCCCTCCTTTTATCTGCGACAGGTGTTAGCTACTCTTGATTAGGATCCTATCTCTATCTCTCACTCTCACCTATTACCAGCAGTGGTAGCAGATAAGAATTTACCAGGAAGAGTAGAGATTAGAATTAGATAGGGATGGGAGGGGTATACACGCGTGTACGCAGCATTTCGTCGTTGCGACCTGGTGATCATATTTGCATTTGGGACCACAGTCGCTGGCCTTTTTCGTACCAGCATCACGGTATCGTTTGGGCCTCTAGCGACGAGCTCGCAGATGTCCGTGTATGTCACGTTTGGAGCCCATTGCAGGGCTATAAAGAAGCTCAAGCTGATTCGTGTTTTCGTATCTCGACACTGGAAGATTTTCTATATAACCGAAGTCTAAACGATCTTCGTCTTGTGGAATATCATACATCAGCATTTCGAGACTTTTTGTCCAAGTGGGGCGAAGTACATCGAGGCAAGTCAGATTTGCCTGAAGTCGTGCTCGCACGTTGCAAGTTTCTACTGGGTTTGGGCAAAGGCGACTTCAATATCTTTACCCAAAACTGTGAACATGCTGCACATTGGTGTAAGACTGGACATCAGTGGTCCAAGCAGATACTTACAAAAGTTAATGGTCGTGTGCCGTTCGAGAAACGTCTTGCAAAGGAGGATATCGATGCACTTGAGCATGAGATTGAGGAGATTAAGGGTGTTTCACGTACAGTGGTAAATAATGTACTCAGGTTATCGGGGTCCAAGGTTTTTCTTCGTGTTTGTGGCAACAAGTACGTGCGAATTATGGAGGATGGACTTCATGTAGATGTCGTGCCCCAAGGTGATAACCCGGAAACGTGTGGTCGCACAGCTTTTCGCCTTGAATGTTACTCAAAGCAGTATAATTGCGTGAAGGTTGCGTTTTACCACGAGGAATCAGGTCGCTACATGTTTAGTCGCTCAACATTCTCGTGCTTTCGTGATTTGCGCATGAAGAAAGCCAACTGGTTACGTGGGACATCTGGCATGCGATGGGAATACTCATCAGGTGGTCATCTTAGCAGTATGAATCAACACCGTCGATATATTGGGATGCGTGACGATGGCTTGCTCGTCGACGTAGGTCTTCGTGGAGATGCATCGTATTTTGAATTTGTGCCCTGTGTTTCATTAAAAACCATAGCGGATGGTCAGGCTGGATCGTATGTACCACCGGATATTACATTGATTAAACGATCATATAACCATGCCAAGACGGTGGAGGAGACGAGGTCACAGAGTATGATTGAATTTGAAGAAGAACGGCGTGGATTACATGAAGTCACTCATTTATGAGTAGAAAAGTATACTGACGTTAAAGAAGAGAGAGGACCAAGCATGGCGAGGTTTGATTGTAGATCATAAATCTATGAATAGAGATACTGTTTCTGTAAGTTGATTTTACATTAGAGAATTCAATGAATGGGTAGTTGTTTGAACGAGTCTTTATAATAGATTATTTTAGTATAGATGTAAACTGAATGGACAAAACCCTCTCGCAGTATTTCAGAATTTTGCTCTCATTTTATGAATTCAATAGTTGCATTTAACCTATTTTTTTGCAGCTACTCTAATTTGACAACAGGTGTTGTTTTTATTGTAATGCACATACAATCCACATTCTTTACCAAATAAAATACCGGTTTCTTGACGAAATATACGCGTGTTAATTAATGTACCGATATACTTACTGGCTTTTATCGCCTAGCTGCTTCTTTTAATATGTAAAATAGCTCGTCGTCCATTTTTGCTCTTTTTGTTTGCTCTTTGTTAGGTTTTGCTTGAATTTTGGTGGAACGACGTTGAACATTGGACGGCGAAAAAAACCGGCTCACAATGCCTGCAATATTTGCGTGTTTTTACAGGACCAGTAGTTGCTTATTTTCCATTTAGCCGTAAAACCACCACAGAAAGTTTTTTCTATCTGTTTCAACGACACACACACAATAAAAAGACTCCTTTCAAAACGTTTTGTGCGACTTTTAGTGCATTAAAATCCACTTTTCCCTACGTTTAAAACACATCAACGTCCTCTTACGATTGAACGATTGAAACTGACCCAAATCAAGTCTAAAGATTACAATTGGACGATTGAAATTGACTCAAATTAAGACCAAGCACACCCCGTCTGACACAATTATTCTTTTGTGACGTTCTTGTTCTTTTCTACCCATTCACTTTCGAATAATACTACTATAACTACTAATAATATTGATAATACTAATACTTCGTACAAGAAGAAGAAGAATGAATGTCATTTACTCGGTAAAAGATTACGTCAGCAATGTATTTCATCAGGACTCGGGATCAGGTGCTATTGATATCGTCGCTGTGCAACAAGCAGATGGTTTTATACAGTGTTCACCTTTTCATGTGTATTTTGGGTCATTACCCAAATTAAAACCATATGAACATCAACATGTTTCACTTGAAGTTAATGGTCATAAAATTCACGGAATTCACATGAAGGTACAGTAGAAATACAAAACATAAGGAATGATGGTCTTTTCTTTTTATTTTACTTACCAAGAATGCCGGTCTCTTACTGTCTATATGGTAATTACTATCTATATCTTACTATCTATGTCGATAGGTCGATCCTGCCGGTGAAGTCTATTTTGTTCACCAGGTCCTGGAATCTATAGATGAACAGGATTATTCAATTTTACCTCATTCACCCAGTAGTATTGGACTAGAAATGGACACTATTGGTAACAATAATGCTTTTTGTATCGAGAAGAAGACCGTAAAAGAACCTCAAGGACATGGAGAAGATGCAACACGAGAGAGTAAACGACAACGAGTGACGACACATGGATTGAATGCTGCTCTGTCCATTTTAGACGAAGAAAATACGTCGGAGGAAGATGAAGAGGTACCAGGAATGGTGAAATGTGCTTCCGTCTATTTTGATGCAGTGGATATTGAAGTGACGATGGCTGCAAGTGGAAAATATGTTGACTACTACTATGACCATCCTTCCATGTCACTTTGTGGCCATTTGCTGGATACAGTTGTAACTAAGAGTGATGTATATCGGATTTTTCTCGAAAACGTTATCACGTTTGACTACTTTCAAGCTAATGCTGCAAGTATTCTTGCAAACCCAGCATTGCGCTTCTACGTTGATGGGAAAGTCACGTCGTACGATGCGGACATGCAAGCGTACTTGGTTTCTCGCGTGCTTTTCCCGTATTCACAACATTTATCTGTAGGCGCATCACCGAGTCGAAATGTGAACGAACCCGACGTATCAATGGAGTTGCAGACAGTGGATGCAATAAGCAGAGTCGTAAATTATGACGAGCGCCTTAAAATCTCAAAGTATACTTTTTCTCATTCGGGTATGTTAGAACGCGGCTCTACTACGTTGGAGCAGCTGGACGAAGTCTGCAGTGATGACGCTGGGTCAACACAGGACACTGCTAGCATTACTAGTGAGTCCTACTTTAACAAAAGTTTAAAGCCATCACAAGAGGAACTGCTGGAAATGGGTCTGCGCATAGGTACCAACGATATCTCGTTTGTGCTGCAACTAGATGGTGTGGGTGAGGTGGCTCGCGTGACGGCAAATTTGTACCTATGGCCAGTCACAACGAAGGTGGTAATTGCGCAGATTGATGGAGCGATTTTAAGCAAAGCTGCCACGGGTAGCATGTTCAAGCGTAGGGACCCTGCTGCGATGCATCCAGGAGCAGTAGAGTTTTACTCGAAGCTCGCACGGAACGGATACAGAGTCGTGTATATCACCAGTCACGGCATTCTACAGGCCCAATTGCATCAAGCACTTCTCCATAATAGTGCTGGTGAGGACGGGGATGTTACGCTGCCAATGGGTCCAGTTTTGTTTTCACCTGACCGCCTTCTCGCCTCCTACAACAAAGAAATTAATGGCGCACAAGGTTTCCGATTTACTGTGCTTGATGACTTGCAGTCTCTTTTCCCGCGTTGTGTGAATCCGTTCTATGCGGCATTCGGCACAACTCAAGCTGACAGCGTTATGTTCATGCAAGCTGGCGTTTTTCCAGGAAAGGTGTTCATCATCGACCCGGCTGACGGTGTTCTTCGGCACCGTTCTCTCATGGGCTTCCATGAGTCCTACACGAGTCTACTGGATCGCGTAGACGTTATGTTTCCGCCAATTTACTCGCCAACGACGGTGATTCCAAGGTCTGAACAGAGCAGCGCTCAATCGGTCGCGAGAAAGCTTCAGTCTGTATCAAGCAACCTTAGCTCAACTTCATGTGCATCTATGGTCAAGGATAACCAACACATTGCTTTTGAGGCGGTTGCGTCGTTGGTCCGCACACGAAGTCTCACTGATGAGGCGTATAATGACATTAACTTCTGGCGACTTCAGCCAGGATACGTCTAAGCCTCCAAGTCGTCACTACTCCATTAACTTGTTGACGATGCTATTTAAGAAGCGCGAACCGATCAGATAACGCAAGCAGTGGGAACGTGGCAAAACTATTCCAAGAAGTAAACAAACACCAAGCGGTACACCAGCTGATTAAAAATCCGTGCGAATGAATGATGAGTTGTGCCTAGTGAGCGATTTTCCATCGCGTACAGATACGTGTCGGCATAGATGGCTGCAGGAGTGCGCAAAGGCAAATTAGTCTCACAGCATGCCTTACTGCCGGTCCCCCGTCCAGGTCTCCTGGTATAGCATCAATAATGAAAGCTCTCCCACACAGAAGAAGTGGTTCATGCACCCAGATTGAAGTCTGCAAGCATGCATAATTTGGCTATGAGTGAACGTCCGACCAACCTCGCAATGCCATCGCGAGCGCAAGGAGGATTGAGTCGACTAGACACACCCGGTCTCATTCAATAACCTTGTCCATGCCAGCAGCAGAAGTATGAGCGCAAAGTACCGTTCGACAGTCGACAGTGTGCGCTCTGTTAATCCAAGGCGACTACCATTGAGACGAAGGAACTAGGCGTCTGTTGCTACTTTGTTCGGAAAAGGTGTCACATAGGTCGCTCAAGATCATCGCCGGTCCTCGAAGAAGACAATGTAGACCCGAGAATATTAATCATAAGACTTACAACAGAGAGAACCATGACCCGTCAGCTGGGCAAGAAAAGTCAAGACTGCAAAGCGCCAAGAAATTGCAGCATGGTCAAAAGCTTAGTGCGAAAGAAGACTTGGCACATGAAACTAGACGAGCAGTACCCGCTTAAAATGCTACCGTAGCAATTGAAATATGGTGCAATTTGATTTGGAAAATGCCTGGACCGCAAACGCACGGATTGAGTCGTGGGATGAGTGTAAATGTCATAGAGCTACCGCTAGCAATGTCTTTACAGTGTGTAGATGAATAAATCTTCATGCAATTCATCACTTCGTTATTTCACTGGGACACGAACAAAACGCGCGCAAATGAGACAAAGCAGATAGTTTATGATTACGAACGAACTCAAATCAAATCACGTGGTGGGAAGAAGAAGTAGAAGAAGACAAATGAGGACTGTGGTGTACTAATCTATGGAAATTTAGTCTAAGGTTATAGTTTTGTAGTGAAGCATTAGAACCCGTCAAACATCCTCCATCAGTAGCTACAGGTGATTGCTGACTACTGGCTACATTGTCTAAGGCTTAGGATTCGAGATCTACCATGTCAAACCTTGTCAAACCCGCCTGGCATATTAAAAGTTAAGACAAGGAACAATATACTCGAGTGTTCCTTTTACTTTACTTGTACAAGTTCAAGCAGCAAAGCTCAAGTCTGAACGTAAAAATCATGTCTTCGCGTTCGTCAATGCCGCAATCAAGGCATTGTAGTGCGTGATTTGGCTGGCTGAACGCAATCTGTCATATCTCTTGACTTTGATCTCGGTTTGTCGGTAGTTTACGCGCTACTATCTCCATCATGAGGGATTAATGATGCCAACGCACAACGCTGATCATAACAGATGACTGGCTTTAACGCCGCATGTCTAAGGATTCTTTCTTTGGTAGTCGACCGTAGAAAGTGACCACTGTGGCAAGTATGCTTGTGATTGTTTACCCTGGCTCGTTCTTCACGGTAGACAAACAAGCACTAACATCTAAAGAAAAAGAAGCTTGTGTAGAGCTGGATTGTCGACACGTTTTGAAATCAGCTGCTCCTATCAGTGTAGGTAACTAATGGCTCCATAACTATACCCTACCGTCCGATCAGCATCTGTAGCCTACTGCCCGGACCGATTTCTGTCACTTCGAAAGAAATGTCTGAGTTGAGACACTTTTGACAAAGCGCTGATGTAGTGAGAGCGTAACTGAAGTTATGTCTTGACCTGTCCTAACTGTCCAGAGGCTCCTCCCGACGTTGACCCAATCTTTGGTAGATGACGTGACTATTGGTATTCTAGCTTTCAAACGGCGCCTCTCCTTACAATTAACTTCCATTAGCAATGGAATAGCAGCAGATCAATGACGTCATGACTGACCAAACACAAGTCAAGCCAGATGAAAAGACGTCGAGGTCACCTGCCACTTTCGTTGATGATTTTTATGGCAATGTCAGTGACGCGTACGTTGGATTGTCCATAGTTTTTCTTGATCAATATATCATCTTTAGCCCCCACAGCGTCATCTTTCCAGACACCACCTTGCTTAAGAGCAGCACTGCAGCTGCTTGCGGCTTTCTGCAACTGACCTTTGTCCACTTTTCATTTTTTTCGTTATTGCCTGGAGTCACATGGATCCAAAAAACGACATTCGGATATCGTTGTGCTTCATTTCGAGTCCAAGTGCACGGCACGGACAATCGATCGTTTGATAGCCAGCTGCTACGACTCGGTGGCACAAAAACGACAAGAGGACAACCACACAGCAAGCTACAGGTACATGTCTCGTCCCGCTTTTTCACGGCGCGCACGAGCTGAAGGGATTGATTGCACTGACATGTGAATCCGTGCCAGTTAAGACTGTTCCATACTAACGTCTTATAACCCGAAAATATCAACTACAGCTGCTCAGTTGCTTTCAATCTGCATTTTAAGGTCAGGAAAGCCCAAGTCTGTGACGAATCAATGAATCTTTCGGTAGCTACTTGACGTCTGTCTATCAGTACGACAGTAGTTTTCAAAGCACATAATGTAACTTGATTGTATATTGTGTTAGCGAATTGAGGTTCTCTAGCTATATAGTGTATTGGACGCAGGATACATGGACGTAAGTAAGACAGGCGAACAACAATAGTGAAACCGAGTCACCCCCGTCGTGGTGGTCAGCAAGACCGATCCCTTTTCTAAAACGGGGTGATCCACTTTCTGGACTGTGTAGAACTGACAAGTGCAGGATAACTATCCCATCTGACTTCTGCCTCTTTCTTTCTCTTTCTCTCTCTCTCCTTCTTTCTCTCTTTTTCACATTGTTTGGTATACAGGGAAGGGATCACCATACGGTCTTATAGACTCGTTCTTTTACGATTCATTTGGACAGAAGTTGTGTCTTTTTCCCCACTCTTTTTATCGCCGTTCCAAGTCCAGTTAACATACTGAAACGAAGCGTCAAAAACATGCAAAAATCCCGAGATACAACAGTGCAGTCAGTGCTGCCTGGCGTAAGCTTCACTCTGGTCGCTTTGTTTTCGCATTTTGCAATTTCTCACCTCGCGTTTGCAGTGGGTGCAGTGTATCTGTCTGTGTGTCTGTGGGCGGGTGATTTTGTATCTCTAATAAAAGAGAGAGAAAGAGAGATTCTTTCAGTTGGTTAGTTCTATGCAGCTTCAGCTTGTTTCGGCTGATAATCTCGTGTCATCTTTGCAATCAAAGCTACGACCAATGCACACTTACGACTCGTCAACTAGTACGATCCTCACTGCCCCACGGCGAACAGAACTCTTACGACAGCGTCATTGTGTCGCATTTGAAAACCAGGCGATTGCACTTCGTCAGGCGTTTCGAACGGCACCGGAGCCAGTGACACTTGCACTACCGCCTCGAAATTCCAGTTCTAGTTCCATTTTACGTACTCGATCTACATCAGCTATGGTGGCAGATAGTGGCGATCTCTTACGAACGATCGAGCATAGCACTACGAAGAGTAGTGAGGACAGTGAGGTGATCAAGGAGAAGCAGTTGATGAAGAAGAAGAAGAAAGTCTCGTTTGTACAAATGGAACCCGAACAAGAACAGGAGCTCGAGCTCGAGCTGAGTCTCTCGACTAGTGCTAGAGATCAATGTAGCTGTCAGAATTTTACACTTACAACCGCAAATATTAAGGATATGCCGTCTCCCATCCACGCGGCCTGCAGGAGACAAGAGTTGCAAGCGGTCAAGCATCTCCTGAGCTTTTATTTTGGTGCAGACCTGATTAAGCTCGTGAATTCTACTTGCGCGTGTGGCCGCACGCCGCTTGAAGTGGCTTGTGAAACAGGCAACACGAAGATTGTAAAGCTGCTGCTGAAACGTCATGCAGATCCGAATGGAGCAGGTAGCGCGACGCCGGGGGTGAGACAGACACTGTCAAGTCACCTTCGCAACCACAAAAGACGTAGTAGTGACCCTATGCTTGTCCACAAACGACGACGATGGACTTGCTTTGGGATTGCTTGTACGAACCGCAAGTTGGATATCATAGAGCTGTTGATGCAGTATGGCGCTCGAATCGATGAGGATGCACTAGTGATGGCTGCAGGCTGCGGACACGAGGATGTGATTCGCACGTTGGTGAGCTTTGCCAATGCGGATGTCAAGAAAAAAGGCAGTGCAGTCCACCAGCTTTTTCACAAGAAGGGAGCGGAAGCGAATGAACGCACGTACGTGCCTTTAATCTCTAGCTCGTCGATGCAAAAGGCATGTTCGGCAGCAGTAGTAGATCACATGGAATTGGTTCGAGTATTACTAGGCGACGGCAAGAACGCGATTTCGAGGGAGTGTATTGTAAAGTGTGCATTTGACGCCGTCAATTTGCCAGATTACCGCTTGCTTAAATGCTTGATCAAGATATATGACACCCGACTTCTGCTAGATGCACGTGACAAGATTTCACAGAGCTCGCTACTGCATGTGGCAGTTAAGAACGGTAGTGCTAAGACAGTCGTGTTCCTGATCCGAGAAGGCGCCAATGTGCACGCACAAGATGGCAGTGGCATTTCACCGCTGTACTTGGCCTGTGCTCGTGGCCAAGAGGTTGTGGTTCACACTCTTTTGGAGAAGAAAGCCAAGTGTTTGGCCGTCGGACCGAGTGGTGAGACTCCGCTTCACATCGCTGCCCAGGAGAACCAGCTTGCATGTGTGAAGTTGCTGCTTGAAGTTGGCAAGGTGCCGGTGGACGACGTGACACACGATCGCTGTACGGCGCTTCATTTGGCGTCTCAACGGGGAAACACAGCAGTTGTCGCCTGCCTGTTGGATCATGGAGCTAACGTGGATGCCATGACGGTGGGCAACGAGTCACCACTGCTTAAAGCTAGCCGCATGAGTCAGTTCCAGACTGTCAAACTGCTTCTCTCGCGTAACGCCAGCGCCCAACCCGTGTTGACGTCGAGTACGTCGGAGCTCAAGCTAGCAGCCACTAGTGGTGCTTCTTTCGAGTCTTCTTCATCGATCTCACCCGGTTCGAGGGTACAGTTTTCTCGGAGTCGATCGTGGTCATCTTTAGGCAACGATTCACATCGAACAAACAGCAAGGGGAGCGAGGGTATTTTTACCACTAAGCCTAGCACGCACGTGTCGTTAAGGCACTGGATTCGATCTATGCTGCACAACTAAGACAAGAACGTATTTTTCCATGCAAACGGAGTCTAGAAACGGCCGTACGAGTATGCGTCAAGTGATGAATCAGGTTTTCAAGCAATGAAGCCAAGCAGCATCATTGAAACCGACGCAATGTATATTATTTGCCATCGCTTAGCGTAAGCGGTGTCTGTATTGAGATAGATATGTAGATTCATTAATTTACCACAATTTTGATTATTACCCGACGGCTTCCTTGCATCGACAATCGTACACGATGCGACGTAAACGAGCGAAACGGAGAGCAGTATGGATGATACAGTTTACATGGTTTTACCCAGCGTGCCCTACGATGCGTTGACGACACGTACGCCTGAGGGTATCCATGTGTCTCAGCGTCTCGTGCTTGTACATACCCACCACTGGAACGTAGAGCAAAGCATGATGTATGACAAGACAAAACTTATCTTCAGGTTTGTGAGTAAATGCCAGCGAGGTAGGACGCGGAATCTGTCACCCACAACACCAATTTTACCGCAAATAGCGGTTATAGGAGCCGCGAAAAGAACGGGTCCTTGCGGAAGCTCTGCAGTAGCTCACTGGTACTGAACAGCAGCTTGATCAGGTGCTTCCGAAGCTCTAACTCCGCAATGAGACCCTCCTTGCCTATAGTATCCAGCGCGGTTCTGAAGTCGCGCTGTGACAACGGCTTAAACACTCCAGCATCCTTACTCACTTCACAGTAGCACGAGTACAGTTCGTCCACACTGAACAGCGGTGTAACCTCGTTTCCATCCGAAGCGGCTCTGTTAGCCGTTACGATAAGCAATCGAGTAGAAGCAAATAGAATCATCTGTAAGTTGCGCGGTAGCGACCTGATCGCCGAAGCGCTCTTCGACTCCAGGGCGTGCTTGATGATGCGCAGCACGTCCGTGAGAGGCAGCGGACGTTCTAGCTCCTTGTCATCCGACGGATTTTCCAAGTTTTCCTTCTCAACTTGGTCCAGTTTGTATTGTAGAACACGACGGCAGGTGTCGACCGCGAGTCTGATGTCACCAGTAGTTGACGCAATTTTACGGGCCAGGAAGGAAATACCGTGCGAGCTAACCATCTTCGATGTTGCCGACTGTCCGCCAAGGCGCTCGATAAGAATTTGCTCGATGGTCTGGTGTTTGTATGGCTCAAAGACGACAACACGCGGCGAGTAGTCCGGCAGTTGCTGCTGAAGCATTGGTAGATGTCGCTCCGTAAAGTCTACTTGGTTCGCAATCCCAATTAAGACGAAGCTGTGGGAAGTCCGCTGTGCTAGCTCGAACAGCCGACAAAGATCGCTCTCAGTACCGTTATGTTTCAAAAGCGTGTCAATCTCGTCCAAGATTAGAATCCTGAACAAATTTCATCAAAACATTGCCAAAAGCCTACGTTAGCAGTATCGTCAGTACATGTGAAGCAATACCAACGCACATCGTCTTGGAAGACTTCAGTCTGCGAGCTGTCGCGCGCTCAATAGCCTCGAAAGCCTCATTTCCACTCGAAAACGACTTACGCGTCAAAGCTTCCGCAAGCTTACAGAACAACGTTGATGAATCAGCAAGGGCCATCGCGTTGACGTGGCAACGGATAGGCTTGTTGCCGGCTTGTTTAGGACAGCACTCCTACATTGTGGAAAAAACGCTGTAAGATTAACATGTGGGCATGCAGACAAACTCTACACCACAGTCTTACCCTGTAGAGTTCGTCGATATCCGACTGAGTCGACTTTAGCAGAGCGGTCTTGCCGCACCCTGGCGCTCCGGAAATGTATAGACTGGTATTTATCTTCCCTTTGAAGCAGTCACTGAAGAACTCACGAATCTCGCTAAACTCCTTCTCACGATGGCGGAAATTGGATGGGATATACGCCGACGTGAGCTTTCGGATTGAGCGTATAATCGTTTCGCGGGGACCAGCATCCTTTGTGGGTTTGACCTCAACATCATTGCTAGTAACTAACGAATGCTTTTCCATCCTTGTAATGCCCGGTGAAGGCGTGAAACTATTCGCAAGACTACGTAGTGGCTGGCGCCCATTTCCATGGTTTTGGCTTTCTTTGCTCTTCACTACAGCAGCATCGGGGGATATGGTCTTATCCTCGTCGTCATCCGTAAGATCGACAATGGCACATCGCTTGCCATCTGTTGGAGTACGGAAAAGTGAAGCGTCCTTGTGTTTCTTGCTTCCTTGCTGACAGTCAGGCATGATAATATCGCGTTTGCGCTTTTGTAGTGGAGTAACTGCTTCATTATCGCTATTCATCATGTCTTCATCGCTTGAGCTCATAGCTGCTTCAGCACGAACACGCGCTGCTGTTCTGTCCCACAGTCCACTGGTTTGCAAATGCTCAACCAGCAAGTCCTTACTCTGGAAGAAGTCCACTCCTGCTTCGCCGTCCTTAGCAGTGGCGCAGTGAGGCTTGAAATAATCGTACTCAATTTTGCCAGGATTGTAGTGCCAACCATCTTCAGACAGAACACGCCAAATCTCGCCAAACTTGACCTCAGCGAGGGTTGTCTGAGATGTCATACCATGAGCTGTAGACTTCGAGCGACCACGTCGAAATCGACTTACAGATTGAATACGGCTACGATCACGTCGCACAAGAGCCTTCTTCAGCTGCGGTTTAGACTCAGCAACTTGCGCACGAACCGGAGTCTTTGCAGCGCGCGTGTGGTTCTGAATGTTGTTGTCAGTGCCGACATCATCTTCACTGTCAGATGCGTACCTCTTGTAGTGGTCTTCTTTTAGCTTTGTGTGAACGTGGTCATAGAGCCCGCTACTATGAGCATAAGCTTCTAGCTGTTCCCGACCTCGGAAAAAATCTTTGTTTGGCTCAAGAGTGTTTGTCTCCTTTGTCTTGCAATGAGGCTGGTAGTACAACCACTGAAGGCCTCCATCTTTCCAGTACCATCCACGATTCTTCAACTCCATCTCAAGTTTCCCAAATGACATTTCGAAGGGTGGAACGGCTTTGCTAGGTTTCTTCTCTTGTCGCACTTTTCTAACAAGTTTGCCTTGTTTTATCGGCGCCTCCACAATGGCCTGTGCTTGCTGCGTCTTTGGTGCAGCTTTGTTAGCCACACCCTTTGTGCGCACTTTTTTCGGTCCAAGCGCATGCTTTACCGACATTTTCTTCACAGAAACGTTTTTGTCTACGTTTTGGTTGTCTCCCTTGTCTTCGCCATCAGACTCTTCACTAACGTTAGGCTCTTCCTCGGCAGGTTGGTGTGGTTTTACCGTTTGCACTCGTGAGTCAGTCGCGTCAAACACTGCCGGCATCTTATCTTTCTTGGTAATGATGCCATTGTTAGAGCCAGCTAGTCCGCATTCTTCCAGATACTTGGCCACAGCTTGAGTCTTCGTGCGGAAGATCGTCACATTGGGCACCCACTGGTCAAACGGCGTGCCTGCTTTCTTATACAACGTCTCTGTCGTAGTTGACATGCTCTCCCAGCCACTTTCAGCTGCCAAGGGCCATAAAAACTCCGTCAGCTCAGAAAAGTCCGCATCTGACTCCATTGTGGTCGTCTTGACCCAGTCACTCAAATACTTTGCGCAAGCTTTCTCTAGCGAGTCAAACAAATTGACGTTCGGGACAAAGTCAAAGAAGCTTGTACCTGGCATCTTGTACAGTACTTGCCCATCTCCTTGTGTCATTGTTTCCCACCCCAATTTTAACATTTGCTGCCAGCACTTGGCTACCATCGATCCCATGGCCGGTGTTTTCAGCAGCTTCGCCACATCAACAGTCTTCTTTTCTACGTCTGTTTTCCGTGTCTTCTTGCTCTTGACTGTAACCTTTACAGGGGTCGTATCAGGTGATGCAATACTCTCCCTAGCGACCACGGCCTTGCCCGTTGTATGAGCTTTTTTAGCCATCGTCAGTAGCGTCACAAACAGTTCTCCCGCTTTTTCATCCGTCTGTACGTCTCTTACATATGTCTCAGCCTCTTTACAAGCTCGTAGAAAGCATCCATTATTCTTTGTACGAGTTACCACGTCCTCGGGTATTTGATATTTGCTGCAAAGTACGGCAAAATCCTCGGTCCTTTGCCAGTCCTCAAGTAGTAAATCATCCGTGTGTACTACACAAAGCTGTAGATTTGGTGCTGATCCAGATACTGCCACATGACATGCACGAGGACCTACACCAAAAAAATACAGCACGCGATCTTCTGCGTCCAGCGCGGGTTTGACATTACGTAACGCCCATACATCGTGTGTATGTGCTACCGCGTCGGAATAGCTTGGATACACACATGCAGGCCAAAACATTGGCATAGAGCGTAGTTTAACCCAGTATAAAACCCTCAAGCCATGTTCCCTCTCATTCATATACGCCATAGTGTACAAGTGACAATCACTCTTGAATTTCCTTTTGGTTGCCTTCTTGCACTTAGATACGGAAATGCGGAGAGAGGCAACTTTTGGCGCGGATTCGTACTTAGTATGATATCTTACCGACAGGGGGGGCGGGAAAAACGGGATACCGTACGATATCGGTACAGATCGAGTTTTGACCAATAAGCATCATGTACGCCAATCAAAGTGTTTAAACGTTGCGCCATCGTAGCTTTGATAGGTCCAAGTATTGAGCGCTGCATTGTTATGGACGCCATGGATCTAGTGATTAGCAAGTTCCATACAAATCAAAAGGTAAATATTATTATGCAGAAACATGTGCCAATGGCGTTGTCTCAATTAGAGCAAGAAGAGAAGCGCGAAGATGATTCTAGCGCCAGTAACAGCAGGTTGGACCATGACGCTGAACAAGACATGGATATCCCGACGACGCAAGTGCTGCCACAGGAGCTTATGGATAAAGAGATGAGAGAGAAAATTTTGTCAAGTGTAATGATTGTCCCATCGCCTGTCCAGGCATGTGTGTCACCAGTTGAATCCTACAATTCTCTTGTCAAAGATCCTGTATCTCCACTAGAGGCAAGTGCATCTCCTGTTCAGGATCTTGAATCTTCTGGTAAGAATCTTTCATATTCAGACAAGATGCAGTCATCATTGGAGGATCGTTTGCCTGCAGCGTTGCGATTGTCACCTGTGAAGACACTAGAACCGTCTGTCGCTCCGTCGCCAATTGTTGAAAGACTGGTTCAGGAAGAGGCTGTGGACGACACGCCGGATGAATATCAAGCCAAGGGTGCCGAGGGAAAATTCACTAAGGTTTTCCCTGCAGTAGCCAAGTTATTGGAGACTGGAGGCTGGCAGATTGCCTATGGCCATAACACGTTGTTCTGTGCTATGCCTGGCGTACAATTTTTCAACTTTAAGCCAAATATCAACGTGTTTGACTCAAAGGTTAAGGCGTGCTGGAAGTTTATTCAGATTGAGGGAGAGAAAAAGGAGGATACAGGAGACAAGGAGCTTTGGAATATGCTCTGGTCGATTGCAGAAAAGGAGTTTGGGTGGTTTACTATGATGTGTGGCTCCGAGACGTGGTTTGTCAAACCAAATACGAAATTTGAGAATTTTCAACCGAACGAGACAGTCTTTCAGACCAAAAAGCGCGCCGTGCTCAAGTGTTTGGCTGTGGAGGTGGGTGACATTGAGCTGGGTGACTCCTGTGAAGGTCATCAGGTTATTGCCTTCGCTCCGCGTGTGGTGCAGTTGATGCCCACGCCTGCTTCAAAAAAGGTCAAGACTTCTTTATTCAAGACCCCATCGCCGGCAACAAACCGAAGTACCTCGAGGTCAGACACGAGCGCCAAGTTCGTTACGCCTGCTAAGCATGTGTCACCTGGTTCGGCTACAAGTAGTGCAAAGCGTCAACTTTCTTCATCCGCAGCTAAATTGAGTTCTAAAAGTTCTGCATCGAAGAAGAAAAGGGTGAAGGCGGGCACCAAAGCGAGTATGAAGAGAGCAATGACAAAGAAAAAAGCTAAGTCGATCGCCGACACGGCTTTGGATAGCAGCAAAGGAGATGATTTCAATTTCACGCCTCCTGAGTTTCGAAGCTCTTTTGGAATTGTATATGCGAAGCTGCAGGACGAGGGTTGGTACCACCGAAGTGGAGTGTTCGAGTACGACTACTTTTCTCCCACGTACACGGATGCAACGAAAAAAATTAAAGTCAATTTCTTCCAGTCGCAGGCGGATCTTGAAGAATTCCTTAAAGTGAGCGGCACATGGAAGCGTATTGAAGATGAGCTTCGAGAAGAGCATGAAAGAGCAGTGGATGAAGAGCGTGAAAAAGCGTTGGATCGCCACCACCAGCGATTAGAGCAACAAGCAGCTCGAAAGAAAAGTTTAGCGTCAAATGGTTTTCAGCCTGCTGCCGCAAAGCCGAAGAATTTGTCCAAGAAAGCTGCTCCCAAAAAGGTCGTTAGTGCTCCCCTCGTGTCCCAGAGTCTGTACCAAGCTGAAGTTGAGGCTGCTAGGGCTGTTGAAGCTGAGGAGGCAAGGCTGTCTAGAATGCCTACAATGAAGTTTGGTACTGTTTTAAAGAAACTGGTCAAGCGTGGCTGGTACTACCGTCCTGGGCGTTTTGAGTATGACTACTTCAAGCCCAGTGCCAATCCAAAATCAGCGGTGGCCGGCGTCGATCGCTTTGAAAGTGCTTCTGCTCTGGAAGTCTATCTGAAGACGACTGGACTGTGGGAAGAGATTGCAGAGGAGGTGGCGCACGAGGAGATTGTGACGCAAGACAATCAAAGTACTCATTTGGAATCACAAGAGTGGCCATCGAAGCGCTGTAGACTCGAGTCACCTCCTCCGGCATCAGCGCAGTCACCGAAGAAAGAATTAAATGGCGGTATTCAGATAGAAGAAGTGAAGGCACTTACCAACGATATTTGGGCAAACTCGCATGAGTTTGACTTCAACGAGTAGAGAGCTACAAGTGATCGACTCTGCTCAACGCACAGCCGGATACATGAGGATAATGAATGAAAATTGCGTGATTTCAAACTGCATTCAATTTTTGTAGAGAGGAACAACAACAAGCTAACAGAAAAAAGATAACGTGTAGCAAACATGCCGTCCATATATTACAAGACCCCCTTGAGTGATGCACCTGCACGGCGATTAATAGTCTGACGCTCGGCCTCGATGCGGTTAATCTTGTGTTTAAGCTCCTATACCATCACTTCTGTCAGTCCATCAAGTCCACCTCTCCCTCCTTACTATTCCTACCGTAATATCCTCAGCAGTGGCGTCCTTTGTGGGTGTTGCAGTAAGATTCGACATGTCTGCATCTGCCATCTACAAGACCAAATTCATCACTTGGAGACGTTACGAACTGAACAGAATCTATATGTTCTTCACTATACAGTAGCACCCTCGAGCTTAGACGGTTGAGCATCTCAACGATTCGATCTTTGTCCGCTACAAAGTGTCACATGACAGATCCTCTCAGTATAACTACTTGTTAGTATACACACCAGCATAAAAAAACCCTCTACTCACTATAAGCGTCTGCGGTATCGTACGGACGCTCTTCGGACTGATTTTCACTGTGTAAGACAACAATCTACATTTCAGAACTCGACTTTTATCGAATACACAAACATTGATATATAGCTAGCTACGCACATTTTTTCAAATACCGAGTCCATGAGCTTCTTAAGTTTGTGGATATCGTCCTGCATTTGCATGATTTGCTCCATAGCTTCGTAATGTGACAAAATGGTCGGACATGGACTGTTGATTTGGTACACTGTACCAAACAATATGACGCCTCACTCTTGCTCATTATTACTAAAAAAAGGTTTTTTGACACTATTACGAAGCGTTTCGTTATGGCGTCGTCCCCAGAGGCTCAATCAGGCAGTAGCAGTAGCGAAGATGAGTTTGATTTAGGTGGATCCTTATTAAAGTCAAGTAGTGAAGGTATAAAGACGAACAAATCAGCCGATCCTGATCGACTCCTTAGCGACGACAGTGAGGAAGACGACAACAAAACGGAGCGAAATAATAACAAGACGGGGGTAACGTCACTGAAGAAGGAAACAAGTAGTAATAAGGACAAAGACAAGGAGATGGAGGATCTATTTGGATCGGACTATGATTCAGAAGAGGAGGAGTTTAAAGCTTCGTACGTACACACGTTGTTATCTTGTGCCTTGGCATCTCCTTGTCTCTTTGTTCTTAACAATATTGATTATGACTATATAGAGGTGTGAAGGAATCTCCTGCTCGGGACAATAATCGTAGCAATGACGGCCATTTTGTGGATGAAGCAGTAGATCGAAGCACTCTCGGAGGAGCTGGTGATGGAGATAGTAATTACTCGGACAATATGTGGCTCCCAAGGACTCCCAAGGCTCCCAAGACAGCCAAATACTTCATCAGCAAGATGCCAAATATCTTGCGTCTTGTGCCAGAGCCTTATACGAAGGAAGCAATCAAAGCTGAGATGGACAATCCGTCCGATGAAACGTTGTACCGTAATTACGTACGTTGGCGGTTCAAACGTGATCCGGTTACAGGTCGCGTGCTACTCGATGAGACGACGAAACTTCCGTTGCGAGAATCTAACGCCAAGTTAGTGCAGTGGGAGGATGGCACTTTTTCCATGTTTGTGGGCAAGGAAGCGTTGACATTGTCGCGTCAGAAATTAACTAACTCGTTTTTGTTTGTGAACGAGATGGCAAGTGATAGTCCGCACTTTCAGGATAGCGACGACGTCGTTGCAGGTCAAGAAAGTGTGCTGGAATGCCATGCGCGTCTTAACGAAAAGTTTACGATCCGCCCGATGACCACGGCTAGCAAGTCGCACAAAAGCCTTAGCATGTCTATGCGTGCCAAGCACAACAAGAGCATGCAAAAGTTGAAGGAATACATTTCCGAACTAGATGGTGAGCGGGAGCAGGAGCAGCGCGTAAAGATTACGGATGAGAAGCTTAGGTTACAGAACCGTAAGAAGGCGCGTCAAGGTTACGAATACGATCGTGGACGTTCTTCCCGCATGGATGCGCAGTTCCTTGAGGAAGGTTACGATGGTATCGACTATGACGATGATGAGCACGTGGGTGCTATCAAGGAGCAATTTGGGAAGCGAAAGGGCTCTACTGTTCAGCGGAAGAATGGAGCGGGTCAACCAGTGCCTGGTGGCGGCTTTAACGAGTACCGTAGCAATCAGCGCCAGCGTGAGCTTGAGCGTGAACGTGACGCGGAAAGGTCAGAAAGTGATAACGATGCTGGTTTGGATGAGGGCGAGGATAACGAAGAGGAGGAAGAAATGGTCATTCACAGTCACAAGAAGCGACGTACAGTGGATGAAGAAGACTCGGAGTAATTTAGTAGCTGCCAACGTTGCTATTCTCAATCTTAGTTCTGTCTTTTATTCCTTTTTGATGAGTTCGTGGCCGTGATAGCACATCGGATCTGTCTACAGCACTGGTGATCTACATGTTTCTGTAATCCTGTAGGCCGTCATTAACGCGGATAAAAAACACACACCATGGCATCATGTGTCTGTCTTTGCTCTAACATCGACGTCAGCAATAATGCAAAGCAGTTTCACTCATGGATCGGCCTTCACTAGCCACCGATAGCATGTTGACCCCGATTGCGTACTCTTGTATTCAAGACTACGCGGTCTTGTTATTTACAAGATCAGCTTGCGCTACTAAGAGCAAACAAACAATGTCTAGGCGGCCATTTCCAACTAGAATGACACATATTGACCCATCTTGTGTACTTCGTCAGCTGCATCTCTACGATATCGATGCGTCATGAGCAGCACAAAAATAACGAAGGCCAACCATCATCATCTGTCACGTCAACAAATGCGTCGTCTAGATTGACCTTAGCATTCCACTTTACTTGACTTGAGCGATGCAACGTCACGCTTTTTCACCACTGACATGAGTAGTGTGCAGCCATGTCGTCAGCTAAATCACAACATGCATTTCAGTCCTGGAGGTGTCGCACACTAGACAACTCGCCAACTTCGCAGAGCTGTAGCACCAGTCCAGTTTCAGGGCTCAAGCCGCCATTTGACTAGCAGCATCTAGTCAATTCGTATACGCCTTCCTATGTAGTGATTCATTAGTAGAGGGCTTACCCCTCTGACATCAGCCAGGTCCATCAAAGCTTTAAACCTCAACCGATCCAGCGTCGTCAAGCATTTGATTGTCAATACGTATCTCGTGCGAGGAGTTCTTCTCATCAACATTATTGGCTTGGCCCATCAAACAGCTCGACCTTATCTCACGTAGCAGTGTTGCCCAGTTAGCCTTTACACCTTGGCATGTTTGCTCTTGTTCTTTGTATCCTGTTGTGCACGTGCGCCAAGGCTTGCAATCTCTACAAATTAGCTGGACACGTTGGCGCTGCTTTAACCACGTCGTGTCGTCAGTACTATTGCGTTCAGTTGACTCACCACCACATGAACGTTCCACTATTGTCTCAATCATATTTTTCACCATTGTTTTCATTGTTATGCTAGAGCCACTGGCACATGCATTGCTTTAGACTATCACTTCTGCTTCAGGAACAAGCAACTGTCCATGGCACCATGAAACGCATCTCCCACTGCGGCATGCAGCTCTTCGGGCGCCAGGTCATCACAGTTTGGTGTGCCATCACGCCACTTGGATCGTGTCCGCAGACCCTTGAGATATCGCAGAAGACTCAGATCGCCTTGAGGCAATGCAAGCAACAGCGTGCCCTTAGGCAGCACCTCGTCAAAAACTTGCTGCAGGAACGCATCCACCTGCTCGCAATAAGCCTGTTGCTCAGCCATCCAGCGCTCGTGCTTGTCTACAAAGTCATTGCATCCTGCTGCACTTCCACTTGGAGGCTCAACTTCTACCCAGCAGAGATCTGACCGCTCGGCAGCTTCACTCGTCTTGGTATTGAAAGTATCGTCGAGACTGGCCTTTAGCACCTCCCACGACGAACAATCTTCAACCTTTACAACAGCGCTTGCCGAATCTACGGCTGAAATCGATGATGCTGAAGAGCACTCTTTGGCCTTATTCTTCACTATCTGCGCATGGCGAAATGGGCACTGCGAGTGAGTCTTCAAATCACCGCTTGCGTACAAATCCCATGGCTTCCGCTCCGGTAACAGTACAGCGCTGCAGCTACTATCAAGAGATGCCGTGCTTTGCAGGCGAAGCATTGTCATCGTCTTCTCCAACGCAAAAACCTTGTCCATGATTGAGTCAAAAGCACCACTTGAACACACCGCGTCAGGAATGCCAAACCAGGGTCCTTCACGAACTTTCAGTAGCAGCAGGTGTAATGATGCAATGGCGTCCTCAGCTGAGTCGTGTCCAGCCTGGGCTTGCATCTGAATATCTTTTTTCAAAAAAGTCTTCGTGAGATACTTAAGTGAAGTGCGAAATGGAAACCCGCGTTGATGAGGGAAGAGAATCGCCGTGTCCGCGACCGTCGGATGTACCATACGCAGAGCACGCAGATCACTCGTCAAGGAATGCCCTACAAGGATCGTATCCTTAAAGAAAAATTGCGTTGTTAGATCTCGCTGGACATCAGCCAAGGTGTGCTTCGTGTCTTGCAAAGTCTTCTCTGAGATTCCGCTAAATTCCGTGTGATAATTAATAATGGTGCTTTGCGGCTTCACTAGTTGATCATACACGACAGCACCCTTGATATCGACTACGGTTACGCGCGTGAGTTCCATGCCAATGTCTGTCTCGCACATTTCACAGTCTAAAGCGTAGACAAAGTTGCCATCTGAGGGCGCACTTGCCAATGTCTCGTCCGTCTCCATCGCCGCTCCTTCTTCGTCATCATTCGTGGCAGACACAGGATCTTGAATCGCAACCTCTGCCCGAAGCTTCGTTGCCACGTATGTATCGCGCGTGTTCCCATCCGTGGCTGCTAACAGCTGACGCTGTTCTTCCTCTACGTCCAGAGGATAACCATGTTGTTTCATTTCTTCAGGCGATAGAACATAATACTCGAATGCCTCGCGTCTTAACTTCTTCTCACTCATGGCATCATAACCATTCACGTCTACTGAAGAGGGATCGTGCAAATGGTTTGACAAGCTATTCGTCGGTACTTGATCATGCAAAATTAGCGTTCCATCGGCCGAGCGAGGCACATCGAGAGCGATTGCTTTTGCAAGAGACAGCCAGATAGAGCGCGGCTTGTCATCGCCGCGACGTCTTTTGGCCAAATGTTCAGGTACCTTGTGCGCATAGGTTTCATCTGTCAATGAATCAGTCTTAAACTCGTGCATGCTCGCGTCTTGACTAACCAGCACGTCCAGCGTGTACGCGTCAGTATCTTTATCCTCCGTCACAGAATCTTGCTCTATCGCCGTCTCATCCGGCCCACACACCACTTTTGTCGTGTGCTGTCTCCATTTCAAGTGCAGCAAGTCACCATCAAGCTTCCACGTTCCTCCCAGAGGCCGAGCTTTTCGTGTAAATGTTCCCGTCGGTAACAACACCAACTCGTCCGTAAATCCAGCCGAGTGTTTCATCAGGAACGTCAGTTCATGCGCGTAGAAGAGCTCATCCATCGACAGTTCATGAGTATCCACTGTCGGTCTTGGAAACTTGTACATTAACTCCGGCAATGGCTTTTCCAACCGCCTAATTTGGTTCATCTCCTGCTTTGTCAACACAACCGGAACACTGGAACATCCATCAAAAAAGCTCAAATTGGCTCGGTATTTCTGCAGCACCGACGGATGCATTTTCTCTAACAGCACAAGACAAATCTTTGTTGGTAAACCAACTCTGTCCGTAAGATATGGCAGCAGGTAGGGGCTGACGACACCCTTCTCTTCCTTGCTACCTCCTCTCAATACATTAAGCACGAGCTTCTGCACATCCTCAATGTCCAGGCGTTTTCTGCTTTTTGCAGCTGCCATCCACGTAGCAAAGTCCAGCATCACATTGCTCCGTGGTTGCTGTCTTGGGTATTGTATGATCAGATCTTCAGAATATATGCGGTCGTCCTTGTGCTCGTAAAACGTCGCGTCACGTTTGCAGCCACTGTATCCAGTATTGTAATTGTAATTGTAGCATGTTGTAGGCTGACGATGGGAGAGAGGTATACGTCTGTCGTATACTGTATTCAAATCAACTCTGGTGTTTTGTAGTGTCGAATGCCGACGCTTACGCTGATTGTTACCAGGCGTGGGTAGTAGAGACCGGTTTGATGTCTCTATGAGAGGTTTAACAACAGTTGATACACCAGTGGGCGTAGAAGAAGAAGATACAGAAGATGCAATCGGTTGTAAGGTAGCACGGAGTGGCATTATCCCTTCACCCTCTTCCAAAATCTCACCGTCCTCGTAATCACCACCCGATGCCATTTTTGAGAATTTTTTTGGCCCAGCAGCTCGTAATTCATGTACAATACACAACACTATATATTATCACGTTCGGTGCTTACGAACAGCCGTAAAGATGCCGAATAAAGAACTGTTTTGCTCGAAATTGTTGCATCGAATATGCTTTATCGAGTATGCATTCTTCACTTGGAATGAGTAGGCTTTTGATCGAAGTACATCACGTTTTGCGTCATGTCGCGAGTATTCGTGTAGGGTAGAGCCTTAATGAGATCCTGGTGTAGCTGATGGCTACAAAGATGCTGGGGGTTTGCAGCCATGCTGCTCAGAAACCAAAAAGAAACAAGCATTAAGTTGTCAGACCTGCGTAGTTCTACATCACATAGATGGTATTTATCGTAGACAACAGTTAATGTAATTCATTGTTAACACTGAATTGGAAGGTGCGACTGAGATCAAAGAATTCGTTAGTTGTGGGTAGCACAACGACAAGCGCCCGGCATAACGGACAATAACGTTGAATCCATGCGGCCACGCACCGCTCTGAGAATGCCCGATGCGGTTTTATTCGCCCACTCTGCCATTGATGAGATTTAATGATCGTAAGGGACAAGGACGTAAATGATTTACAGCAAGGGCGCAGGGCACGGAAGCAAGGCTACAGGTTGAGGCACTAGCCCAATATTCTGCAGCTGTTTAGCAGATGACAGCTGATCAGATCAAGTAAATGAATTACCGGCAGAAGTTTCTTAGAACGTGCAAGCACAGCGCGATCAGCAGGCACATCTGGTGGAGAAGCAAGAAAAAATGCGCCGCCAGATGCAAGAACATCATCGATACATTGAATACCAATATAGACTACTGAAGGCCGCAGAAAAAGCCATTGGACTACAAGCAAGGAAGCTAGAGAGTCTGGCTGAGGCCGTTAAACCGCAATGCGCCGCAAAAAAAATGGGCCGTGTTGAGCAGAGTGAGTCAAGTGATTACGAGCGCAAGTCGACAGAAGCGCCATCAATCAGGGACCAATTTGCCCGTTCCTCCTGTCTACAGAGGCAGATCCAAGGAGAAAAAGGAGTCTATGGACAGTTACATAATTCACATGAGAAGAATTCAAGCCTTCAACGAAGGTACACAGACAAGGTTTTTTGTGATCCTCTAAGTGCGTGCATTGAGCAAAGTGCTTTGGTGCGAATATGTGATTTTTTTCTAACTATTCAAGACTTGTGTAGGAAAAGCGTATTATCTAATGGCGCACGAGCTCGATTATACTGCTTATTATAAGCTGGATACCGCGGTGAAAGTTTTTTCGTGTGGGTACAGATCTACAAGATGCAGAGTCAAGGATTTCTTTGTTGATGGTTAAATTTAATAAAATTTCTCGATAAGCTTGATTTGGAAGCTATTGTGCAGCAGGAGCCTAAGAAGGTGGTGGCATAATTGATGGACGCAATTTTTTCGCGTGCATATGAAGCGGGGTTAAGATTGAATGGACGGATGCTGCCACAAGGCTTGGTAGTCTTGTGACAACGTCGATTTATTTGATATTTCCGGTGTTCAAGCCTTTTCAAAGCGCTTGCGCTTCGCGATGAAGGGTTTTATGCGACTTTAAGCGCATAATGGAGTTGTGAAGCACATTTCATTGAGCAACAGACCATCCACCTAAGCTGTCAAGACGAATTCGTACATTCAGGCCCGAGCAGCAAAAATGTTGTACTGTCAACGAAAGGCTCGGATGGTACGTACAATTTTGGACAGCGAGGCAAGAAGCTTAAACCGGAATCGGATGCAAGAAAGCAAGAGGCGACTATTGTGAAGAATTGCTTCAAGCAGTATGACTTTAATGAAGTATTTCAGTGCCCGAATATATTTGGCGCTCAGGAGGCAAAAGATTTGTACCAGCGGCACCCTTGTAAAAAAGTACTTAAGCCGGTACTATCGCTCTAATCAGGTAAGAAACCGATTCCAAGATCATTGGCTATTTTGTGTGTAATTATGGATACTGTGTCGACAAACTATACCCAAGAAATTGGTGTAGAAGTCTCAGTAAATACCACAAGTCTACTAGATGAGCTAGAGGAACAAGGTGTCTGGGTGCTGGCCCAGCAACAGCCGCCTGGGGCTGCTGTGTCGAGACTTAGCGATAAATCGGTGCTTTCTACGTCTAACGAGAAGCTGGATTTAAGATTTGTTACGCCTGGAGAAAGCGTTAATTCTGCGTAATGTGGTTTGTTGGGATATGATGAGATTTATTTTCACCGCTAGGAGTGATCGATCTTCTATCATCGCGGCTGGTGATGACATGCGTGATATATAGTCCCGATGAGGTAATGGCAGATGATCCGCAAGTACAAAATGAGCATGACATGGCGGATATTATTATACCGCCAAAAGCTCTGTACCGAGCGTTCTGGCGCTAGCTGGAACAGCGGAAGCACCTCCGCTGACTGAAATAAAGCAAACTCGAGGAAGAGGAGCGTACGTGTTTCCCTCGGCACTTAAATGATGACAATGGACAAGTGGGGGCTGTTATGAGAGTATTACTTAAAAAGATGGAGGATGCTTAAAAGCAGGCAGCTTCTATCGAATATGTTTTGGAGTTAATGCGCATTTTAATTGTAAATAAGGGTGTTTACGGCTGGACATTGGACGTGCTGCTTCGGCCGACTTGCCATGAATGGAGAAAACACTTAATCCTGGGGCTGTTTCCATGAGTTGTCGTGCCAGACGCTACTCACTGGAGCAACGGGATGTTTGGTTGCAGCATATACAGGAGCTGCTGGATGCAGGACTCTGTTATCAAAACCCGAAAGTCGATGGTGTTCGTTACCTTATATTGTACGCAAGCCAGCGTTAGTAATTATGGAATGCCCGGTGATGTAATGTTGGTCAATGCACGGTTCGATCCAATTGTTTGGCCTATGCCAATACTTGAGGCGGAGTATGATCGTCTTTGTGAATCGTCGTGTTATTATTTCTTGTTAGATTTTAAAGGCCATTTCAAATTGCAATGGCGGAACTTTGTCAAGGGATCGATTGGATTCTTATTAAAAAAGGTGTGGTGACACCTACTCGCATTTTGATGGGTGGAATCAACAGAGTTGCTGATGTCCAAGCGACGGTGCAGGCCATGTTTGAGGCTGTGTTCAACAAGGGTTTGCTTATATTGATTGACGACCTCTTGGGACGAAACTAGCGACGATAGTCTGCTTCAGTTCTGCTCCAGGTGCTTGAGATATGCATCGCCAAGGGTCTGAAATTGAATTCATCAAAGTGTTTATTTTACTTAAAAGGAGGCGTTGTGGTGTGGACGTGTGGTGTCGGGTGAAGGTGTCCACCACGACCTGAATCAGAATGAGTCCCTGGTGATTCTACCACCCTCAACGACTGGCAAGAATTGCAACAATCAGTTTGCGCTCTAACTTGAATGCGGAGCTCGATACTGGCATTCAATAAGCTGATGGAGCAGGTTCATGCGAAGGCGGTTGGACGCACAAAAAATATGGTGCTTCGAGTCATGCTTAGCGATCTCGACCGATGCAAAGATGCCTTACTGATCACCTCTCCACCAAATTGGCACACCCAGACCCAAACATGCGCCTTTGTGTATTCACAGATGCCAGTGACAAGTATTGGTGCGGCAATTACGCAGATATCACAAGACCAAACAAATAGGATGTAACGGGGTTACACAAAGGTTTGTATTGTTAGCGGTGTGGCTGTACCATCGGTACAGTGGTAGGTTTGATGTGACCGTTCCTAAGATACAAAGGATAGCAGAGGGCCACGTGGTCACTATACTACGTTAAGTATAGTGACTATACATGTTTGCATATGAATAGGCGATAGATTCAGATAAATAGTGACTAGCACTAAGTATAGATTAGGTGCTTCTATATGTAGTGCTAGAAGTTAAACATTAAATAAATCAATTCTGAATAGCGTACGTGCTAGAGCGTTCTCTTCCTTTGTAAAAGGAATTGTATCTTTGATACTTGTCTCTTGGAAACGTGGTTGTTTACAACCAAAAGGCGTAAGCTTGTGAAGCTAGCCTTGGGAGGGTTAAGTACCCAAAGACATATAAGCTCTTGAAGCTTGTCTTCCCCTGCACGTAGTGCATAAGTAGCTTGGCTACAGTAGCTCTGCTACACCTGGTAGCACTTGTAGTCAATCCCGCGCCTGGGTGTGCGACTACTTCTCTGTGTGAGAATGGACATGGATGAGATGTCTGCGAGTGGCCTGTCACAGGCACAGCACGTAGGGTTGCAAAAGCAGCTTCCCTTACTTTGCCCTAAGGGGTGGAAAACCTCATCGCCCAAGGCTAGAAAGAGGTTAACAAGCGTATTCATATGCTTGATGAATATAATAAAGCTCTAGTCGAGCATGTAAAGGCACATATGCCTTCTTCTGCGCCTTTTCCCATGGCGATAATGGCGCAAGAAGTGGTCCGCAGACCAAAACCCATACAAATGGAAGTCGATAAGTTCGACGGCAAAGAAGGTGACAACCTTATGCTTTGGTTCCGATAGGTTGAAACGGCTATGTTTGTTGTCGGCACCACCTATGAACCGTAACGTGTGGGCTTTGCCACGGGCAACTTAGGTGGCTTAGCCAAGCAGTGGGCAATCAAATGCGGTGCATCGTTGTGTGGTGAAGCGTTTCATGAACTAGTAGGCCAGAGGACCAGTGGGTCAAAGAGAAAGGGATTTTTTAAAGAGAGCGACTGTTGGGTAAGAAACAGAGAGACGAAAGCTAAAGGGGACGGGAAACGACTATTTAAAATGAAGAATGCAAGGTCGAAGAGTGCTAGCTTGCCCTTATCCAAAGGCGTTCACAGCACTTAGCCCGATGTCCTGCCCGAGTGGTCTAAGGGGGCGGACTTAAGATCCGCTAGACATTCCAGTCTGCGTGGGTTCAAACGGGTTGGGGTTTTGTGGGTTCAAATTCCACAGATACCAAAGCAACACCATCCTATCTTCTTCTTAAATAGCACCAAACAAGATACCATATCCTTTGTGTTGCTTACATGATGATGGTGGATGTGTAGATGGACGCTTGGAGGTTGCTGCGTCTTGCAGCTGGTAACTTATTGCTTGACGTTTGCGATATTCTTAGCAGACAGTTATATATATTTGACGAGACCTTTTGCATCCACATACAAATTGGAATACGCTAAGCAAGCTTAGTATGGGTCAGTCGCAAGGCAAATAAATCGCGTCACCCACTGTCAAGCTGTTTGTCACGACAGTTGTGGATTGTATCGGGGTAGAACGGACGTACTACAGCAGTTGCAGTCAATCAGCTATCTTACAAGTAAATGCGGTCCATAGACTCGGTGAAGATCATCTCAAACCGTCCATTTTTCGTGGAGCTGTTAAGAAACAGGGCCGTTGAAGCGGGGTGTTTGCAATGTGTTTCGCTTGGTATCTTGCCCGAGTGGTCTAAGGGGGCGGACTTAAGATCCGCTAGACATTCCAGTCTGCGTGGGTTCAAACGGGTTGGGGTTTCGTGGGTTCAAATCCCACAGATACCAAAGCAACACCATCCTATCTTCTTCTTAAATAGCACCAAACAAGATACCATATCCTTTGTGTTGCTTACATGATGATGGTGGATGTGTAGACGGACGCTTGGAGGTTGCTGCGTCTTGCAGCTGGTAACTTATTGCTTGACGTTTGCGATATTCTTAGCAGACAGTTATATATATTTGACGAGACCTTTTGCATCCACATACAAATTGGAATACGCTAAGCAAGCTTTGTATGGGTCAGTCGCAAGGCAAATAAATCGCGTCACCCACTGTCAAGCTGTTTGTCACGACAGTTGTGGATTGTATCGGGGTAGAACGGACGTACTACAGCAGTTGCAGTCAATCAGCTATCTTACAAGTGAATGCGGTCCATAGACTCGGTGAAGATCATCTTAAACCGTCCATTTTTCGTGTAGCTGTTAAGAAACAGGGCCGTTGAAGCGGGGTGTTTGCAATGTGTTTCGCTTGGTATCTTGCCCGAGTGGTCTAAGGGGGCGGACTTAAGATCCGCTAGACATTCCAGTCTGCGTGGGTTCAAACGGGTGGTCGTGGGTTCAAACCCACAGATACCAAAGCAACACCATCCTATCTTCTTCTTTAAATAGCACCAAACAAGATACCATATCCTTTGTGTTGCTTACATGATGATGGTGGATGTGTAGACGGACGCTTGGAGGTTGCTGCGTCTTGCAGCTGGTAACTTATTGCTTGACGTTTGCGATATTCTTAGCAGACAGTTATATATATTTGACGAGACCTTTTGCATCCACATACAAATTGGAATACGCTAAGCAAGCTTAGTATGGGTCAGTCGCAAGGCAAATAAATCGCGTCACCCACTGTCAAGCTGTTTGTCACGACAGTTGTGGATTGTATCGGGGTAGAACGGACGTACTACAGCAGTTGCAGTCAATCAGCTATCTGACAGAGTGAATGCGGTCCATAGACTCGGTGAAGATCATCTCAAACCGTCCATTTTTCGTGTAGCTGTTAAAAAACAGGGCCGTTGAAGCGGGGTGTTTGCAATGTGTTTCGCTTGGTATCTTGCCCGAGTGGTCTAAGGGGGCGGACTTAAGATCCGCTAGACATTCCAGTCTGCGTGGGTTCAAACGGGTTGGGGTTTCGTGGGTTCAAATTCCACAGATACCAAAGCAACACCATCCTATCTTCTCTTTAAATAGCACCAAACAAGATACCATATCCTTTGTGTTGCTTACATGATGATGGTGGATGTGTAGACGGACGCTTGGAGGTTGCTGCGTCTTGCAGCTGGTAACTTATTGCTTGACGTTTGCGATATTCTTAGCAGACAGTTATATATATTTGACGAGACCTTTTGCATCCACATACAAATTGGAATACGCTAAGCAAGCTTTGATGGGTCAGTCGCAAGGCAAATAAATCGCGTCACCGACTGTCAAGCTGTTTGTCACGACAGTTGTGGATTGTATCGGGGTAGAACGGACGTACTACAGCAGTTGCAGTCAATCAGCTATCTTACAAGTAAATGCGGTCCATAGACTCGGTGAAGATCATCTCAAACCGTCCATTTTTCGTGTAGCTGTTAAAAAACAGGGCCGTTGAAGCGGGGTGTTTGCAATGTGTTTCGCTTGGTATCTTGCCCGAGTGGTCTAAGGGGGCGGACTTAAGATCCGCTAGACATTCCAGTCTGCGTGGGTTCAAACGGGTTGGGGTTTCGTGGGTTCAAATCCCACAGATACCAAAGCAACACCATCCTATCTTCTCTTTAAATAGCACCAAACAAGATACCATATCCTTTGTGTTGCTTACATGATGATGGTGGATGTGTAGACGGACGCTTGGAGGTTGCTGCGTCTTGCAGCTGGTAACTTATTGCTTGACGTTTGCGATATTCTTAGCAGACAGTTATATATATTTGACGAGACCTTTTGCATCCACATACAAATTGGAATACGCTAAGCAAGCTTTGTATGGGTCAGTCGCAAGGCAAATAAATCGCGTCACCGACTGTCAAGCTGTTTGTCACGACAGTTGTGGATTGTATCGGGGTAGAACGGACGTACTACAGCAGTTGCAGTCAATCAGCTATCTGACAAGTGAATGCGGTCCATAGACTCGGTGAAGATCATCTCAAACCGTCCATTTTTCGTGGAGCTGTTAAAAAACAGGGCCGTTGAAGCGGGGTGTTTGCAATGTGTTTCGCTTGGTATCTTGCCCGAGTGGTCTAAGGGGGCGGACTTAAGATCCGCTAGACATTCCAGTCTGCGTGGGTTCAAACCCCACAGATACCAAAGCAACACCATCCTATCTTCTTCTTAAATAGCACCAAACAAGATACCATATCCTTTGTGTTGCTTACATGATGATGGTGGATGTGTAGACGGACGCTTGGAGGTTGCTGCGTCTTGCAGCTGGTAACTTATTGCTTGACGTTTGCGATATTCTTAGCAGACAGTTATATATATTTGACGAGACCTTTTGCATCCACATACAAATTGGAATACGCTAAGCAAGCTTAGTATGGGTCAGTCGCAAGGCAAATAAATCGCGTCACCGACTGTCAAGCTGTTTGTCACGACAGTTGTGGATTGTATCGGGGTAGAACGGACGTACTACAGCAGTTGCAGTCAATCAGCTATCTTACAAGTGAATGCGGTCCATAGACTCGGTGAAGATCATCTCAA